ACTGTGGCGATTGATGTGCAGGATGATACTTGAAATGGTTATTTCGATTGTGAGGCTCATATTAGGTTTCGCGAAACGTTGCTAATAGGAAGCGGAAGCTCGCCAATGGGGGATCAGTGGTTGAGCCGACTTCAAAGGTTATGAAATCTTTAACTTGCAGACATGAATTGCCATCCCGTGCTTTGCGGGGAACGAGGCCGCAAACAATGATTGGCGCCAGTAGGTCGGGATGTTGCAATCGCACGCTGTGGCTGTAGATCCGCGATGAGCGCCGTGGCCGCCGCCATTTAATGTTGGACCCACAGACGACCGGGGGGCTGTGGAAAGACTCCGAAACCAAAGATACGGCAACGGATGCTCAAAAGTGCAGTGCATCACAGTCCCAGAGTGTTCGCAATGTGACGGAGTGATGCTGGATCTGCATGTTTTTGGTGCAATTCTGAAGATATGCAACCAGTGACACAGCTAGCGGTAAGGTACGTTACGCGGGCAAGGCAGTCCAAGAGGTTCCCCCTCACTCTGAGCTCCGCTTGGATATGGAATGGAATAGGGGCTCTGTGGGCATTGAAGGTGCTAGGCTCGGTCGACTTGGCATGCACAATAGTGGATGGACGGCGTTGATCAAAGGTAGCCCGTACGAGGTCCACACTTTTGTTCGGTCAGTCATCCATGCATGCATACGACTTCGCGATAGCAACAATCTCGTGTGGGATGATGCCTCACATGACGAGCAAAACCCGCATCGCCCGCTTTTCTTCGTGGAATCCCGCACATCCGACCCCTTCTCTAAACTCATACGAAGCGGAAGTGATAGAGATAACAAAAAAAAAAAAAAAAACAGAGGAGGTGTGTCTGGTGACGGCGAGACCGACAGCAATCTTTAGTCTCCAAGTGTTGACTGTTAGTTTTATCTGTTTAGTCCAATTGCCACGGTCACTTTGCATGCTCACTCGATTTTTTCCCCCTTCCCTCTGTTCCCTTCCCAGTTCCTCAATTTTCAATAGCGGCTGCAGGGTCGACCGGCGCGGTCATCAATTAGACCCTCGAACCTCGCACCCTCGCTAATTCAACCATCAGACCCACGTTGGGGCGCCGCTGGCCCGCTGGTGTTGGACTAGAACCCACCTGAATATTCATGGAACGGCGGAGACACTGAAGCTGGAGATGGTCAAAATTGGAAAGCTATGCGGCTGGCTCCCACCGAGACGTTTCCCAAATGCGTTCGTGATCCTGCTCCAAAGGGTACAGGCTAGTTTACATCTGGTATTGCTGAGGTGATGTTTCGAGGCTGAAAAAAGGCCCAGCTGATAGACAAGATGTGCTGACAATTGTCGAAACGAAAACGCAAAGACGGAGTGCGCAAAAAGTCCGTCGTGTCTCATCGTTCTACGAACCAGATCTTGCAGAAGAATCAGTGGTGTGTCGTTCACTAACCCGAGTTCTAGCTGAGGTTACGTCGGACCCGTCTTTTTGGCAGGGTCTCTGGTAGTGGAGGACTACCCTTAAGTCCCTTCTTTCTCTCTCTTTTTTTTTCGCACAGGGCTACAGCGGGGAAGGTGACAGTATCCCAGACTACTACAGGCCGGGTGAGGACAAGGATCTCGGAGACATGAATCTTTTCTTGTCAAGGTCGGATTTGCCTGTTTGCATCCCAGCAGATGGCCAGGAAGGGCGGTACGCACCCGGGGCTGGGCAATGGCGAAGAAGGGAACAGAGAAGAATGAGGCGAATAGGAGGGCGAGGGCTGGGCACCCCCTCCGCTCAAGGTGAAACGGACGATATTATTGCTTCATTAGCACCCGCGGTGAGCTCAAGGCACGGAGGCCAGAGGATTGGCAAAGAGAGAAAAAAAAAAAAAATAGAACTAAAAGGGATGGCATGGGATGGATCCCAAATAGCTACTGCAACCTGTAGGGGGGCCTCGGTCATCTATCTCTGCCAGGCGGCCCCAAGCTGAGCCAGGGTTGAAGGCATCCAGATTCAAATATCTTCCTCTGCCCCTTTGGTGAAGGGAATCGACGCGCATGGTTGATATATTTGAAGCTTCTCTGGGAAAGAACCCATGAGGTTACCGCTACTAGTGATTTTCACCCGGCCGGCCTGGCGCGCTGCGAGAGATGCGGTGACTTGAATAAAGGTGGCATGGCAGCGGAGCGGTGTCGCAATGAGATTTTGACAGAAGCAGAGTTACTGGCGCTAAAGTTCCTGGGATAAGAGACCATGTTGGGCGTGAAGGATGAACTCTTTCTTGGGTCTGTGTGCAATTATCGGTAATGGCGTGCATTCGTACTACAGTAGTTTTTGGAAAGTAGATCGGAGAAAGGGTGCCATTGATTGCAGTGAAGTAGTGATGATGGTGCCAGTCTGTGTAAGTCAGCTAAAAGGGCCCTGCGGTGGTACCTTGGCATGCACCAAAAATCAGGCCGATCTTCCAGTCTCTCCCTCATTGATTGCTGGAAGAGGTACAGGTACTGGGGAACCATTACCTCTACTATGTACATACGAGGCAGGAATGCTCGTCGCATCCAAGCAGAAACCGTTGCGTCCCTTTTGCCAGGGAGGCAAACCCGACTTTGCAGATACACCTAGGTAAACTGCACTGCACGTTGGACACGGGGCAGGTGGCAGATCGCAGGTCGCAGGGTGTATGGAGGCTTGTAGGACGTATGCGCTGTGCTGCAAGTTGTAAGTTGCATTACAGGCGGCGAATGGCAATAAGGAGTGCCTGACTCCGTATGTACCTGAACACCGCCCATCTCACCGTTTCGTCCACCACCTCGAGGCATGGCATGAAGGGCGGCGCCCTGTAAAGGAGACGGGAGAACAAGTTCTATTGGACATTGGCGTTAGGGGCACACGTCCCTCTGGCACTAGGAAGGGCCGGAGCCTCGTGTGAAGATGAGCAAATCGTCTGAGACGCTCCCTGGAAGCCTGCCGACTTTTTGTAGCGTTACCAGCATTGGACGCCACGTCAATTATACCAACCCGAAGTACACCATCAGCCAGGCACTTTTTGCGCCAGGGCATAGCCGAGTACCTCGACTCTCTGTAATTTGACCAACGGGCAACTGTCCGCGGAGCTATTGTGCCTTGCCGTAATCCGGTAAATCCAACACCAGGCAACCAACAACCGTTGGATTGGGGGTTATGGTGGTGATGAGAGACCATCTGGCTGGTCAATAAAGGTGCAAAGTGATCGGGACCTGAAGCCACCTATGGAATCTCATCTCTATATCTCCTCTCAGCTCTCTCGCCATCCCACAGCCGCGGCGGCACGACTCTCCAGCTCTGGGCGCATGGCGTCCTGTTGCTGACTGCATATGTTTACAGCCTTGCCTTGTCCTTCTACGGTTTTGGTTTCTTTTTAGTTCCGTTCTGGCTTAAGGCTTCTATCGCATCAGTTCTCGGCCTTACTGCGTTGTTCAGTACATACTAGATTTGACTCTCATTCTTCCTTCCCACATACATCATCAGCCTCTCGGACTATCAACTGTGACATCCATCCTGCCCGCTCTGGGCCGTTCCCCTCTTGAATCGAGACAATTTGGCTGCGTGGTAGAAGTGTCTTGAGCTGTCTCCCCGTCCGAGTTGTTGCAGACTAGCGCCCATAATCATATGGGATATCTCACCCACTGGTTATATTATTCGTTACCTCTGCTCCTTCCGAGTGCCGCCTTATTCTTGCTCGAATTCCGACCCTGGTTGTATGTCAGTTGCCTACCACACAGCCCCCTTCACTTCTCATCAAGTACGCTGCGCCCTTTTCCTTTTCGTTCAACGCCCAAAAGAGGAAAAGATAATAATCAACGACGTCGCCATTGTGAAATCCACGACGTCACTCTCGTGTGCGTGGGCAGGGCTTATTGTTGTACGTGTTGCTCCCAATTCTAGTGCCGTATTCACCTTGCCGCCGTCCCCCGTCCCTTCTCCCCTTCGTGTTCCCTCTCTTTCCAACCCGAGCTACCTTCCTCAATTCGGACAGTACCTGCCCTGTCAGTGCCCGGCTGGTTTGTCAATCAGCCCTCCCTCTTTCAAGGCAAGCCCCAGCTAGCCCCCTTGGGCACAAGTGTCCCGCTGGTTCCTCTACCTCCTGTGCGCTACAGAAGCAGGCGCACCCCCTGGCAAGGCACCATCCTCTTTGCCAGCCCAGGCCAAGCCCAAACCCGAACAGGGCCCTGGCCTGTAGCGACGCTGTACGAATCGGCCCAGTACCCCTGTGCGGGCCAGCACCGGTGTCAATGCTAGTGTGGGTGTGCAGGGTGGGTTGAGTGGGTGAGAGTGGGTGGACTGGTGCTCGGGATCCGCGCTGGGCTGTCTCTGGCTCTGACTGAGGAGCTTTCTGCTTTGCTACCTCCCCTCTTTGCCCGCCTGTTGCTACCTCTGCTGCCTCTTGCTGGCCCCTCCGTCTCTTCCTCGTCTCCCAGGTTCCCCCCGTCTTTGACTTACATAACAAGTCAGGCATGCCACGCACCACGCATTGCGCTGCCAAGGGCCCATTCCCAAAACCTCAACTCCATGCCTACCAGTATTCAGCTTGAACAATAACTCATACACGCCGGTGGTTTTGCATCCGCCCTGGAACACCTCCCGCTAATCTGTTTTTTTCCACTTCTTCTCTTTAGTTTCTAGCCTCCAGATCCACGCAACCCTTCAGCCGCTTTCTTGCACAGCACGCCTTTTGTCACTCGTTCTCCCGTCTGTCTACCAGCTTAGAGAGTCGTAACCAAACCCATCCATCCCCCTTCCGATTGCTCCTCTACTGCCGTCTTCCAGCCCGGTATCATACCTCGTATAATTCACAATTTCAAGCAAACGAGGCGCATCCTTCTTCTTCATCTCTCTTTTCATACTGACGAGAAGATTTGGATCGCAATAAAGACGGTGTTTGCCGTCCACTCATAACCTCTTCAACTTCACCTACCTTGACTCGACTCTCCCCGACCGTCACCCAAGCAAAGGAGTTGCTCGGCAGCCAAACTTTCCCGCTCCCAACGGCTCCAATGGCCGCCGTGACGGCATCGACGCCAGTCATTTCTTCGGCTGCAAGCCCGAACCATCTTCGTACGCACATGTCCCCAGACCGACTGGCCATGGGCGACGACACAAGCCTCCAGTCAGGGTCGGCTCGAATCCGGGACGCTCCCGCTTCCCCTGTCAGGGTGAACTTTCAGGCCGACAACTGGGCTCAACCCTCCAATGCCAACATTGAGATGGCGCAACCTTATCGAGCAGAATTTTCCGTGGTTGATCAACCCCCAAAACAATACGCCCCTCCCCCTCCTAAGCACAACTCAAGCAACGACCAGCCCGGACGCCAAATGCCAAGTCGTGATGGAAAACAACTACCACCCCTCGCCACATCGACCCCCTACACCGCCGAACCTGACCATTCAAGTCCCGCGATCTCCAGACCGCCCACTCAAGGTGGCAACGATCAGATCTACATCGCAAAACGGGGGACGCAAGAGTCGCACAATTTCAGCATACCGCGGTCTCCAGATGGCAACCGCCACAGTCGGGAGTCGGACGCAACTGCCTCAAGCACAGCGCAACAGCAAGCTTCGGCAGAATCGTCTGCGACAACCAGTGCAAGTTCGATCTCTGGCAACAATGAGTCGCCCGATTACAGAGAAGAGGAATCCCCCGAGAGCTCAGTCGTAGACGGCAACATGCCCGGGAACCAGTCCGTCCCCATGTTCCAGTATTACCACCACCAAGAATACCCTCCTCGCGTTTCCAGCGTTCCCCAAGAGTTAGATACCCGTCGTTCGTCTTCCAACCCCAGCCTCAATGCCGATGGGACACCCGTCAACCGCCACCTGACGCCGACTGGCTTCACCAGGAGAAGTTCGATGCCGCGGCCATCGTCTGCCTACTCTGCCATTTCGGATTATGCGCCTAGAGGACGTTCACCCGGCTTAATGCCCGGAGGTTCTCATATGCGGACTCCGTCTGGCACTCGTAAGTCCCCAGAAAACAGACCAACCTCGTACGCGGAGCTTTTGAATGTGCCATACCCGCAGCCTGCTCCGGCCCCAATCAATTTCGACAACAACCAGCTTAGAAGTGCCGTGGGCAATAATGCTTCGCTTCTCAGTGCCCAAAAGACCTTGGAGATGTACCGCCAAAATGTGAAGAAAACCAACGACTTCTCTATTCAGTACTCCTTCGCCGTTTTCTTGATTTCTACTGCTCAAGAGCAAGGCCTTGACCCGAGCGACCCCGCGCCACGCAAGGGCAGCTCGAACGCTCAGAACGGCCCATCTGCCCCTCATGAACTCCTTCGCGAGGCAAAGGGTATCCTTCAGAAGCTCGCCAGCGGCGGCTATCCCTTCGCACAATACTACCTGGCCGATGGTTACGCCTCTGGTCTGTTTAGTAAAGGGAAGGAGGATTATAACCAGGCATTCCCTCTGTTCGTTTTAGCTGCCAAGCACGGCCACGCTGAATCTGCATACCGTACTGCCCTGTGCTACGAGTTCGGGTGGGGCTGCCGCAAGGACCCAGCCAAGGCTGTTCAGTACCTGCGCATGTCGGCATCGAGAGGACACCCGGGCGCCATGTCTCGCCTTGGCAAGGCTTGTCTGTCTGGTGATTTGGGCGAGAAGCGTTACCGAGAGGGCATCAAATGGATGAAGTTGGCAGCTGAAGCAGCGGATGTTGTTTACAGCGCGGCCCCTTATCAACTGGGATGCTTGTACGAGACGGGCTATGGTGACGACATTTTCCGCGATGAGAGCTACGCTGCAGAGTTGTTCACAAATGCTGCTGAGCTTGGCCATCCCGAGGCCAATTTCCGCATGGGTGAGGCGTACGAACATGGCAAACTGAACTGTCCCAAGGACCCTGCACTAAGTGTTCACTTCTATACTGGTGCCGCCGAGCGTGGCCATGCGGGCGCCATGATGGGTCTCTGCGCATGGTACATGGTTGGAGCCGAGCCGATCCTAGAGAAGGATGAAGAAGAGGCTTACGAATGGGCGCGTCGTTCAGCAGAACTGGGTAAGTCGCGACATCGGGTGGACCATGCTGCCTACGGGATGATACTAACATTCAATCAATAGGTTACGTGAAGGCTCAGTATGCCGTGGGCTATTTTACAGAAATGGGCATTGGCTGTCGACGAGACATCCTAGAAGCCAACGTCTGGTACGTTAAAGCCGCGGATGCAGGCGATGAACGCGCGAAGCAACGTCTGGCAATCATTCAAGCTGCCGTCAGCGGTGGCAGGCCAATGGAAGTAGCGCCGCCGAGGAACGGCAAGGTCAAGAAGAACGGCGACGACAAGGACTGCATAGTAATGTGAAAGAGGTTTTGAAAAGGAAGGGAGCATCAACTGGACTTACACTACTCAATACCGGCGTTGACAGGAAGGGCAAGGAAATCCAACTACACTAATGATCTAAAAGGACTGCCCTCCGTTTCATGGGACTCCTTACGGTACGATTTCTCGCTGCAGTTGCCGCTCTGGCTGTTGGATAACGGACGGAGCTCGCGTTCATCGGCATCCTTCTGACTTTCCTTTTTTACTGTTTTTTTTTTTTTTCGCACCATGCATCTACGAAAAGAAAGTCGACTTCTGGAGGCGGTTTTTGATGGAATGCAGTACAGAGGACGCTGCGCATGGACGAAAGGGGCTGGGCTTGTCTGTTTCTTTGCATGTCTGTCTCTATGGACGAAAAACTCTCCATCTTCCTGGACCCACCACATATTTGGTCTCTTGTTGTGTTTTTAGTTTTTCCTTTCGTTTCTTGGGGAGAGAGGGTTTCACGAATTGCATTTGCATGGCATGATGGTCTAGATACCTGGTTGCTTCGAGTACATGATGTCTCGTTGTACCCTGTATCCGGCCTACTAGCGAAAAGGGCGTTTAAGAGAGGGAAACTCTTTGCGACAAACAGGTCAAGCTTGTGAGTGTGTGCGCATGTGTCATCTGTGTACGTCTGGCTGGGAAATCAGAGGAAGCCTGTACATACGAGATACCATAATCCCCTGTCTCGGACAGGCGTCTTGGAGATGTTGCTACTGTGTTCATGTTTCGTGACTAGTGTTTGGTGGCCGGCGACGACAATTTACTACGTAGTAGATTCCCATCTGGTCTCACGTATATACATCGGGCCGTTGCGTGTTTCATCCGGAGTTGTTTGACGTGTTCCATTGATTTGCCTGCCGGGTGCACACACAGTTGAAAGGCACAAGTGAGAATAAAAACTTTTTTGCATAAACTCAATCCGTCACTCACGTTTTTCCCCCCCCATTGCTAAGATGAGTGGCTCCGGAGTTTCGGACGTCAAACCGTTACATGTCTCTCCGCGTCGAGACAGTTGTTGTTCGTGGACGTTGGCTTGGCGTTGAGCCCGGAACGTGGGGGGGCAAGAAGCTCCACGCCGATCGTGAACCGGCATGCGTAAGCATCAGTATTGGCACAGGGCAGAGTGGTTCCTGGAAAGTTGGCAGATGAGAGGAGAAGAAGGACGTGGAGGGACGTGGTCGCAAGATCCATAATTTTTCCTAGTGGTGTTTAGGAAAAAAAAAAAAGAAAAAAAAGTTGGGACGAGGCTTGGTCGGTTGACGTCGACGACGAAGGGAGTTCCGGCCAGGGAAGGTGTTTGTAACTAGTCCGAATGGTGAGACGTTCCTAAATTGCGAACTCTTACCTATGTGGTTTCTTGGTGATGGATTTGGGCTTGGTTGTTTCGCTGGGCTGTGTGGTTTTGTCTCGGCGCGAGATTGTGATGGCGGTGTTTCGCCGGTGGTTACAACTTGTTTGGTCCTCTCAGGCGGTATCCTGTAAGCTGATTTCCCAGAACTGGGCCTTGGGGAGGTTTGTAGCTTTCTTGTTATGAAGTCTCGGGGTATTGATTGGTGTCTGGAAGGGCGAAAGGGTTACTTGTCGATGGTTTGGCTGATGAGCAATGTGTGTTCTTGGTTGATTGGCTTTCAAGCTGTGGCCAGCGGCGTCGGTATCTATGGCTGCGAAGGCAGATCAGAGAGAAAACATGTGGGATGTATGTAACCATTAATTTCTTCTACTCGGCAGTTCTGATGAGTAGGGTGAGAAGTGGCGAAGGCGCCATCCGGTGATGTCTGGATCCTCGGCGGCTCACGTCAGACGCTGATTTGCCCGAAATTTTGGCATTTAGAGCTGTGATCGACTCATGTCGTTCCACTTGTCGAGGTGCTGCGGATGCGGTAACGTTGACTTGTTGAGTTGTTCACTTTGTAGTAGCTACCATCTTAGGTCACCAGGAGAGACTAGCTTGAATTTTGATATGTTTGGGACATTCGTATGTGGACGTATGGGATCAGCGCGACGGTTAATCTATGCCTCCCACAATCCTCATTGGTCACCTCTTGATTACTTTCATAGCTCTGGATGCAAGAAACATACACCTCGTAACCCATTTCATTCCAGCCAGGCATGCACAGCAAGGTTCGGATCAGTAGTATGCCTGGGGAGGCATAGTAACCAGCGTAAAGAGGAAGTAATCAATCTTTACCATTTCAGTTACCACCCGCCCCCAAAATGTCTCTTTGTTGTTCTGAGTATGTTGCAGTATAGTAATGGCAGATAGTCAGAAGGAATAGGTGCATTGTCATGCATCGCACTACACAAGGGATGGGGTTCTCGTACTGACGCGCAGATAAGCCAAGTCTTCCGTCTCCCATTTTACTAGCAAATGGTTATATTTCCCAGATCCAGTGACGCCTCGGACCTTGTCAAGAGGCGTGAGAAGAAAGGGATTCTTAGGGCAGTGGGCGATATTCACCCAGATCAGCGCAAACCCACCCATTCTCAGCCTCACAGGTCTAAGTAATTTCCAAAGTGAAGAATATAGCTTCTCTCGTCACTCTCCAGCTTGCTACGTAGTAGTTCATACTCTGTTTTGGACGATATTACTAACCGTATCCCGTTTCCATGTTTGATCATTAGGCTCTTGTAACCAACATGAACCATTATAAACTTTTTAGTCAGTTTTCATTCGATTTGTATATCGTTCCAGCGTCCAAGACAATTTTTCATTCGGTTTATAGGTTGTCATCTCCCTTCGGTGCGGTCGTCTCCTTTTGCTGCTTTGCTTATGTTGGCTGAGAGGTCTCGTTCAGAGAACTACTCACAGTGATTACAGGGTCAATAAAACTATATTCGCCTGGTGCGTAAAGTTAGTGAAATAAATGACCTAGTCGTTTAAATCCGAGCTTTCTACTGTTTCAATCTTTCGATACGGATTAATAACTTGGTCACCTCCATACCAGTATTCAAAGCAGTTCCCTGTAAGCACAAAATCAGGCTCAATGTCAAATTCTCTAGTATATAGGGAATCTAAGGCAGAGAGTTTCCTTGAACTTCTTGAGCCAGTGATACCTGGGTTTTTACCCCTTCCTTGGAACGATAATGTCTACTTCTTGATGCGTAAATAGACCACAGCCTACCAGCACGAGACAGTACTTCTCTGAAAGGTAGTTGCGACTTCAGTTTCTAGATATACCATCACCACCACAGTGGTTTCTATTTTCGAAGAGTTAGAAAGTCAGCAGTAGTAGAAGCCACAGCGACTAACAATGGGAAGCAATCTTCATGGTCACGACGTGAGCGCATGCACCTACGGATTGGTCAGGGTTTCGGGATTTTCAGTCCTGTTAGATGTTGGGTTTTTTTACGCATGACGGATCAGCCACAAGTAGGAACTTGTTGATTTAGTCAATGCGAAGCGTAACTATATTTGAAGCAAAGCTGGGCGTTGTGCTCATGAAGCCTGCAAGCACGCTTTTCCTGCCTCTCACTTGTAACTCATATGAAGCTATTGGCCATGCATATCTGAAGGAGAGGCCCATCCAATGCGATAAACACGACTAGTCTGTCAGATTTGCCCTCGGGCGTCCAACTTACTTCGTCCCAAAATTCAGAGCAGTATGCTTCAGTGATACTAACCCACCGAGGCGTAACAATCGTTTGGTTTTTCCCCCTAAAATCTCCTCTGTATACCTGAGAATCTTTATTTACATTTGTTCAGAGTTGGACCGTTCACCAGTGGCTTCTTGGTCTTAGCCCTTACTCTCACCATGGCTTGTGGCAGTGGGTTATAAGTTTTGTTAAGTAATGGTATTATCACATACGACCATACCCACTGGAAAACTCGGGATCCCGTCCGCTCTCCCATAGATAAGCCAGTGAGGGCCGGATTAGTAGTTGGGTCGGTGACGACCAGCGAATACCTGGTGTTGTATGTTTTTGCCTCGTTTACTTTTTGCGAGTGAGCAGGCCTGTCTTCCAGTTTCTACGGGGAAAACACTACTTAGTATTCCTGGTTTTTTTTTTTTGTTTTTTTTTTAGAAAGCTTATGCTCATCATGGTCTCTGTGCGAATAAGTTCGTTGTTTACATTTGGCAACTGATAGTATGAACATGTTCACCTAGAATGTGTCTTTTCCCTACCCTGATGGATTTGCCGCCCCTTAGTTAGACAACGCGTCTTTTTGCCAAAGAGATAAGGCTATAATGCAACATTTGCAGGTACATTGAAAGTGGTGTTTGAGATATTTGAAGTTGCTTTTGCTAATCTCAACGTAAAGTTCCGTTGTTGTCTTTCAAAGCCTCAACCCCATATCTCAGCAACACTTCCTTCGATGCAGTTCAGTTTCCATAGCTCTTCAGTACCCAAAACCACCCTATTTACTACTGGCGATTGCTGTCAGTGAAAAGGGATTATCTCAACTTTTGCAAATTTACCAGCAGACCCAGGGTTCTCTGTCACTATACCCAGACTCCACAGTCATGCCCACACACTCCGCACTCAGGATACTCTTGACGATGGATGCCGCATAATAGAATACGCCGCTTCTCCCTGGTATCCAATTTCCCGTTTTCGGGCGAGGAATACCATCTCAAGTCAACTTCCGAGCTGCATGGCGCAACGGTAGCGCGTTCGACTCCGGATATACGCCTGGAGCGTTATCGAAAGGTTATCCGTTCAATTTGGGTTGTGGTTATGATTAGAGGGAGTTAGAGTCAGTAGGGCTCATTTTTGTTGCATCTTTTTGTGCCACAATGGTTTAATAGCCGATCCAGGATTACGATGCCAACTTTAGCAAATATGTCCTCGGGGTATTCGTAACAGGCTTCTATTGCATTATGTCAACTAATGAAAGCTTAGGATAGTTCATTATCACTGTTGTTGTTCGATATAGAGAACATAGGCTCAAAGATATTTGACGCTTTGGCTCTTATCGGTCAGTACATCACGTTTAAATTTCGTGCATGGTTCTTGTACATTGCTGCCGCTTCGGGGATCTTCAAGAGTGAGCCCATTATTACCCTGAGCATGAGATATCATAGTATACTTGGGCTGAACTTGATCGTTAAACTCTTGCCAGGGGGGATGATTGGCTTAGAAAAACCTCACCTCCTTGATGGATGATCGAAGTACTGCGTTTCGCCTTCCCAGTGAGCACAGGTATTGTGCGGGGAGCAAATTCAAGGAAAAACCAGTACAGCCAGAATTGTACAGAAACAATTAAAGTTTATGTAGAGTCTTTTTCTAAACGACTAATAGTCGTTACTGCAGTCAAAGGCGGCGCTGCTGTTCACACTTTGCTTACAAAAGTGTCGGTTGTTCCTTCTGTATACATGAAGACAAGCGGGCATATCGACGTATACGACTGTAAGAGGGGGCGATGTGGGTTGAAAATCAGTGGAACAGGTTGGAAGCCTCCCATATTGGTCTTTGATACTTGTCGAATTGGCAGTCTAAGACATATAGAAGAGGGAGTTCTCAGTTATATGTAGGTTGCGGCGGAGTATCCATCAATGGGCAACCGCATGTAGGAACAAGCTCACCAAAACTAATACATAGAAGACAACAGCCTATCAAAGACCAAATTGTTGAGGACTATACCTTCATTATCAACACCGTATACCATAATCACACCATGATGATTTGGCTTTAGCAGAAAGTTCTTATGCTAGGTCAAATTGCTCAGATTGTCTTCGCCCCGCCGTGATTCGGGCACAGGTGCAGGAAACGTTCTCAAGAGAAGTATTCGGCTGTTTTCCTTTTCGGCAGGAGGAAATGGTATATGTTTTTGTTCTACATAGTCTATCAGGACATTTGTGCAAGAGCTTCGATGGGGGCTCTATATCTATGCCTTTTACAAAGGCGACTCGGGACAAGGTGTCTTACCAAGCCCAGATCACCACGGTCAGACGCATGTATGCGCCTACAGAATCTTCCTATCGTATCATCTTGTGGCTTCATTTTAATTCAGCATCTTAACCGATCCGCTCAGCCTCCTCCATCAACTTTTCGACGCTGAACCTTTCGTCACCCGTTCGGAACCATTCCAACAGCTTTTTCCTTTCCGCCGCCCTCTCTTTGCCCTCAGCCTCACCGTAGAATCTCTGTAGGCACATGACGAGCCACTGTGCATGTTCTGTCTTGACGCCTCGGTCCTCCGACACCTTGCCGTGCATCAAAACAAGTCCCCTGTCATCTGCGAGGTCGGTATGGTGGGTAACGGTTGTATGAGGTTGCGCATATTCGCCCCGCGCCTTGAACTCGGCCAGCTGCGTGAACATGGCGGTTGCTGTCTTCGAGGCCGGGTCAAACACCCACTGCAGGAAGTGGATTTCGGCGCCCTGCGACTCGTGCGGGACGGGTAGGATGAACTGCGGGTTCTGCTTGGCGAGGGCCTCCATCGATCGATACGTCGAGGCGGGGATCACGGCGCAAAGGGAAGAAGGGTCGGAAGCATGGCGGAGACGCCAGATTGCCGTCAGCTCCTTGTCTGGCAGCTCGCGGGCCTTGGGGAGGTCGAGGATCTCGTCAAGGGATTTGACGCCGTTGCCCGATGAACCGGGAACAGGCGCTTGCTTTTGCGCAGCAGTCGCATCTGGGGACGCTGTAGCCGTAGAAGGGTTCGTAGGCGCGGGTTCATCGTTGAGGAGGTCATCCAGCCCAGGGACAGAGATGGCGTCCTTCTTCTTCTGATCTTGGATCTTGTCCGCATACACGGCCTTGAGCTCGTCAATGTTCGAGAGACCCTGCTCGCGAGCCTTTTGGTCGAGCTTGGCGCGATATTTTTCGATAACGGCACGGGGCTGCTGAGTTGTAGCGAGGAAGCGCACGTCATGAACCTGGGCCCAGCGCCGCTGGTTCGAGGCGCGGAAGGCGCGCGCCGAAGAGGTAACGAGGTGCCTCAGGGCGGGGATACGGCAAGATGCCATTGTGCGTCGTCTTATGTGCGTCTAGTGTCGTCCTCCTCGTAATTGACAAGAAAAAAGGCCGGAGAAAGGATGCGTGGTGGTTGTGGTGAGTTGAGATTGCGATGGAAAATGTGATTTCTAAATTGTCACTACCAAGATGCAGCGCAGTGTCTTCAATGTGAAAAGCTCCTGTGGGGCCCGGTGGTGGGGCCGGTTTTCGGCGCGGAGATGCCAACAACGTGTGTGTAAGGTACTTCTCCGGCCTCTCTTGTGCCACTTATCTCCAGATATTGGCTAGAGGTAGTATGCAAAATGGACATGAATTTTCACTGGAAAACTTACCTGACCCACGGCGCGATAATAGCCAAATATCTGTTGCCTAGAATGCAGGTCCTTCGACGCGACAAGACACACCCATACCCTTCAGTTAATGACCGAAATGCAATACCACATTATCCGACCTCCATCCTCATTACGAGCGACTTTCCCCCCAAGACTTCATCTGTAATCCAAACCCTATTCACAAAGGTTTAACAATGCCACCCGCACGGCTATCTAACGCGCGGTGGAAAGGTATCCTTATGTCTTAGCTGATTTTTTGCGGCACGGTGGCCAAGCCCTCAGTTACCTTGAGGGCGAGGCCATGCAAACTTGACTGCTGGTTGGTTCGTATTTTATTCGAAAATCAATTATTTAGAGCTCACACGTAGCATACATACTTTCCAGTAGATATGGCTCGGAATGTAAAATTTGGGTATATTAAATTGAAGGCCTTCCATGGTGCAACTGAATTAGCTATCTGGTACGCGATGGCAGCGCCTAGATTGTAAGCCTCTGACTCCAATCACGCAACTACTGTTACAATGAACCTGTCCTGTTTCCTGTTATTCCGCGCGTCCGATGATTCCTTAATACCATTATGTTTTCCGACAATCATACACGCCCACATCTAATGGATTCTACCTACATCACTCTATCGCCGAAATAATTCAAACGCTCGGTCTATCACATCATGTTTTCAACGTCTCTCGTCGACTACATCTAGTTCTGCTTAGAATTTGTTGACTATGATTGCACCACGTGCGCGCCTGCCCATAAAATGTTCACGGATGTGGAGTGGGAAGAGGCGTTTGAGATCAGCGGTACAGATAAATGCCCCATATCACTGGATTAACTTGTTCTCAAGTCGCAACACATGGGATGTTCACGACGCTTTGATATTCGGCATCGGTATCTACTCACATAGAAATTCAGAACATTGATTCAATATCTGACCTTTATGCCCAACACCCCTTCGGATATGCTAGGTGAATATAGTATAGTGAAGATGATGTCAGACCGAGACTCTCATAGCCCTTAAGATAGTTAGGTTACCAGTGTTCGATACTCCGCCCCGTCTACATATAGTATCAGAAAAGTACTACATTCAGTTATAGAGCAGCGGCCTTTTGATAGTGATCATTCAGAGCTATAATAATAGGACCAGCTTTCATCAGACCCAGCCGTAACTAGTTTACTTCTCTGGTAATAAAACCGCCGGAGATAGAAGCCGACTTCGCTAGCATTTATATTTACCCGGGTTTCTAGACTCCAGGAGGACCACCACAAACCCTAGGGGGAATAGGACTAGATAAGAGCCATATAGATAAAAGTAAGCATTTTCTATACAAGTCCCCTACCCTTTCAAATCATTACCCGCTCTAATTTTTACTAATAGTCTATATCCTCTATCTAGATCATAATATCCTTTCAGGCCTATCCGACGTTCTAATAACCATTTCAAGAGATTTATAGTCTTCGAGAATTTCAATCAACACTATCCAACTACCCTGCGGTAAATAAGCGGATAAGAAAGGATTCGCAACCATGCCCTAGCCTTTAGTTAGAAAGTCATACTCATCAGCCTCAGGCTTGAACATCTTGCAGCATTCTTTATCGCAAACACTAGCCATTTTTTCGAGACCCATCTCGCTTGGGAGTGGCCGAGCCTAACCTTGATTGCTCTTACTTCAAAAGTACTTACGCCTGACGAAAAGTTTATTGAGATTGAAGCTATACTTCGGGCAGCAGCAACAGCGGTTACAAAAATGCCCCCAAATAAGGGAGATTCGGAACGGATGAAACGGGCTATCGGCGCTCTTCAGGTATCAGGCGTTCTGCAACATACGACAAGTTATAAGTATTAGAGAGGCACATGAAAATTGGCTATGTAGCTACCCATATTCCAGGCTTGGGACCCTGTAATGCATCAGTACGACAGATGGAGGCTCACCATGGTTCAGAAGAGGCTGGATAAAGCTGCAATCAAGTCTCACGGTGATGTAGTTCATTACTTAATGCTTTCAAGCTAGACCATTCGGCCCATATCGTTACGGCAGACCCAAGGAAAACAGAGAGCTCTAGAGGGCGTAGACGTTGTATAATATCAATAAAAACCGTTAAGCTAGTAGTGGCAGGTAGCAAAAGTAGAGTTGAGCACAACCGCAGCGGGTATTGTATATGGCAGGATAGACAAGCTGCGAGATCAAGATGGTGGGTCAAAGCAGGGACGGAAGCGGTTGCGTCAGCGTCGGGCAAGGCAGGGCCCTGTATTGGGTAGAGCAACATTAGGAAGCGTCTTTTGCGAGGTTGGACAAGACAGCCCTGGGAAACGACCATGGCAGCTAGGTCGGGATTACGAACAAAAAGAACCAGCTCAGAAACGGCCGGCAACGACAGATGATGATGGGCAACTTTGACCAAGCTTCCCTTTATGTTTGGTGTACTTGGCGGTGAAAGTGGCAGTGTGGCTGAGTTTTGTATGCTTAGCCACTCCCTGAGAACCAAGTTCTCAGAGCTCAGTTAGAAAGCAGCGAGACTCTAGGCTAAAGGCCTGTCAATCTGTCATGAGCAGTGCCCTGAAATCCGGCCGCCTGTAGCGACCGCGTGTTATATGGCGACACTTTTGGGCCACCGGAAATTCTGTATTACCAATGATGACAAACTGGCAGCTTTATGATGGTGAACCTTGAGGATAAGTGTTTGGCTAGGGGCAAGCCCCACAGCGGTTTGGTTTGGTTACATTTGCTGGGGCAAGTCTGGGGTAAGTTATTGATCTGGGGTACTGTTACCTCCGTTTTATAGCCAGTGTCCCCGGATATAGACCCGAAGAGCGTAATGCGTGGTGCTGTTCAACATTTTCTTTTGAATGTGATGACGAGAAGTTATGAATTAGACTCATCTGTGCCTTACAATGGAAGCGAAGCAGTATTAATTGTTCTTCGAGACCAAACAGAGAGACCTGCCATAGGGATCTGTCTGACAATAGTTGGGGTATTATGTGTCAAAGTCCTCAAGCTACTTGCATCGCCACCTCAATACCTTAATCGAGATGAATTTGAGTCGACACATAATTGATTGAATTAGGTGCCTTATGCCCTTCTTTTTTTTTTTTTTGAGGTGTAGTTACTTCATTTCCCGACGACGTGGAGAGCAGGTTCCGAAAGGATTTGAGCGATGAGTTTATGTTCCATCTATTAACGGCCTCTAAGTAATTCTGCTCATCTACGCAGGCATGCGGCATGGTTGTAGCAATCTAACAGAGGTGTGAAAACTAAGAAAAGACAACACTGATTATGAACGGATGAACTGCCAGAAAGGAGGGTGCTAGTGAGGTGCCGCTGGGCGCCGCCAGAACCGACTTCACCCTCAACGCCTCATCTGCGTGCTATTTCACATTCGGCACATGCTGTAGGCAAGATGATTACTGGCGTGCCCAAACCCGCAAACTTACGCTCTACACATCACAACCACAGCCTTAAGATGCTTCACTTATCGTCGAGCGAATCGGCGAGAAAAGCAAAGAGTAAGTGAACGACAGCCAATGGACCTAAACATGATAGCAAGAATAGAGGGAAGGTAGGTCCGTCCAATTTGAAATGCGGGGAAGCCCATGTCCAGGTCCATGCCCAACATCCGGGGGAACACTAACGCAGGCTTGGGAGATGATTGTGGTGGTGGTGAGCTACCAAGGCGCCGGGATTGGCCGCACCAACCAACCCCCCATGACATGGTGAACAGGCCTGCTTCGCCTGGGCATCCGGGCAAGGTGTGACAATTGGCATGTGGTAGACGCTGTAGACAAGATGAGGGGAAGCGGCAGGAAGTGCTTGGAGAAAGGGGTTTATTATTAGCACGGTCGATCCGACCTTGTCCTGCCCCTCATCTCATCTCTATATCAACTTCATGCCATCCCAAATGTTTTGGCTGGCTCAACGGCAATGTGCGAGAAACGCTGGATAGTTGTCTTTAAGTTTCATATTGATGTTGTACAGGAACTATGGACATAGCAGCACTAAGAAAACACGTCCTAGGTCGGACAAACGCTTAAAACCAGCTTTAGAGGCATACTCTCTATGCTTCGAGAATATGCCTCATAAGATACCTCCTCTCTCGGATATCAATCATCTAATTCTAAAATCTCACCCCAGTTTTGAAAATCGCTCTTAATCCTCCACGTTGCTCAAACTCTTCATAGTCCATTCGACTGATTACTCGGACCAAGTAGGCTTGAAGGTCCAGCGCTGATTCTCAGTGCCCTGGGCGAAGGGAACGCCAAGCTCGAACAGCTTGACAATGACGTTGGAGAAGTCCTTGAAGAAAGTCTCGTTATCCTTGGCATACTGCTCAACGTACTTCTTGAAGGTCTTGTCCTGGATCAGGGCATAGTCGGCAGGGAGCATCATCAAGGTCTTGGTGCTCTTGTCCTCGTACTGGGCAGGGCCGTCCCACTTCTTCCACTGCCACTTCTCGTTCAAAAGCAGCTTGAAGTAGTCGTTGGTCATGACGGTAGGGGAAAAGGTCCAGGGGCCAGAGAAGCCAGAGCGGTCGGTGTGGCAGCGGCCGAGGGCGTGAGCACCAGCCAGAGCAACGATCTCCTGGTCATTGAAGCCCATACGGTAGAAGATATCGCGGAGGTGCTTCTCACGCTTGGAGGCGTCGGGAAGGCGGCCGTCCGGGGTGCAGGCTGCGGCCTCGCCGTCGCTGCGGCCGGGGCGGTAGGGGATAATGGGACCTTGCATTTCCTGAATGGCGCAAACGCCACCAAGGATCCAGAGGTCAGAGTAGGTGATCCAAGGGAATTGCTCTGTGGCGAAGTCAGTAATCAAGTTCAGGGCGTTTAGTGTTCAGAAATGTTTGGGAAGCGGATCTCAAGTGGCGCGTTAGGATTGACTCACGCTTAACAGGCTCGAGGAAGTCACGGGCAGCCTTCAAGCCAGCGTTGGCTCCGTGGTCGGCCTCGGGGGCAAAACGCATGGTGGCACCGTTGCTGCCGCCAGTGCCAGTCTCCTTGTCGAAGGTACCGCTAGCGTGCCAGGCCAAGCGGACAAGAACAGGACCGTAGCTGCCGTCATCGTACTCATCGTTCTCTTCGAGACGGTCGGCAATGGCCTTGTAAACCTTCTCGTAGTCGGCCTTGGTAGGGTTGGTGACCTTGGGAATAGAGCCGGCAGAGACACCACCCTCGCGGGTATAGAAGTATGCTCCGCCACCAATGACAGCGGCACCAGTGAGCCAAACCCAGGTGGAGCTGCCAGACTTGCCGGCAGGCTCAGAGGAGTAGAAGCGGCGGCCCTGCTGGCGGAAGGCCTGGCGGGGGGCGACAGCGAAGGTGTTTCTGGCGGTGGTTCTCATCGCCGCGCGGGCGAACTGTCTAGTAGAGGCGGCCATCTGCTTGCGGGAAGCTTCGTCAGTATTAGATGCCTAGGCGTGATATCAAGGAGAGAGGGAATGGAGGAGGAAGAGAGGTAAAAAGATGGAAGGAGTTAATGCCGGTATAAGACAGCTCAACAGGGAAAAATCGTAGTGGAAGAGTGTGTTAAAGGGATAGCTAGTGACTGACCTTGAAAGAGCTTTTGTGGTATGGTTACAAGATATCAAAAATATGATCACAATCGCAATGGGAGGTATATGAAAGAAAAAGAAGGGAAGCTTTGGAGCAGAGGCAGGGGCGAGAAAGGGAGAGATCAGTACTTAAAAAGACTTGAGAATGGTTGCTACCCGGGGGGGCGTTTGAGAACTACCTCTGCACCCTGGGCTTTGCCGGGCTGGCACACTGGCCACAAGGCCCGCGTCGGCCAAGAATCCCGCCTTCTGGCACTTTTGGAGGGGGTGAGAGACGAGGGCCGAGGGAGACGGCAACGTATGAAATGAGAAATTGGAAGCCTCTGAGTGGTCAGATTGGGAAGCTCCAGTCTGGAAACAAGGGACCAGGGGTGGCCGAGGTGCGCGGGAGCCACTTGTTTTTGCTCCGGGGCCCTTGCCCACTGCTCGCGATGTGGGTTCCCATTTACGTTTCTTGCTGGACGTTTTTATGGTGGGGCCATTTGGCGTCGTCGTCGTCGCGCCTTGGACTTGCGACAGCAAGGAAAGGTATGCGCGGTACCTGTAAGACGAGCATCCTGCAAGACAAATGGAGCTAGTATGCACGTTACTTTGCAATTTTTGCTGGGGTCCAATGTCGAACCCAATTCGAAACCTGCCGGTCACGGCTACCGTTCATAGGGGTGGGAGAAACGGTCTGGGGGAAGGTATCTTTCACAATAACACGTTGAGAATTCCCAAAGGGTTGCGAAAAGACGACTGACACATGCTCCGACAAACCCATGTGGCCATATCTGACTTCCGCTTCTACATCTTTTTTTTTTTTTTTTTTTTCACCCGTCCCCTTAGCTCCGATAATGGAGGCGAAACTCCAACTAAGCAAGTCCAGACCTGAGTTGCTTTCATAAGCAACTGTCTCCAACTTTAGCACACTACAAATAAATCAAATCTTAATGTCCAATGAGCGATTGCCAGTCCCTCAATTGGGGCCGTCGTACTCCGTCGACCTCCGTTGTCGTTACCGATGATGATATTCATCTCCACGGTATCTGGATCCTGTTCCTCGGCTAGCCCAACCGATGATGACCCCGCCAAGCGTCGACCGCAGCGGCGGTGCTGCGCAACCGCCTTGCCCTTTCATTTTGTAGTATTTGTAATGAATCTCCCGGGGGGCCCAATTTATCCCCATTGTAGGTTGACTCGAGCCCCGGACGGGGCAGGCGCCGATGTAGGATGGGGCGGTTGCTTTCGTTCGGAAGAAACAGTCACCTGCAGATCTGACTGACTGACTTGGCCTGTCTCTCCGAGTACTGTGTGCAAGTCTGAAGTACCTCTGATGTTCTGATACGGCGTAGTAAACGTGCTTCAGTTGTCCACCCACTGCGAAACGGCACCACCAAAACTCGGCCTTCGTTGACTCAGCCTTGGCCAAATTGCCTCTCCCCTATTTTCCCTCTTTCGTTTTTTTTTTCTCTTTCCAACGGGACTACAAGCTAACAGACGTCTCTGCATTTTGAGGTGTGCATCAAACTTACCTTGGCGTGCCCTTCTAATTGCGTCTCTGCGGGTCTCGGTTTCTCGATCGTGCACATGGGAACCTGGATCTGGACCCTCCATATGACGCCCTAAATCACAAAGCACGCTGTTGTTGCCATCGCGCCGCAACAAATACATACTTGCGCTGTTCACCTACCCCTCCACTTCCCACGGGTTCGGATGCCCCTCTTCCAGCTCACGCCATGACGGTGACATGGTTCGGCAGCACGGCAGCGAGCCTGTCAATTCCGTCAAACGGCCGCTGCAATATTTCCGAGACCGTTCCGAGCCGAAACTTGCCAACAGCTGCATTCTCTCAGACCGAGGGTGCCCTCGGGGAAAATGTCTATTCTTCTCTAGTGCAAAAGTTGACCTCCCCTGGCGTAGGCCTCCTCAAACGGGCAAAAACTTCCTGAAAATCCTCCTGTTCTGACTGTAATCAACCACCACCTTCACTCACCCCACTGACAATTAGCTTTGAAGCCTGAAGCCTATCGCCCACCGTATGTGCAATGCACACCATGCAGAGTATAAATAAACGCCACTACCATGACACATTTGTCACCATTGACTTGTTTCCCTGAAGCCTTTCCAAACACTTTCGGTAACCTACCCGCTGACAAACCGAACTATTTACCAAGGACGGCTTAAGCAACCGTGGGATCTGCCAGAAACCTCGGCGTCCGCCGACTTTCGTCGGCGGCGCTACCCGCACCTTAACCGCTCCGTTGGGGCATCGTGGCTCAACGAATCATGATCAGCAATTTATACTCGGGTGCGAAAAGTCACGTTTTCGCATCCAGTTTGGAGAACAACGCTCTTTAGTCTTTATTGAGCTATTATGATTTGCATTGCAGCTGGCACGCAAACCCCGAGAGCTGGCATCGCGCGAACTTCTCGCACCAAAGCAAACACCCTCCGTTAAATGTGGTCTCTCCGTGTAGTCGCGGCCTCTCTCTATGGAGTACCCCCTACACGCTGCATACAATACAACTTCGTCGAGGCTGACCACCCGTGCAAAATCTGTCGTGAAATCGAGTCATATAATACAAGAAAATCGAGGAAAGCCTCCAGGGTGCCCAGAGCCCCATAACTCCTGGATGCCTAATGGAAAACTGACCAAACTCCACCTAGTTGAACAACGCCGTCCCTTGGCCTTCCACGTCTGGCTCGTTGGGCAGCTCATAGTACTTCAGGTATCTAGCCTCGGCACGGTGTCTTGTCGTCTCGTCCAACTCGCCTCCGCCAACACCGTTCTCTTTGCCAGCGGATTTGCCTTTGGCCAAGACGGAAATGGATTCAGGGCTGTCATCGCGTTAGCATCCAAGATGTCTTGATACAGAAACTTTAAGACTTACCCATAAATCTCTCGATCGATGGACAGGAACTGCTTCATAGCATCCTTGCCACCCCGTTGCTGCAGGTATGAAAGGTAAATGTGGTATAATTCCTTCTTAGTTGATGCCGACAGGCGACTCTTGGTTCGCAATTCGTCAAAGATCTGCTTCACACGATCGCCATGTTGGTCCTCAACTTCGGTACTAGTTGCTTGTTGCAGCTCAAATTCCAGCCACTTGTCCCAGAAGACGCGGCTGTCGGCGTACCACTGCACATTTTTAAGAAACACGTTGCGCGCCTCTTCGGTTGAGCCCTTGACCTTCCAGAGGAAACAGGCCCACTCTGTCACCAAGGCCGCCTTTGTGAAGATGTCGACTTGCGGGGAGTCGATCTGTGTCTTGAAAACCTCAATCGCGGCGTCAAGTCCACTCTGGCGACGTTGAAGGTGTGCCCATGAAGTAATGGCCTCAATGCAGTCAGGTAGCTTTATCAGGATCGCAGCATGAATATCTCGCGCGATGTCCACGCGCCCACAGCTCTCTTCGAAATAGGCCCACTGGAGTCTAATGCCCGGGCGGCTGATGGGCACAAACATGGTGGCGGCGCGTTGGTAGATGATTCTGACCTCTTCATCCTTGCCCTCCTGTGCTGACATCCATCGGGCGTAACGGAACCAGAATTCGTCGTAGAACGCGCAGGTAACCAAGCATCGCTCGTAGAGGAAGACAACTCGCGTGAAGCTGCCTTCAGATTCCTCAAAGTCGAGGTACTTGCGCCAATTGGCGAGCTGGGAGTTTTCGAGTTCAGTGACGTGGAAGTAGGGTCGCTTAACCTCGGATTCGTATGTCCATCGCTTGTTGGTCTCATTCTGCGTCTGGGTAAAATATTCGTAGTACATAGCGTCAATCTTGGTTCGGATGTCGCGCTCGACCTCAAGTTCCGTTCGCTGCACGCCAGCATACTGGGCACTCTCCGCCTCGACTTCAGCTTTGAATCTGTCCAGCGTATCGGAGGGGACCAACTCGGCGATAGGCCGACTGTGAGATAATTGGCGGAACCGCTCGAAATACCGAGCATACTGGTGCATCGGAATGTGAATGACGCGGGAAAGAATGGCAAATATCTTATCTTGCGCCTCCTGCCGCTCTTCGTACTCAATGTATTTATCCCAGAAAGGGTGGGCAAGAAAATCAAGACCGACAGAGTTGGCGCCGCGTTCAAACAACCTGGAGCATAGGGTCAACAAACGGCCAGAGATAGGGGAAGGGAGTGACCAAGGCAATGGGGAAGGCGGGATATACAGGAAGGGGTATCAGGTGAAATCAACTAGCGAGTCCAAGTCCAAAGCATTCCAAGGAGAGCGGTATGGTGGAGATGCGACGTGAAGCGTGAAGCGTGAAGCGAAGAACGGATCAGGTCATCGTCAAGTGGAAATCAACAGAGCCTGGTAAACTAGCGTGAGAGCGCATCCCAAAATTGGGGCTGCTGTTGGCATTTCTCACCGTCGGATACTTGGAGGGGCCGTGGGTACAGCCCATGCATCGCTCGGTCGAAGTCTTGAGCGGCCCGGTAAGGCATGCTGTGGTGATGGTGATGTTAAGGGGAAGGAAAGCCGACCGTTAATACTTACTCTCTGACGAGGTGTGGGACATGGGTGGTCTCCATTTTGAAGGAGCAGTAGTCGGTCCACAAGTCGACAGAATTGGTGATGCTGGCGCATCCACGCTCGTAGACCTAGAGAAGAGCGCAAGTCAGCGGCGGCCCGGGAACCAAGGGAGGGAGAGAGCTGAGGCTGCGATGCGACACGCCACAGTGTAACAGTTACTCACCATTTCGGCAGACTCGGGCCCAGCAATATTGAACTCGAGATCGGCATACTTCTTCCAGTAGCCGAAAAGAAGGGGGAACTTGAGCAGGAAACGGTCGTAGGCATCGCGGAGGGTTGCAAGCGCCTGTGGACTGGAGTTACGGTTCAAGCCGCCCTCTAGGCCCTCGCAGGCGCGAACAAGTTTTTCCCAGTTCTCGAAGTTATCGGAATCAGCCTCCTGTGATGTAAGAAAGGTTAGCCAAAGGCCAATTGGGCAGGGAAGCAGGTGCGGCGCTGGCGATGTTGCAGTGACGTACCACTTCAGCTTGAAGCTTCTTGATTTCGGCGTTCTCCTCGTCGGAGCTCCCGAAGTGGTCGAAGTCGGACATGGTAGGCTTTTTATTGAACAACGAGTGGCGGAGAAATGATAAATTTGCAACTGTAAAAAGAGTCTGGTGGGTAGGCGCAAGACTGCGACAGGCTGCAGCTGACGTTGAAGACGGGTTGCAGATGGCAGAATGAGGGCGCCGCGGGTCGTCGAGACTGTGGCCGTTGGAACCGTGGATGGCCAGGTCAAGCTTCGAGGTCGCGAAAGGGAAGGGGGGCTGGAATTTTTTATGAACGGGCGCGGCACCGCAATACGGGCTGCATGTACTATGGGGCTGGAGCAGGATGGGTTGAGAAAAGATACCTGCAACCCATGTACCTTGGCAGGTGAACCCTTGCCAGGTGTGCTTTATCAGTGACGCGCTCGCCCAGTTATGATCGGCCTGAACTTTGAAGAGTTCAGGTGGCCCTCTACTTGGGAGAAGAGCTGGTACGGTGCAGCCATGTACCGGTCTGCCAGCCAGCTTAACGCTTTTGCTTGCAGCTGGGCCTGCTCTGTACTAATGTAGACATGTACGGCATTTCACCAAGGCACAACACCCCAGGTGGATTCCGTGCAGCGCTTCACTGTTTTTAGTTTACGCGCATCAGCTGCTTCATGGCGGTAGCGAGTGGACCAGCCAACCATCCCATCCTGCCCAGGTCTCTTCCCTGACTTCCTGCATAACTTCATCGGATTCTGGCAGGTAGCCCGACTGATGGATATTGTCCATGGTGGAGCACCTAAGCCTGTCTGCGGCTGGCGTCGTCTGGCTGCCAAGCGGTCACCCAACCCTCCGTCACCCACCACAACCTGGAGTCTGTCTGTCCTTTTGCTGGGAAGTTTTTTTTTTCTTTTTTTTCTTTTCTTTCTTAGATTACACTAGTGCGGAGAGCCTTAGATAAGCAGATGGGTCAAACATTGGGTCTTATTTGACGTCGGATAACTCGTGAAAAAACCTTTCTCTTCTCTTTTCTCTCTCCTACAAAACAAGGCTTATGATGATCTCCCAAAAACATATGATAGGAAGAGAATGACTGCTCACCCAAGGTGGCAGCGTGATCTCAATTCACTTAATCTGAAGCCTGGTCTGCGTAAAGCATAGATATTCGCCTCCTACCGCTTGCATGGGATTTCCCAAGCCTGGTCACCTCCGCGTCTCATCTTTCAGTATCCTCCCCCTTTTCCCGCCTTTCCCCCGCACACTCTATCTACTCCAAGTGTAGATTAATGCCCTTGATCAGTCTGCTGCATACCCAATCCTCCATCCCCGTGACTGCCCCTTTTTGCGAGCTCAAGGTTTATTGCCTTTTTTACTGTCGACCACCAACATCTTGCACCAGAGGGGGTTTGTTTTAGGTTTGTGTTTCGTAACATCTTGACCTGAAAACACCTGAATCTTTGCCAGGCGGGCCAAAACTGCCTTACTGATGTTTGTCGATTCTCGTTCGATTTTCTCGCCAGTTGGCCTTTTATGAGACATGGCGGCCAAACCGGCTGTTTGTGAGCCATTTGAAGCACAATGTCGAGCTTCGGATCTATGGCATTGTCATAATTAGTCAAGAAATGCATTGGAGCGACAATGACACGACCACTCTGGTAGCATGCTGAGTCAATCCTGTACTGATTAACTAAATCCTGGTTAGCATGGTACTTCCTGCCTAAGAGATATCTTTGACAACGTCAGCAGTTGCACCCAAATACTATTGTATGATTCGGCGGTTCGTTTGTAGAGAAACGCACCGCCTGCTTCGCTACTGGCGTGGTCCCAGTTGTACTTGTTGGCGTGGATGCAAGCCAGAATATCTAGAGAAACTGCGTTATACCTCAACGAAGCATCCAGCACAGGAGCTCGAATATGGGCTACTTATGACAGGTTCCTAAGATGTGCCGCGCCACTTGACATTCGAGAGCCCATTCAATGTATCATATTCTCGCCTGTCTGGTTGAAGTAGCCTTCCACGGCTATAATTTTTGTTGTTAAGTGCCACGGGGCCGTCCCTGCTTTCTCCCAAACTACCTACACCGATTACGTTTCAACTTGGCCATACCAGATCGTACCCAGTTCTACCACAGCTTCCTTAAATGAAGATGAGGCTTACACCTAGAATTTCGGGCGTGCAATAGTAGGGAACCTGGAGGATGGAATTAGTGATAGAATGCCGGGATACAACGACCTCGCGCAATCGACAGCTCATAGTGGGTGGGCTATCTCATGAGATACTACTGTCAGCAATGGTTTGGTGTCCACGCAGTCGGGTGTCATTCATGGATGGTACCACAAATATGAATGTATTAAACTCAACTTCTCACTTGTTGAATGCACCTTCTGGGTGTTCATCGCATGTCCGGCTTTCCTCATCCTGTCTTCCCAATGAGACCCCAACATATGGACAGGGTTGAGAGTTTATGTGCCTAAGTTTTCTTTTAAACAATCTATAATGTTTACGGCCAACCATACGCAAAAAAGGACGGTCACGTTGAATGGCTGCTGTGGACAGTACAATTAACTGGATTCACGCCTTGGAGGGGGCAAGTAGGCGAAAGATCGACACGTTTGGGCAGCTTCTCCCTCATAGGTGGTCCGTGGAGTCTAAACCGAGCTGCCCACCCAGGCTGAGCTAAGACGCTAAAGATACAGCGGCCCAGGTTCTAAAGTCCTTGCACTTCCGGCGGGACGGACGTCATCCCTGGGCTCCGCATGGGCAACCCAAATCCCACTTCAATCAGCCACAGCTTTCCATCGTAAACCTTTTGGTAACTCCAACCCATTGTGCCGTCGCGCACCTCTCTTCAAAAGCGTTCTCACGCGACCTGCTTCGTCTCCCAGTCGAGTCCGATACTCCTCCCACTTGGCTACCGTCGACGACACACTTCGATAAATGCAGGCCAGAGCCCCAGCAGTCCAAGCATGATCTGCGAGAGAAACATCTCCTCGACTATCTCAGCTACACCTCACAACGATGGATTACGCCAGCTCCGGATCATGGCCTTCTCAGGTGCCGGCACCCGAGAAATCTAGCAAGCTTTACATTCGCGACTATCCCCATCGTGCAATTGCCATCGTCTCGTCTTCCCACGCCCTCATATTCCGCTATAACTTTTCTAGTACCGGCACCGCCGCGAATGGCTCCCTTACCTCTCTTGCATCCACCCGTTCGCGACCAAACGGAGGCGACGGCACCGCATCGAAATGCATGGTCGAATTTACTCATATTACCAAGAAAACGCTGGCCGACTACCGTCCCTTAACTCCGCGACCCATTTACGGAACGTTGGGATTAATATCTGTAGAAGGAGACGTGTTCCTTTCAGTCGTAACACATGCCACAAGAGTTGCCACCCTGAGGCCAGGCGAGACTGTGGAAAGGATTGCTAGCGTTGCCTTTTTTTGCCTGAACAGTAGCGAATGGGACGATGTTGTGTCGCTTGACCCCTTGGACTCGGAGATGTCGGATGTCAACTCGGTCTATGGACAGAACCTTAGAGGACGGGAAGTGACCGTTGAGCACCCATGTACAGACCTTCGGAAGCTTCTAGGGAACGGGACTTTTTACTACAGCACTGATTTTGATCTCACGAACAGATTACAGGACAGGTAAGGGCTTTCTTTCCTAAAGTAATTGTAGCTGACTTACACTCTTAGAACTGTGAACTCATTCGTATTCGATATCGACAACTTTGATGATTCTTTTTTGTGGAATTCCTTCATGATTAGTCCGCTGGTCCAGTTTAGGTCTCGTCTGCTGCCCCAGGAGCGCGATGCTCTTGATTCCTCGAGATTTCTGACTTCAGCTATCCGTGGTTTCTGCCGTACAATGGCAATTCCGCAAACAAGCGCTCCTTTGAAGACTCGGTCAACTGGATTACCGTCTTACCTAACAGTTATCTCGCGTTTATCCAGTAGAAGGGCTGGAACCCGATTCAATTCTCGAGGCATCGATGACGACGGCAATGTGGCCAATTTCGTAGAAACTGAAACCATTTACTGGAGTCCTGGTGGTACACTGTTTTCATACGCCCAGGTCAGGGGCTCCGTTCCATTATTCTGGGAACAGACCGCTGAGCTCATTCCTGGCAAGCAAAACATCACTATCATCAGGTCCCCTGAAGGGGCACAGCCAGCTTTCAACAAGCATTTTGATGACTTGGAACGAGCTTATGGCGCTGTTCATGTGGTTAACCTCCTCAGTGAGGGTAAGCCCGGCGAGGCTCAATTAAGCCAACTTTATCACCTTGCTGTACAGCACTGCCCATTAAGTCAGGTTGGCGAGGATGAGTCTCAAGATCATGCGCTGCTGCGAGAAACACACTACGACTTCCACGCCGAGACGAAAGGGCCGGGTGGGTACGAGGCCGCACGTCAGATTCGCAGATACATCGAGAACTCTACGGATGGGTTTGCTTATTATCTAGCTGAAGAAGCGGAAGATGCCGAACCTGATAGTCACGACTCTCGGGATTCTCATCGGATGGTGGTAGTTCTCCAGCAAGAAGGTGTCTTCCGGACGAACTGTCTTGACTGCCTGGACAGAACAAATCTTATTCAAACCCTCATATCACAGATGGCCACAGAAGCATTCTTAGGCCATCGGGGAGAGTATGCAACATCAGACTTCTGGATGAGACACTCAACCCTATGGGCAGACAATGGGGACGCTTTGTCCAAGATCTATGCTGGGACTGGTGCACTGAAGTCATCATTTACACGCCATGGGAAAATGTCTCTGGCTGGCGCAGTTGCTGATATGCGTAAATCCGTACAAAGGCTTTACCACAACAACTTCACAGACTCAGCAAGGCAGACGACAATTGACCGCCTCCTTGGACGCCTAGTCAATCAAGCACCCGTTCTCCTGTTTGACCCAATTAGCGATTATGTCTCTGGTGAGATCAATAAGCGGAATGCTGAGTTCTCGTCTATTCAGGATATCACCATGTAAGCCTACTCAGCTCCATGCAACTTGTACATACTGACTGTCTAGGTTGGTTGGCACATTCAACCTCAACGGTCGCACCGAGGGTGTTGACCACGATCTTTCTTCGTGGCTCTGCCCAGAGGAGCTTGGTAGTGTGCTGCCGGAAATCGTTGCTGTAGGGTTTCAGGAAATCGTTGAATTGAGTCCACAGCAGATCATGAACAGTGATCCATCGAGAAAACAGCTGTGGGAAAGCGCAGTAAGGAGATGTTTGAACAAGCGTGCCCAAACACTCGATGGGGAACGATACGTTCTGCTTCGGAGCGGACAGCTTGTTGGGGCTGCTCTGTGCATATTTGTCAAGGCATCCGTTTTGGCCAAAATCAAGAATGTCGAAGGAAGCGTCAAAAAGACAGGTTTGTCAGGAATGGCGGGCAACAAGGGAGCAGTTGCCATACGATTTGACTTTGCGAATACCCAAATTTGCTTTGTGACAGCCCATCTGGCCGCAGGCTTCTCGAATTACGACGAGAGGAACAGGGACTATGCGACAATCCACCATGGTCTACGGTTCCAACGCAACCGTGGCATTGATGATCATGGTACGTGTCGGCTTTTAAACCCTTGATATCTCTCGTGTGCTTCGATAGCGACCCAGCTGACAAGATTGTAGATGCTGTTGTCTGGCTGGGTGATTTCAACTACCGGATTGGTCTTACTTCTGAAGCTGTCCGCGGATTGGTTAAGAAGCGAGACTTAGAGACGCTCTACGAGAATGATCAGGTAAGCAGTAAGCCTCTGAGGTTTATTGTAGTTGCTGACTTCAGTCTCCAGCTGAACCTCCAGATGATTGCAGGACTAGCTTTTCCATTCTACTCCGAGGCCCGGATCAACTTTCTACCAACATATAAATTTGATCTTGGCACTGATGAATACGACACATCGTAAGTTTTTACGTCAGACAAAGTTTGCACTGACTGTTAACCTCGTCCAGTGAGAAGGCACGAATCCCAGCATGGACCGACCGCATCTTGCGCAAAGGCTCCAATTTACGTCAGCTGGCTTACAGCTCTGCGCCGCTGAAGTTCTCTGATCACCGACCAGTGTATGCCATTTTCCAGTGCAACGTGAGCATCGTCGATGAAGCGCTGCGGGACCGTATCAGCCATGACCTCTACCAACGGCGGAAAGCGGAAGTTGGCGATTCAATCGCGAACTTGGATTCAGAGGAAACCGACGATGAGGATCTCATTGGCTACGAAGCCATCGAGCCGGGATTGCCCCCAGCGAGTTCTGATCGTCAAAAGTGGTGGCTGGAGAACAAGCAGCAGGCGAGGGCCGACATCAAACAGCCCAAGGCCCCTGACGGCCATGCCACGATTCTGAACCCTAACAGACCACCAAATCCGTTTACGCCAACAGGCGAGCCGGACTGGGTGAACGTTCCGCGCTCAAGGCTGTCGTCGTTTTCAAGCGTGTCAACGTCACCGTATGAAAATGTCTATGCCCCAAGTGACCTCTCATCGTCAGCCACCAGCACAACGGCAAGGAGACTGCCGCCACCTTACGATCCGTCTACACTTCCAGCCAAAATGGGCAGACTGAATATTAAGGAAGAGAAGTCGTCGCAGCGGGGGGAAACACCGCCGCCACCTCCACCCCCTAGAAGGCAAACAGGGGTTGTTTCTGCAGCCCAACACCCTCCGTTGACGATGAACCAAGCCCCTTTGATCCCGTCAAACAAATCCCAAGCAGTACCGCCAGTTGTTCCGCGACCATCGTCGTCGGTGTCTCAATCTTCACAACAATCTAAGGGCAAACCGGCGCCACCTGTTGCAAAAAAGCCAGCTCATCTTGCCACAGCACCAGCGTCCATTTCATCAGCGTTGACAAGCAGCGAAGACACCTACCATACCGATAATCCGTTAGACAGACCGCCACTACCAGTGCGGGCCTCGACGGGCCTCTCAAACACAAGTTCGAGCACGGGAGGCGGTGTTGTCAGGAAGCCGATAGGCACTTCAGCTAAACCCCCTAAACGGGCAGAAACATTTAGTATAGAATCCGGAAGACATGGCCCTCGAGCTGGATCGGTCCCACTCCCAGGCATGACACCTGTTGAGCCTCGACCAAAGCCGCAGATCCCAGCCAAGATCCAAAGGAAAGCTGCACCGGTAGACCTATTAGACTCGTTGGGTGATGATAATCACAGTGACATGGGAAGCTGGGAGACGTTGGTTCCTAGCACACAAAAGTAGTTGAGATGGATCTGAAGTTTGCGGCATAAACGCTTGACGCAATGGGGCGGACGTTATTTACAAAATAGATGGGTTGCTTGGGTCAAATCGGCTAGTGGAAAAAGAACAATGGGCGGGCTACTGCTGCTATAGCACTAGAGAAGAAATGTTTAGTTAAAGAAAAAGAATACCAAAGATAGTCACACTTCTGGTGCGGTTTATCGACTGCCGTTTTCCGGGAATCGCTTGGCGCACTCTGTATGTCATTGTTGTCCGAAGTTTGATGAATCTCAAAGTGCCTGCCCCGCCATCGCTGGCTATCAGTGAGGGTGCCTCTGGAAACGGCACTTGGAGTGCCGGGAACCAACACCAATTGGGTTCCCTACCAAGGCCGCCCACACAACGTCACTCCAAGAACAAGGCCTTTCTCACCTCGCCACAGGGCGGCCTCACCGAGTTGTTGGATGGACCCCTTAAATTAGGAATTTGACTTTCACATCCACCTCGTTCTTTCTACGTCTCTCTCCATTGCCTTCGTTTCCCCCTTCGCCATCAGAGCGTTTCCAATCACACAGTTTCTCGTAACACCACACCGCTTCCTGTCATCTCAACGAGTAGATACACTCTCCGCCCACCTCTTTCCACGCAGTTTTAACATCTGACAGCGGCATTAGCTCCAGGTAGTGGTCGCGAGGACCAGGTCACGCCCACCCACCTCTCCGGAAGACGCCACAGCGAACAAGGGGTGAGAAGCACAAGGTGCTTGAGTCGTTGCACGCGCCGCGCCGCCGCAACACCACTTCTGCGCCTTTTCCTCTTTCTTCCACCCGCTTGCGGAGCCACCAGGCCCCAATAACCTACTGGGGACTGGAGCCTGCCGATCGCGGGGCAGGCGAACCCCGAACCAGCAACGTCCCAGTAGGGTGACCAAACCTTCTCGTCGTCTTCTTTTTATTTCCAAGTTCACATCTTTATTGGCTTGCAAGCGGCGTGAGAGCCGGGCTGCTTCACAAGATCACCGGCTTGCCTTTCGCCGTCCCATCTTCTCTACGCCTTATCAACCTAAAAGTCCCTAAACACCCTAATTCTCAGCCTTCACTGTCTGACCTTTGCCTAATCACCTGCTGATCCTTCCACCAACTCTTTTCCCCTTCATTACCCTTGGCGGGAATCTGTGGGTTTGTTGATGTACCTTCTAAGCCCGAACCACAGACGGACATGTCGTAACTAAAAGACAAAAAAAAAAAAACGACGACGACGACTACAACGACTACAACGATCGCACCACCCCACCGCAGCTCCTACATCGTTTTTTCCCCCTTCACAGGCGCGTTAGTCTTGTTGTTTTGTTTCTCTTTGAGACCTGCAGCAAACCACCATAACACCAAAACAGACGGATCGCTGCGATAAACATCGCTTGACCCCCCCTGGCACCCTTACTTTCGACTTTCTGCGCCTACGGCCAGTCACAAGTCCTAGTTTATACTACACTTGCTTCTTCTTCCTCTGCCGGACATCTCCCGTCCCCCCCTTTCCTGCAGGCAGATACTCTACATTCTGAATTTTCTGCCGTATGCCCTTCTGTTTCATACGCCCGTGGGCGTCTCGCTAGGATCCGTTCTCCCCCTTCCCATCGCCAGAGAATCTGCACCTCAGACGACTGGATGACAAGAGTTGGGCTTTGACTTGTCCTTCCTTCCACACATCTTTCTGTTTATCCTCTGACATTACTGTTCACCAACCCTTCTTGGCTGTCTTCCTTTTTCTTCCAACTTAAATCTTGTCACCTTCCCTCCCAACCACACTCCCGTCCACACCCTTAGCCTCCCCCTTGCTCTTGTTACCATTTTCGGCTGCACTACCGTTGCTATTGCTACTTGCTCATCCTATCTGGTGCCATCAGAATCCGGGGTTGGCGCAGTCTTAATCGTCCTTAAGGCCAAAGCATATCTCACCAAGAAAAGCACATGAGAGGGCCAGTTGCAACTAAAGGAAGCTACCGAGTCAAAGGAGCAACGCTCATACTAGACAAGCCGATCCCGTGCTCCAACCCAGCAAAGCCTTTCCTGTTCTAATATTTACTCTGTTGGCCTCATCCATATTTTTCCTTTCTTTCTTTTTTCAACCTGTCACCCACATCTAAACGCAACGGACGGACAAACGAACAGACGAACACTGGCGACATAAGCTGTTTAGACGACCGCACCTTATTTGATTCCGCCTGGACGTAAAAAACCTTCGCAAAGCACCAACCCCTTCTTAGCCCTGCAACGCGAAGGCCTCGTGGTCTCGTCCAATACCAACACCGAGAAGCCACGGCGAACTGCACAGCCCCAGGGCAAGTTGCCTGCTTCTGGAAGCTCAAAACGCCTATAAACCCCAAACCAGCATCATACGAGGCCTCTCAACAAACAAAACAAGGTCGTCGTCCGAAAAACACTCAAAATGTCTCTCAGCAACCCATCCCTCACCAAGCAACAACGCATTCAGATATGGCGTGAGGAAGTGGCAGCCTCAGCATCCGTCTGCACCTGCCCACCAATGTCCCCGGCAGCATCATCTTCTTCAACAAACATCTCCCTCTCCGCCTCCTCGTCAACTTCATCAGCATCCCCCGGGGCAGGAGACGCCTTTAACTTGCCCAGAGGCGACATCCTTCCCTCACAACCAACATACTGCCCAACATGCTCCCGACTGGGAGCCCCTTCCGCATTTGGCCTTGAGCCCTCTTCTTCAGCATATCTCGACGATGTACGACAAGCACACTTGCTTCCCAGCGGAGGTCTCGACAGGCGCGGGTCCTTGATGATGTTCCGTACAAAGCACGGGAACCACGCCATCTTCCGCGGTATGCGAAACCTCGTTCGGCGTATTAGTGGCGGTAGTAGCAGTGCCGATAAGACCGGTCCGCTGCCACCGCGGGGTGCCGACGAGGTGACGAGCATGTACCGTCGCGTGACGGTGGCAGGGCTGGACGGCGCGACTATAAACAAAGCAGCGGTCGTGGCTGAGGCGAATGCCGAGGCGGATGCAATCGAGGATCTCGAGTCCGAGGGGAGGGGACACGTTCCGAAACTGATTGCCGAGAAGCAAGCGAGACTCATGAGGGCAGAGAGATTGCTTGTAAGGTCACATCGCCACGCTTGAGGCTGGCATAATGCACACATATACACATATACATACATATATAATGAGTGGACCAAGTTTGAGGGTGTCTAGTTATGCATCCGATCAGCATTCATGGAATGGGATGGCGGTGCCAGGCGTATTCAACTGTGATAGTGGCAGAGATACACATTAGTTTTTGAAAATATCATTTCATTTATCCTTTCAACCCTCATAACCTAGGTTGTCGAGCATTGTCGATAAACTACCCCCGTTTCTCTATTTGTCTTAGTGTTCTAAGTTCTGCTGATTTTCGAATCACATGTCAAGCCACTTTGTGGTCAATTACGTTGAACTCAAATATTGATGAACGTTTGTTATTTTCTTTTTTGTCTTGTAGACTGAATGGACAGGGGCATTGGGGGGAAACACTTTCTCTCTCCGTGAGAAAACGCGACGACGTAAGGACCACTATGAGGAAAACCGAAAAGAGAACACGAGACAGCCGTAAACCACCCAGCACAGGGGTAAAAGCAGGATTCGTGTGTGGGGAGGGAACAAAAAGAGAACGACCCTGGGCATGAGATATGAAGAAGGGGGAAGGTTGGTAGTTAGCTGCCAATAAGAGTCCTCGAGAGCTTCCTTAGGTCCTAGGAACAGGAGCGTTCTAGACCAGAGGGCGAATCCAAGGAGTCAAAAAAAAGGACCATGCCACGCATTATTCCTTTCTCCGTGTCCGAATCCCCAAGATCCTCCCCTATTGCTAAGATTCCCAACGCGAATCGCAGATATCATCAGCCAGCGGCAACATGCCGGCCAAATCCAGTCATCAGAAGGCCCGCATGTAGCGCGACCTATCAACCGAGTAGGCGAGCCATCTCGGTCTTGTCGCAAACCGAGATGGAGTGGTATCAGGGTAAGTCAAAATTTAGGAGGCAGCGGGAGTCTCCTCAGCAGCCTTAGGCTCCTCGGCCTTGGACTCCTCCTTCTTCTCCTCGGCGGGGGCATCGGTGGTGCCGGCTGCAGCACCCTCGGCGTCACCGCTGTCAGAAGAGGTCCAGAGAGTGAGGTTGTCACGGAGAAGCTGCATAATGAGGGTGCTGTCGCGGTAAGACTCCTCAGAGAGAGAATCAAGCTCGGCAATAGCATCATCGAACGCCTGCTTGGCAAGGTGGCAAGCACGGTCGGGCGAGTTCAGAATCTCGTAGTAGAAGACGGAGAAGTTGAGAGCCAGGCCGAGGCGGATGGGGTGAGTGGGGGTGAGCTCGGTCTGAGCCACGTCGGTAGCGCTCTGTAAAAGCCACAACGTTAACAATGAGGGCTTTTTGGGGGTGTCCATGGTCAGGATAGTGTAATTATGCTCACCTTGTAAGCCTCATGGGCCGCAGTGGCAGCACCCTTACGCTTCTCGCCGGAAGCAAACTCGGCAAGGTAACGGTGGTAGTCACCCTTCCTAGATTAGGGGGCACGGCGGTTAGTTCCGGAGCGGGAGCTTGTGTATGGAGAGTAGACGCAGTAGCATGGAAACATACATCTTGTGGTAGAAGACCTTAGACTCGCCGGTCTGGGCGTTAGGGATGAGGCTGTCGTCGAGGACATCGAGGACATCCTGGCAGACCTGCTCAAGCTCGGTCTCGATCTTGGTGCGGTATTCGCGGATGGTTCCGACGTGCTTGTCAGAGCCCTTGCTCTCCTCCTTCTGCTCAATGGAGGAGATGATACGCCAAGAGGCACGGCGCGTACCGACAACATTCTTGTAAGCAACGCTGAGGAGGTTGCGCTCATCGACGCTCAGCTCACCGCCCAGCTTGGCAACCTCCTTCATGTAGCCAACCATCTCATCGTAGCGCTCGGCCTGCTCGCAAAGGCGAGCGAGGAAGGTCTTGCTGTAGTAAAAATATTAGTAAAGCTCCGTGAAGACCCATTGCCAGGCGATGGTCTAGTTTGATGGTGGTGGTCCATCGACGAGGAGGCGGTTCGGCACAAACCTTTCACGCTGGAAGAGGGGCACAAGTCAGCATACTTTCGTTCACGATGACTGCAGTAGTGAGTGGTTTTGGGGCAAGAGAGAGAGCCAGGCGTAGCTAAAAAGGGACAAATGCCACTGATTTCGACCGTGAACCCTCATATTTAGGCCGGGAATTTGAAGCCCGATACGGGAGGCGGGTCACCGGTCGCATCATCATGGTTGTTGGTGCAGCACAGGCAGGCAACGAGGGGCGGCGGAGGGGTTTTGGAGGTGTTGGGCACCGTGGGGGAAATGGTACTTACATCGCCAGACATGTTGAGCTTTGAGATTTTGAGGTGATGCGATTAGGTAGAGAGTGGAAGAAAAGGTTAACAGAAGTCGAGAAAGAATATCTGGTAGGCGTGCGTCGGGGTGTTGGGAAGATGGGGACGCGGCTTTGTTTTGTTGTTGTAGAGAGAAAAAGATGTGCGGTGGGAGAGGAAGGAAGGCGGAGGGTGTGTTTACGTGTGACGAATTATTTTGGGAGGGGGAATCTCTAAGGGAAGTTGCGAGGCCAGTGAAGATTTAATCGGGTTGGTCCAAGGCCGCCCAAGTCGCTCCTTCCTGCTGATTTTCTCAGGTTGGGGTGCCGTCCCGTCCCATACCGTGGTACCTCCACTGGCCTTGCCTTCCCCTAGACCTACCTGCCTTGCCCTTTTTGGTGCTGTCCAGCAGGTATGCCCACTACTTGTGCCCGCTGGCTGCACCTGCCGCCGCAACGGACCCCACTACATCCCCTTCTTGCTTGTGCTGGTGGGCTCCCCTGCCTAGGCTGGTCAGGCTCTCGGGGCTCGGGGGTTCAGGTCCTGGTCCAGGGCATGGGGGCCATGGGCAGGTTCCAATTTGGCGGGAGGGGAAGAGAAACGGGGCGCTGGGCTGGGCCAGGCTCACCTGTTCCTTACGCCCAAGGTTTCTAGGACACGGGCACAAAGTGAGTAGTAGGCAGCTGGCAGGGAAGGGGGAGAGCGGGGTCTTGGTCCTCTCCGTTGTTACTGTTTTCTTCACATTTGCCGTACAATTCACTCTCTACGCCAGGCTGAGGTCTTTCTGTGTGGATAGTAGAAGCAGGGCAGTCGAACAGAACGGGGCATGCCAGGGCTAATTAGAATTAGCACGCAGTGAAGTACCTTTTGTCTCTTTTGTCGAAAAGTAGCCCTGGGGGTTTAGTTTGATGATTTCAAAGGGACAAGCTGCGGTATTGAGGAGCGGCTCGTGCTCACACCAAATCAACAAGTGCCCGTCAGCCGGCACACGAAGCCAAGCAAGGCACAGTAGAGCTACTTTTGAGACTAGGTCAGCCTACCAATGATTGACATCGTCTTCTACTGCAAAGCGAGTGCCTCCCATACTGACGGGTCCTGGAAAGCCAGAGAGTCCGTCTTTGCCGGGTAGATGCCTCATGTGCCAATCGCCACCAGCAGGGCTTAAATATTTATTGGATCTGCTTTCCATAGGACGCCGTGAACTGAGATTACTGGAGTCATCTCTCCAGTAGGAAATTAGGAAAGAAATGGGCTGTTAAATTTGAGCCTGTGAGGGGGTCACTCAGATAACTCAGGTGAATGTCACTTTGGTTTAGTGGGTGTCCAAATGGAAGAGTGTGTTTTGGGAGATGGATGAGCCAGCGCAGCACAGCATAGCACAGCGCAGCACCAGCAATGAGCATGAGCATGCAAATAATGCCTCTTGACTGGCTGAAGGGTCATATAGCTGCTAGGCCCACCTCCCGTGCGCTACCCCGCTCGTGCCTCACCACACCCCTTCAAAGTACGTATCTTGCAGCTCTTGCAAAAAACTGCACTTTTTTTCTGTCTCGTGATTCCCCCTATAGTGGTTCTCTCTTGTTCCAACTGTATCTACGTGTGAGTCTCTACTGGTTTCCTCCTGACCACACCCCCAGAGTCAACTCATCAGTTGAAAGCCCCCACCCCTCAACCTCTCATCGCGTCACATTCACTTCACCTCGTTTGCCCAACACATCAATGGCGTAACCTTCAGCGGAATTTGCACAGATGCCCTGGCACATTGGGTCGTGGATGGTTCTGCTGACGTACAAATCCATCGAATTTCGTAGGAGCCCCAGAACTTCTGCCAGCTAATTACGCCAAAATGCCCGTTCAGATTGGTGTCTTCTTTTCGACTGGGCCTCGGACATTCTTGCTTTCCAGGGCTTTCTTTTGTAGCTTACTTCCCGCCAATTTTTGGTATCCGGGGATGATTTGACATGCCTTCCATCAAAAGCTGTCCAATGTCGTTTACGAACAGTGTCTCGCTCAGACCATCTTGCACCTTAAGGAAACAAGCACAGCACTACTGTAGATCCTGTTAGCCTCATCTGTGATTCTTATCCTCAGGCTGCTGTCCATCTGAAGCCCGAGTGTGCTCAAAGACTGCTGTTGCGGATCGGGGGAAATTACTTAGCAGGCAAGCCGGACTGCAGACGACATTATGAGATTCAGAGGTCCCTTAAGACCAATCCACTAGATAGGAGCCCCGGATGATGGGGAGGACCCTAACGGGCAGACAGGGTTCCACAACAGAGAGTTGCTCTTCGGTTGCTTCCTCTCAAATCATAACGGACGTCTCGAATTCCAATCATGGCATCGCGCTGGATGACCCTCTCGTGAGTTGGTGTCTTGATGCTGGGGGCTAGCCACTCGGCCGACTAAGCCACAATCGCAGCCGGCTTGCCGCCCAACCACGACAGCCTCCCTCAACCATCAACCCTGCCGATACAGTGGTTTTCACTGCATCGTTGTGCTGTGTGCATGCTCGTCGAGAAGGCTGTGCCTTGTCATGCACGAAACCTCCATGCCCACCTGCACAGTCTGTAAAATATCCGATCGCCCATCAGGATGTTGTCGTCGCTCTCTACCTTCATCACTCGAGGAAACCAGTTCCAATCTAAGGAGGGTCCCTCCACCCGATTAATGTGATTGCCCATCATCCTTTTCCCCCTACAGTTTCCCAGCGGGTGAAACGACGAAAGGCTTTGATGTCACCATGTGGCTCACCCTTCCTTACACGTCAAATGAACTCAACCCCATCATTCCAGCAGAGACGGGTCAGGTAGTCGCCGATAGGTTTCTCTTTGGGCAGGCCCAGACTGGAAACTGTATTTATTCCGGACATTTTGACTTCTGATCAACGATCTCTTGGCTGCCACCCCCTTTTCATCCTAACTTTAGCCCTTCTTCACACCCTCCAACACGATACCATCACGGCGCAACGGTGACTCACATCCAGCACAGCCAGCGACTGCCCCCTCCATGCTTCATGCACTTGGATCGAACAAGCGACTCGTACGCTAACACGCCCAAGGGTCTCTTATCGCGTGGCAAACCTCTGGGCGTCTACATGCCTTGAAGTTAGAGCACAAAAAAAGAAAATATTCCAATCCGAAGCGGCCCGCCTTTCTCTGAGCCCAGCTCGTGTGTTGGCAATGCCAGCTTACGAGCTTCGCCTCGTCTTGCCTTACTTCGCACGGGTAATTTGATTTACCCCTCCCAACTTTTGGTATCCTGGTATCCCACCTTCGAGTGGCATGAGTCCTTGTCCCGGACTATGATCCGAAGGCGCGGGCAGGATTCATGCGAACAAGCTTCAACCCAGCTTACTTACCAGCAGAGGATCACTGGAAGGGACTGTAGGGGGACCGAAAACCCGGCGAGCAATTCGACACGAGAGTCCCACCGGGGCTCTTCCCGGCGCCCGCATATTGCACGAGGTTCTTGCATGGCCACAGCTTCTCCTCAGGACCTGTTGTCTGTCGTGGCCCCCACACCTACAAATGCTGAGAAGTCCAGCTCCAGCTTCTAGGCTGTGGATATGTGCTCCAAGTCGTTCAAATTGAGAATGGGCAATATGTATTTCGCATGGAGGACGTGACCCTTGACCTGGCAAACTCATTTAGCAGCGGAATAGCATATCCTTCCATGGCCTAGTGTCTATGTCAAACCCATCTGCTTTTGTTATCGATCATCGGTGGTCGATTCTTATGTGGCAAATGCACCTCTCTCTTGCTATCTGTACCTCAACCGAGTAATGAACCCACACTCCTTGACCGGTACCGCCGAGACCCATCCCTCCTGTTGCCGATTCGCAACTCGGGTGCAAAGTTAGGCCACTTCGGTCTGCCGCGATTCAAGCGAGCAGTATCAGAAGATAATGAGGGAATTTTCTCGGTATTTCGAGCAATCTCATGCTATTGTTCAAGCTATCGGAAAAGAAAAGAAAAGAAAAAGAACGCCTGCCGATACCGCCAATACCGCCTGACGCCCGCTTGCTTTTTGTAGTAGTCCTTCCAGTCCTTCAGTTGTGTTCCCAGTATCGACTCCCCTGCTTGATTGGTACAAGCGCCTCAAAGATGTGTGAACCAAACCAAACCAAAACCCCCCCTCCATGAAAAAAAAAAATTATTATCATAGTCCCTCCCTCTTAGAGCTCATCTGACGCCTTGCCGCCCTGACGGCTACCGTATTTATCCCTCCCCCAGTTAGCAGGGTCGCCGCCAGGCACGCACAATCCGAGCCGCCAGAAGTAATCCCTGTGAGCGAAAAAAAGCTGCCAGAGCTTGAGCCGAGACGGAAAGCCCAAAAGTCTTTGTTCCATCCATCCCGCTGACTTACCAACGCCTCCCTCTTGCTGCATTTCTGCGGCGATCTCAACCAGATCCTGTACTCTGGACTCCAGGAGCCCTCCGTCACCTTTTGTGATGCACCTGGAATCGCTATCGCCGTGACAGACTACGACATCCTCGATGGATGGCGAGAGCTCTGATTTAGAAATGTAAATCTCACCAGCGTGCGGTTTATATCCCCACTCGGTAAGCGGCAGCAACGGCACCGGGTCGCCGGCATGAGTAACGCGTCGGTAGGTTCTCTTCGGGGGTTCCTTAACTTCATTTTCTTTATCTTCCTTATCCAGGCCGTAAATGGCGTCGACGTAGTCGCACAAACCCTGGTTACCTACTTTGGGCTCCCCAAAAGTTGTGACTATGACGTTGTCCCAGCCCAGAGAAACCTTGAGCTCGAGCGATGCGAGCATTGCGACTGCACCACCGAGACTGTGACCAACCAAGTGGATGGGATAATCAGGATATTGCTCCCTCAGCTTCTTCAGGTGAGGAAGAACAAGCTTTCTCGCCTGGCGCCAAGATGCCAGGAAGCCCATATGAACAGTACATTCTTCACATCGGTGCTCCGGCTTCTTGGGCGGCTCCTCACCGCCATCGTCAGGTGCTGGGTAGGGCACGTACTCCTGCGGTACTGTACTCAAGTCCACAACAGTATTCGTGATGCTATATGTCCCGCGGAACGCGACAATAATGGCCCTCTCCCCAACCTCGCCTCCGAGTCTATCCTCATCTCCCGGGCGGCGCACGCCGTGATCGACGGCGATGTAGCCACAGCTGTCGCTTAGAAGAAGGCCTGTGTTCCAAGTTGTGACAAGGTTGAAGGAGGGAAACTCTTTGCAGCGAGAGACGCAGGAGAACGGCTGAGATATGCCTGAGTTACCGACGCAGTAGGTTATATCGACGATGCGCGAGGTGCGCTCAAGAGATCGAAATAAATCAACAGATATCGTTGGGGGAGGCTCCGTACCGTCGGTCTCGTTGCCTAATAGTGGTTGTTGCTGTTGGAAGGGATTCGTAGATGTGGTGGTAGCCAAGAGCCCGAGCAGTGGCGCAAGCTGGAGAAGACGTCGCATCGTGAGTGACTGGTAATCGGTTCGGGATGTCTTCGAGTTTTTCTAGTATCATACAGGCTATCATCGATTGATATGCCCAGAAGACATTGCATAGAGGTACCGCTTTCCGTTATATTGATCTGAGTAGTGAGCTAATAGGTCACAACAGCAGCCAGACAATAAAGTGCACTTAAGAGGCAGGTGGGCAATTGAAGTGATGATGACCACGTTGAATGGTCAAGCAAAACTCTCAGTGCCTGACCTTCCAGCACACATGATGACGGATGCGCTCTGTGCGCTACTCCTCTAAAAAAATATTACGTTGAGGCGATTGGGGATTTGCGACGAGACAGTACAGGATACCGACGTCTCAAGTTGATCTCGTGAGGTGGCTGTGGTGAGGTCATACGGCCATGCAGGGGAAAATGGTAGAGCTCCATTAAGCAAAATGCGGAGGCGTGGCCAAGCGACATTTGCCGACAAACGATTGGTTCAGAATTTGCCTGTCCCTGAAGCCTTTGGCTACTAGCACCAGGAAAAGGTGCTATAACACACCAAAGCCGACTCCCTCCTTGTCTGAGCCCATCAAGGCACTTTTTTGAGCAAGTTCATTTCAGCAGTTTCATGCGACTGGATGTGTTTAGTGAACAAGAAGTCTATTAATTGTTCTACTTGCATCGTTCTTGGAATACGGACAAACCGCATTATTAAGCCTTTCTCCAGTAAAGCTTAACTTCATTTATGTATGTGTGTGCGTGTGCGTTTGTGTGTGTTTTTGAAAGATGGTCTGCCAAGGTTCGATCGCCAGGCCTCAGCGTCTGTTTCATCATTTTGGAGTGCCTGTTTCTTTTGATGTTCATCCCAAACTGAGCTCTTAACTACTAGGGACCGGTTGTATGCTGAAAAATTTCGATCGGATGTCGTCCGAGCTGGATTTGCATGCAATGGCCCTTCTAGTCCGTTGGCGGGACTGGGCACCGCCTCCGTTGCTGGTTCCGTTGCCGGCATCTATGTCGCATACAAGGGGAACGGAGGCCGTTCCGGAAGCCTCATAATCGGCAGCACTTTGTCGGGGTTATCAGTTACCGCTTAGAGCAAAACAAGGATATCTCTTATGACCTACCCATCTTCGCCAGGGCAAACCTTCTCGATAACAGTGATAGTCTCGTTCTGCCAGATGAACTGCACAAGCTGGTTGTCACAGCTATACCTGGCAGTCCGCCCATCATCCGACACTGGCACAGAAGAGGCGTTGAGATGACATTGCGTTTTGAGGATTGTGCTGTCGTCGTTGAAGGTAAAGTCTAAAGAGTCTATTGTCTGACCATCTGGTGACTGAGCTGAGAACTGTTGGATCTGGAAGTCATCGGGTAGTGTACAGTCACCCGAGTTTGACAAAGCCATGAGGGACTCGGGGACGGCTGCCATGTAGGAAACTAAAGCCTGCGCTGCAGGGGCGGCAACGAAAAGAAGAGACAGTTGCATGATTGCCAATACGGAAAGATGCTTTTGATGATATTGATATGCACACTGCAAACGAAGGGAGTCAAGTCAAGAGATGATGGTTCGAAAGTTTGGATGAACAGTAGAGACCGGGAAGGCAGCAGGGTGATCTACTTAACAATCAAGGTTGATCTCCACGTAGTGTGTTGCTTCTGGCTGCTAGCTTCACTTCGTAATGCGGACCAGCTACGCACAGGAGCGAGCCCAAAATCCTCTTCCCGCTGTTCCTTGCAGACATCTTCAGGGGGCGGAGCGAAAAAGATCATAGAAAAGCCGAACTTATCCAGAGACTCGCAAGCCGTCTGCAGATCCTGATGCAATCATCTGGTTCGCCCGCACTCACAGGGCGACCAAGTTGAGGGGTAAGACTCCAGTTTAGGAGAAACAAGGAACATTGGTCCGTCATCAAAGATGGAGCCTGCGGCGAGAGGGATAAAAGTTGACTCTCGCATTACATGCAACCACGACATTGTGCCGGCACGCCGGTTACACCACTTCAGGGGTGCCCAGCCTTGATTGGCCACTGCTATGTTTCATGTTTCATAGCATGGCATCCTTACACGTTGGAACAGCACTTTACTTAACGTCCTTGCTTGTAGGCTGGGCCCATTTGGCATGTTGATCCCATCCCATCCGCCCCTTTTGGACAGAGGCCAAATCCTGACTAAATGAACTGGCCTTGTCCCACCATCCGTCAGTCGAATGGCACTTTGACGGGTTGACGATCAGAGGGGTTGGTCTAGCTTTGGTGGCAGATAGTCTGAGGCATCAGACGTGCGGGAAAGAAAATCACGACCGGCGGCTGAATGGAAGGGTATTAGAAAGAATCATGGCGTAGCAGGGAGTGACCACAGGTAAGCGATTAACAAGACGCTTATGGGCGGTTATTCTGGTGCAAAGTTCTTCCAATGTAGACCAACCAGCTATGCAGGTGGTTTGCACACAAGGGGGTTTGCACCAAAAGTGTATACGGGCTGCATGCATTGAATGACCAAGGCATACCATCTAATGGACTAGTGAAGCAAAATGTATCCAAGAGAATAGTACGATAGACGTCGGTGATGCGATGCAGGAACATATGCTTAGCAAAGCTCGCTGGATGGTCTTGCTGTGTGTGTAAAGGCAAAGCTCTGCCCCCTGGGAAGTCAACAGACCAATCAAAGGCTACAAAAGACAAAGACCAACCCCTCCGGACCAAACCATTCCAGTCCCTGAAAAACGACCCTAGCCACTAGCCGCCAGTGAGATTGCCTCGCTAACCCCAAGCACGTGATCACACAAACCCACATCGAAATTCCCAATCCACCATACGAACTTTTTTTTGCGAGAGGAGACTTCGACTTCGACCACTCCGACAATACTAACCCGACCACCCAACCGTCCATTCGCAGCAAAAATGGCCAAGGAAGCTCCCGCCCGCAACGGTCTGGCCACTGGCCTGAACCACGGTCACGTACGTCGTCTCAACACCCCGACCTGAAAACGTTTTCGAATCGAAGTTTCCGAAAGGGAATGAAGATGATGAAGATGATTTGGGAATACCTTTATACACCGCTTCGTCTCACCTCGTGGAGGATCTCTGCATATACCACCCTCTCTTCCACGAGGGGAGCGAGCACAATCGCTTTTTTGCAGAAGATGGACGCTGACCGGATGTGATTTTCCGAAATATAGAAGACCACCGCTCGCGTCGTCAAGCCCCGCGTCTCTCGCACCAAGGGCCACCTCAGCAAGCGCACCTCTTTCGTCCGTGACGTTGTCAAGGAGGTTGCCGGGTAAGTCGCAATTATTTTCTTTTACTAGAGGATCAAAAGAGACTTGGAATTGGGATTAGATCCGTTTGGCGAGAAACAGAACTGGACATCGAAGCCTCTCAGCATGAGATAGATGTCGCTGCACTATTACAAGGCTCTTGCTAACTTTCATATCATAGCCTTGCCCCCTACGAGCGCCGCGTTATTGAACTTCTTCGCAACTCCAAGGACAAGCGTGCCCGTAAGCTCGCCAAGAAGAGGGTTAGTTCTGATTTTCTATGGCATTCCCATCTGTGCTAACCATCGGTGCAGCTCGGTACCTTCGGCCGTGCCAAGAGAAAGGTTGAGGAGATGACCCGCGTCATCGCCGAGTCCCGCCGTGTCGGCCACTAAACGAATCAAAAATCAATCGGGTTTATTGTGCTGCGCTAGGCGATTTTTGGGGTTGGTTCTGGGCAAAATATCATGGGTATAAGGCGTGTGGTAGCCAAAAGTGGTCTCTACTGGGAAAGCCCGCTCACGGTTCCTTATGAGGCTGCATCCTCGCTATGGAATAGTTTTGCAGTTCACGACAAATACCAAAATTTCAAGCAAGCCCATTGCTTCCTCAACTGCTTCCCCCTTCACCATTAATGCGATGTGAATTGCAAGGGGGTTTCTTTACTGAAGATGCTACAATGATTGAAACGTGCCAACAACCCATGTAACCGTACACCGTAAAACTCCGTGACTGCTGTCTATCGTCTGTGCAGAGCAGCAAATGGCATACAGTGTCTAGTAAAACTAGTTTCTACTTCTTTCCGGGCAATTTCAGCCACTTAGGTAGTTTCTTCGCAGCGCTCCCTTCTCCTTCACTCCTCTCCGGTTTTGATGCAGGAACCGTACTGTGGCTGTCATCCTTTCCGCCTACGAAGTTCGGAATGTCAGGCACCGTGATGTCGGTGGCCTTTTGAGCAAAGCTTCCCTTGAGGAAGGGCCTTTTGCGGATGTCTGCCGGCACGCTATCATCCCAGACCAAATTCAAGAGTATATTGCGGGTGAGCTTATAGTCGTGGATAAGGCGGTTTTTTGGGGCATCCTCGTCCTTGATCAAGATTTTGCTACCCGGAATTACTAGCCTGAAAGCTTGGTTGTCGTATGCCATGACGGATCTTACTCCCTGGTAAAGTGTGGCGCCAGTGGCTTCATGTCCGAAAGTCCATTGGGCGGAGGTATTGTCTGGGAACCGGACCTTGACTGCCACAGTAGAGACAGCAGCCAACCGGGCCTCCTCAGCTTGAGCTTGCGCTTCCAACTCTTTGTCTGACGGGAGTCTTTTATTTTGCGAGTTTTGTAGTAGTCGAGCTTGGTGCAGCTGGGCATGCGCGATCGTCGGCGTGTAGTCCGATTCTGACACCTCTGCGAGGGCTGCCGCTGGTGTTGTGCCAGTTGGCGCACGGAAAACACTAACTGGTTGCAAAGGGTCGGTCGGTTTGGCTGTGTCTACATCCATAGCGCCACTTCCTAAGTCTCCGAGACTCGATGCTTCTTGAGATGGTAATTGACTCGCTTGTTGATTTGCTGAGGCATTCGTACTTAGATGGTCCTCGGCAGCAGGGTGTTGTGCGGTTTGCTCTACTGGTGCAAGCTGAGCTAGAGGTTCAGGGTTTGTAGGTGCTTGGCTTCTCTGTTTCGCCTCAGCTTCGACCTCGGAGAAAAACTGGTTGATATAACCCATGGCCTCGAACAAAGTCTGGTCTGTCTTTCTAAAGGACAGTCGAATCAGAACAGTGCCTGAATTGTACCCCAGTTGCGAGAGTGTCTTCTGGAAGTCGTCGAATGAGGCCAACTCCCGGCCCATGATATTAAGTACTGGTGTCTCATAGTACATCTGGCCGCTACCACTCGCTCCTCCGCTTGTTGTCTGCGCAACGCCTCGCGCGGTGATGTTGAGGTTCTTTCCTTGACTGACCGCGCCACTCTCGAACTGACGCAGGACTTTCCACAAAGTAAAATCGCTGGGAAGCTTGTCAACTAGTCTGCCGTTCGGTGCTGCGTTTGATTCCGGCGCTGGTAGTTGGAGCGCAACTGAGACGACAGAGGGAGTATTCGATTTTTGAACGAGTTCCAGCTTGGCACCAGGACTGAGGCCGCTCACCCGCCACACAACGGATAGGTCGACTTGCTTCTGTTTGTGCCTGATCACTCTTTAGCTACAAATTCGAAGGGCGACGGTACCACCGGATAAGCAACTTACTTGAGGAGGTATTTGTCACTCGACAAGTTGAGCTTCTTACAAGCCTCCTGAAGGACATCCGTCAGGTAGGTCCCTGGATTGACCTTAACAGTAGCTCTCCGCAAATCCGAGCCGATTACCACCACGTGGGAAGACATTGTGGTTGGCGAGAAGGAACTTTTCTATGCTTTGCAAGAGAAAATCGGAATGTCGTTAAGTGTGTAGTCGTTACTTCGTTGGATATCGGGGATATGGACTTCGATCGTGTTGCACTCAGGGTGTTTCGTTGGCGGGGTTGAACACTCAGCGGGGGGTGTTGCGTCAAGCTCGTGCGACGTGTGTTAGTCTGATGGAAGTTGGCGGAACAATAAAGAATGACGACAACGGGACGCGTAGCCGCAGTGTTAATACAGCCAAATGAGTGACTATTAAGTTAGAAATTTTTGGCCTAGTTGATTATTTGCTGGCGGGAATCAACTTGCTGTTTAATCAGAAGGGGACAGCACCTGTCCACGAAGCGAAAGTTAGGTAGTAAGGCCAGGCAGGTAGGTAATAGGTGCTCCGTCAGCGAAGGCAGCCGGGGACGTGCATCATCGCTGAGCACCTACTGAAAGCTGCTTCGCCGCCCAGTAAGCTTGGACCAATCAGAAAGCTTTAATCCACTGTACGTGGATTTTCCGACCACTTCGGCCGCGCCATGCGTGTTTGCCTTGCCCTTGCCTGCAGCAGTAGCACCCAGCCCAGCAGGTGCACTCAGCATTCCGATCCGGTCAACCTCGATTGCAGCTACCCAATTGCCCGTTCATCACGACGACCTTCAACGTAACAACAAGGCTACGCACAGCCAGCCCTGCGATTCATCACGACGTGGAAATCGACGATAGAACTGCCTCGACTCTAATCAGAAGCTTCTAAAGCCCCTGTGATCTTCGGTCTAAGAGCCAAAGATGGTACGCTCGTCATTCCCCCTCCTCAGCCTCAAGATGCAACTCGCAAGCTAATATCATCTTTCAGAGCTCCCCCTTCTCCATCAGTTCGTCTTCTCCACCCCTTCAACCCCCTCATTTGATCGGACATGCCGTTCTAACAAATATCTCATCCAGATGGCGGCGCCTGCGTCGCAATGGTAGGCAAGGACTGTGTCGCAATAGCCTGCGATCTTCGCCTCGGTCTCCAGGCCTTGACTGTCTCCAACAACTTCCCCAAGATCTTTCAATACGGCGACGTTTTCCTGGGCCTCACTGGCCTTGCCACCGATGTCTCGACCGTGGGCGACCTTTTCCGCTACAAGGTTAACATGTACCGCCTCCGCGAAGAGCGCAACATCGCCCCCACCACCTTCGCCAACCTCGTCAGTAGCTCCTTGTATGAGCGTCGTTTTGGCCCTTATTTTGTCTCTCCTGTCGTTGCCGGTCTCGACCCCAAGACTGGCAAGCCCTTCATCTGCGGCTTTGACAGCATCGGCTGTATCGACTTCGCCAAGGACTTTATTGTCTCTGGCACTGCCTCGGAACAACTCTTTGGTATGTGCGAGAGCTTATGGGAGCCTGACCTGGTAAGTGATACTGTCTATATATGGTACCTCTTTAGATATATCACGAAATTCTAACAGCATATCATGCAGGGCCCCGATGAGCTCTTCGAAACCATTTCTCAGTCACTCCTAAACGCCGTTGACCGAGATGCCCTGTCCGGTTGGGGCGCACACGTGTACATCATTGAGAAAGACAAGGTCACGAAGAGGCTGCTCAAGGGCAGACAAGACTAATTTGAACGAATGGGGAGAGTTGCAGGAGGAGGAGCTCAATAGGACCGCTGCGAATAGACGGTTTCTAGCTTGTATCAATAGATGGAGATGATCCACTATGAGGGCTTACGAGGCCTACATGAACTAGATGAATAACCTTGATTTCAAACAATATTCTTGTGGCTGGAATGGATTTCCATCCTTAAAAGTGGTGCTATGGCGTTTTATATACGCTTCTGTGCAAACATGCCAGCGCTGCTATGGTACAGGACAGGTCTATAATCTAGCGTGAGCTGGCGTCTATCCATCTAAGCTTCCTTCTTTGCCTTGGAAGACTCAATCGTCTTCCTCTGACTGAAGAACGATCTCTCAACAGCTTTGAGGCCTTCGTCAATGAGACTGTCAAGTTGTTAGCGACATACTGATGAGCTACTAGGCGGGCAATTGAAACTTACATAACAGGGGCACTGATGTACAACACTGCCTTCCACTCGGTCCAGTTCAGAGGCAAGATGGAGAACAGGCTTTGAAGGAATGGAGTGTAGAGAAGAGCAAAGTGGAGTGCCATGGAAAGTGTGATAGCGTAGACAAGCTTCATGTTGGCCCAGAGAGGCAAGGACAGAAGCGACTCGCTAGAAGACAAGGCATTCATGGCGTTGAACATCTCGATCACAACGAGAATTGATAGCGAAACCGTCGAGGCTGACTTAGCCGAGTTGTTTGAAAACATTTGACAGCCGATTTCGGGAAAGTCGCTTGAGCAACGGTGGAAGCGGGAGAGGTGGGAGAAGCTGATCTGGGGGCCTGCAGGATTGTACATGAACCACCAGGCGTAGCCGGCAACAGTAGCAACGCCAACATAAGTGCCAATCACAAGGTAGCGGAAGAAGAGCCAGCCGCCAATGAGGGGCTCATCGCGCTTTCTGGGCTGACGCTTCATGATGTCGTGGTCCGGAGGGTTGAACGACAGAGCAGTGGCGGGAAGGCCATCGGTGACCAGATTCACCCAGAGAAGTTGAACAGGGATCAAAGCCTCAGGCATGCCAAGTGCGGCAGTCAGGAAGATAGAGACAACTTCGCCGATGTTGGACGAGATGAGATAGCGGATGAACTGTTGGGTGTTGTTGTAGATGGATCGTCCTTCCTCGATAGCGGATTCAATAGTGGCGAAGTTATCGTCGGCAAGCACCATATCAGCAGCAAGCTTAGAGACATCGGTGCCAGAACCCATGGCAACACCGATATCAGCTTTCTTGAGGGCAGGCGCGTCGTTGACACCGTCACCAGTCATGGCTACAACCTCTCCCTGCTGCTGAAGCAAGTCAACAAGTTTGGACTTGTGGCTGGGCTCAACACGAGAGAAAAGAGATGCGGTACGGGCAGCCTCGATAGCCTCGCTCTCACTGAGGTTATCAAACTCTCTGCCAGTGAAGCTCTTGCCCTTGAGATCCTCATACTCGCCAAAAACACCAATCTGTCGGCAAATGCTCTCCGCAGTATTACGATTGTCTCCAGTGATGACGATGACCCGAATACCAGCATCCTTGCACTTACGGATAGAAGCAGCGACTTCAGGGCGAGGGGGGTCAAGCATGCCAACTAGACCGAGGAAAGTCAAGTTCTGTTCGATCTGGGCATATTGCGCGGTAGACTTGGCTGACTTCAACAGAGGGTTGTTGCCAACGTTGTCGACGCTAGCAAGCGCAATAACACGAAGACCGCGGTTGCCGTAGTCAACAATTTCCTTGGAAATCAGATCCGAGAGCTTGCGGTCCAGGGGTTGTCGCTTTCCATTGGCTCCTACCAGAGCGTGCGTGCAACGTTCAATAATAGATTCGGGAGCACCCTTGACCAGAAGCTTCTTATCTTGACCATTCTGAACCAGGACAGACATGCTCTTGCGGTCTCTTGAGAATTCATAGGTAGCGAGACGGGGGAAGTCCTTCTCATACTTCGAGCTAGCGTAGTGCACGCAGTCCTCAGGGTTGCTGTTCGGTGGGGCACAAGGACCAATCTTCTCAACCAAAACTCGTAGAGCGCCTTCAGTAGGCTCTCCAACGTTCGAATAAGAGCCGCTTCTGGCATCATAAGCAAGTTTGGAGTCGTTGCAAACGGCCGCAACCTCGGTCATCTGTCGGACGGTGGCAGATGACTGCGTCAGGTCGGCAACTTTCTGGCCGTTGAAAGTAATGGAGCCCTTGGGCGCAAAAGTTGTGCCCTCAACGTCAAGTTCAACCAAGTCCGTGCCCGCCTCGTTAAGATAGACCAGCTTGCTCACGCTCATCTGGTTTGTGGTGAGGGTACCAGTTTTGTCGGAGCAGATAACGCTGCAGCTTCCCAAAGTCTCAACCGACGGCAGACTTCTGACAACGGCATTCTTTGCGGCCATCTTGCGAGTTCCAAGAGCCAAACAGGTTGTGATAACAACAGCGAGACCTTCGGGGATAGCGGCGACACCCAGAGAAACAGCGATCTTTAGATAGTAGATAGCACCCTTGGTGAAACTACCGTGACTGGGGTCGCTGAAGTGCGGGATGTTGATGAGCCAGACCAAGATGCAAATAACCGTGATGACCTTGGCGAGGCTGTCACCAAAGTCGTTTAGTTTCTGCTTGAGGGGAGTAGGCTCGGAGATCTGGGCAGTGATGCTCTCATGAATGTCACCAATAGCCGTCTGCGATCCCGTCAATACAACTACAGCCTTAGCTCGGCCAGTAACAACAGTCGTTCCAGAGAACAACATGTTGACCTGGTCCTGCAACACAGCCTTCTCATCCTTAACGACTTGGGTGTGATCCTTGCCAACGCTCTCACTTTCTCCAGTCAGAATAGCCTGGTCGACAGCGAAGCTGTTGCTCTCAATGGCGACCAGTCTGCAGTCAGCGGGAATACGATCGCCAATGTGGACGGAGACAATGTCACCGGGAACGAGGTCCTCGGCCTTAACGCGGGAGACTTGGCCATTGCGAATCACGTTGGCTTCATTGGCAGAGTATTCCTGGAGGGCGGCGATGGCTTTCTCGGCGCTGCTCTCTTGCGAGACACCAACGACGGCGTTAAGGATCAGAATTGTCAAGATCTGGAATACCGGCACTGTTAACCCGGGAATGTCTTGGTATAGTGGGTATCTGCATCAGGGATTACGTACCACTGCTGGGTCGACAAAGGCGCTCCAGCCTTCCTCTTCCTCGAAAAGTGCGAGCACAAACGAGACTGCGGCTGAGCCCAGAAGGATTATCACGAGCTGGTCCTTGAATTGTTCGAGGATGAGCTCCCAAAGAGGGGTCGGAGGATCTTCTGGGATTACTGCGGACGTACAGTTAGCACAGGACTATTACCCTTGAATTCGTGTCGCAAAACAGCTCACCATTCTTTCCATGCTTCGTTCTTGATGCAATAACCTGCTCGTCGCTCAGACCAGTGTTAGGGTTCACTCCCAGAGTTGAGAGAACTTTGTCGGTGGATGAGGCGAAAGCACTCTCCATCGCGAAAGCGGCGCCGAGCGCGAGTGGTGGCTTATCAAGATCCGGCAATACCAAGCTGGGCTTCCACAGCAACCGTCGGAAACAAGTTGCGGAAATAATAGTGTCAAGAATGGCTGGTCTTCAACAGTGAGAAGAAAGAGAAAAAGAAGCTCCAAGCCTGCACCAAATAAAAGGATTGGAGATGAAGATATGAAGGAGAGAAAGTGCTGGAAAAGTTAGGGATCAGACAGCAAGCATATCTTATTGCGCTCGCGGTGGGGCAGAGAAGCTGAAATCGTCGCCGAACAGCGAGTTTCCAATACGCTCTACGTGTTCGTTCAGTGGCCTAGGTCTCCTAGCTTCCCCTTCTGGGAACTCTTTTTTGCCGTCAAGTCAGATCCCGAGCTTAGCCCTCTTCGGCTAGTGCCAGTGGGGGAAAGCACCCTGCTACAGAGGTTCCAAGGTCCCAGCGCTTCCCCTGTGTGTCCTGTCCGGATCGGGGATTAGCCACTGTAACGATGAGGCTAGAAAACGTGGGGCAACGGCCAATCAAGGTCTATGCATGCTCTGTGCAGGCTGCAGACGGCACTCTAGCCCGAGCGTAAAGTGATATGGCTCTTGGACCTGGAGAACCTGGCGTGCCTGGAAGGTTGGAAGCCTTGCAGGCCCAGCTGACAGTTCAGGTGACAGTTAGTAAGCTAACCGGACAGGACGCCCAACTCCTTGTTTGATGCGATGCTTATGTAAAAACACGTGACTAGGTATGAAATCCATATCGGAACAAAGCCCGCGGGCCCCGTCTTTCCTGCACTGGGACTAGGCCGATCCGGAGCCACTTCATCCATCGCCGAGACCGAGTCAGGTTTTAAATGTAGCCGAACTTGCGGCGGCGCCAGCAACGCATGCATAGTATCGTGTGTGTCTTGCGTAAGGTAAGACGAAGACGTGGGCCTCATGGGTCTCTGAGGGGATCGCCATCCATTTCTAATCCTCTCAAATTCAAGAATATACATGTCTCCAGCGCCAATCGGTCGTAGAAGATACTGGTTCAAGCCACCGTTTCTCACAGTGTTTTAGAGGCGATGAAGAGGAAAATGGCCGGTACACGCCAAATAGACCGGTGGACGGAGCGCCCTTTGTCAACCGCTCGCTACGCCGCTTGTCGAGACATGGCGCTGGTAGAAGGCGGCCCGTCACCGCCTTGTCGAGTTTTTTCATGCACGCATACGCCATCCTGAGAAACTTGCATTGAGCTTCATCATAGAATCCAACCCGAAGATAGCACATTGTTCCGGCTGAATATTGGTGCAACGATGCCATCCAATTCGCATCGCTGGCACCAGATCCGCAGATCTTGATCCGACAGCGACTCACACTAGTTGCGCATTTTCTAGTCTGGCATGCAGGAAGTATGTCGCAGCTGCATTCCTCTCCGTCCGGTTCGCTGGTAGATTCGCCGGGTGCGACTTTTCACTGCAGGCCCGTACTACGACGCGCCTTCTCGTGGAAGTCAACCTGTGGAATCTATGCAACTCAATAGTCAAGACTCGAAGCCGGCGAAAGCAAGTGCGCACGATATGTAGTCCCAATCCTGTGGTTTCGGCCAGGGCCACCCACTACTCAATTCCATTGTGTGTTTTAGCCTCCGACTTCCTCCTCCGTTGTGAAAGAGGTTTCCCACTACCTTTTCCTCCTCTAACCCATCCTTCCCTCCTTCGCTCTAGTGACCCCCGCTGGTAGTTGTCGCCTTTCCTTGAGTCAGGAACTTCGCGGCGGCGATATCGTTGTCGGTTTCAATCCTCTAAATCTCTCGTGGTTGGCAGACCTACTGACTTTGCATCATTCATCTCTTGGTGTTGCTTAGGTACATCATGTTTTGAATCCTCTCGGGCTTGCTTTTTGCTTCTTCTTTTTTGGTGTCTTGGAACCCAGTCTTACATCTTCTTTCTTGGACTTCGCAATGGCATCGCCACCAGACTCTGCATCTATTGGATCTTGTTCTCGCTCAAGCTCTGTCCGAATCACCCGTAAGACAAGTACCGCCACTTCTGATTTCCCGTCGTCGGAATTGCAGAAAAGGCCGTCCCAGTTAGAAGAAAACTTCAAAGATGTCTACCCTTCGTCCGAACCTGATGATCCTCACATCGACAGCGTCGAGGCGTGGGAAACTTTGAGCGGCATGGCTGCTTTCAAGTTAGAGCACAACAATTGCAAGTCTTGCAGTAACATTTCTCCTTTTCCCCGGATCTCGATGGACGAGGGCAATGGTACGCCAGAGCTACCTGACACGGACACGCCCACCAAGCACCACGGCCCCTTTCACAAATGGATGAGGAATCTGCACCGGAGAGCGAAACAACGGCCTAGACCTATGGATGCAGATGATACTTTACCTTGGAAACTACTTGACCCCATTGATAGGCCATCGCTTTCTCGAAAAAATCGCCACAGAAGGTCATCATCGGGGTCGTCATTTGGTTTCGTTTCGGCGATGAAAAGTGCTAGTATCAGTCTTGCCAGCGGCAGTGTTGTGTCCCGCCCCCGGACTTACAGCCGCCGCTCTTTCGCACATTCCAAGACCGATCGCAGTAGCAGGGCATCTTTTACCGCAGCGAGATTTTCAGAAGACAGCTGTCACGTTGAATGGCCGGTCAAGGTCGATCCAATGGCCACAGAGCGTGCTTTACAACGGCGGCGTATCCTAGAGGAGCTCATCAGCACGGAGGAAGGTTACATTGGGGATATTCGCTTCCTCATGAATGTATGCTCTCCTTCTGAAGTCAGAATGTATGGATAGCTAACCTTCAAAGGTTTACATTACGATTCTTGCGTCATTACCCACGCTGCCAATGGGACTAAGATCATCAATCAATCGGAATCTTACGGACATTGTTGAATTGCACGAAGAGCTCCTGGGTGAGCTGCATCGTGTTGTTCCGGATTCCGAGTATACGCAGATAGACTTTTCCGTCCCAACCAGTAACCCCATGATCCGTGGCCACCAGCGCCTGAGGAGTCTCGATTCTGTGCCGGAAGACGACAAAGCCATATGCTGGCTGCAGGACGTCCCAGGCATGATGTTGGAGGCCCAAACGGCCGGTGATGTTGCAAAAGTCTTCAGCAGAAAGGTGGGTTTTCATCTCAAAAGTACATTTGCAGAGCAATAAAAATGAACCGTTTTTAGATGAATCGATTCTTTATCTACGAGGAATACGGGGCGAAGTACGAGATGATGATCAAAGATGTTGCTTCAGCCCACCGGACCATGCCGCACTGGGACACATACCAAAGGGGTATTGAGGCACTAGCATCTTCTTTGGGTTCCGCCAATGCTCATGTTGATCAATTGAAAAAGTCATTGACCATTGGAGACTTGCTTGTCAAGGCAAGTACAACATGATAACGGGCATCAATAGCTCTGCTAACCTGCCTATAGCCCATTCAACGTATTTGCAAATATCCGCTACTATTTGCCGAACTCCTGAAATACACACCCGTTGCAGATTGTCCAAATTCTCACATGGAAGTCGAGAGTGCTCTTCTTCGACTACGCGAAGCTACAGCGGAGATCAACCGGGCAACCAACGATACACATATGAAGTCCACTCTAGAAAAAACGTGGATTCTTCAGGATCGACTGGTGTTTCATGAACAGGTGGGTTAAGTATCATGGCACTAGGTCTTATAGGGATCTAATTACTAATTTTGTAATCAGAAGCTTGATGCTGCATCGAAGAATCGCATTCGCTCATTCGGTCATGTTGAGCTTTGCGGTGTGCTACATATATGCTGGCAGACCAAAGACGGCACCAAGGGGCAGTACATGATTTGCCTCCTCTACCACAACGTTCTGTGTCTTGCCACGGCCAGCAAAGTCGACCAGATTTATACGATTCAGGCATGTATCAATCTGTCAGGCATCAGAATTGAAGAAACGGACAACGGACGAGGCAAGTGGTCATTGCCAGCTTTTGTTTTCTTGGTGCTAACAGCTTGTAGGACTCCAGTGTCACACGGCTCCATTTTCATGGAAACTTGTCTTTGAGTGCGACTCTCAACTTTATGAAATACTAATGACTGCGTGCACTCCACGTGAACAGGAGGAATGGCGAAACAGACTGTCAAACCCAGCCAAGAGAGAAGAAGAACAGATCGATCCCAACTTGTACAGCTCTATGTCTCTGTCTATCAGGAGCCTTGGTACAGTATTTAGGAAACCAGGTCAGCAGTCAAAGCTATTTATTAACTAGCCTCTGCTAACTGATGCCCAGGCACTGTCGCTCGCAGGATATCAATTCATCGTGCCACGACAGTAGGCCCCAAATCACCATTGTGTCAAGTCATCTTGAAAAACACCAGTGTTTTGCGAGACAATTCAGAAGCAACTTCTGGCTCATCCATTAATCGGTCCCAATCGCTACTTATGACAACGAGCCCTCGCATCCCGATCATTGCTCCTCCACGAGGCGAAAGGGCTCGTCTTGAAGCATTAATGTCCGACATCTGGAGTCGAGAAGTGCTGCCTTTCCCTAGCATGACAGGTAGATCTCGCAGCGAGCATCTTGTGCGAAGCTCAGCAAGCACTATGATGCGGAAGTTGAGTGTTGCAAGCATTGCCAGCTCCTTCGCCAAAAGATCAAATAGTGTCGCCAGCATGAGCAAATATATGGCCGATGACGATTTGGGAGAGAAGCAGGATGCCATGTATCACGGACCTTCGTCCAAGCTCAAAAAGACTGAGTCTCCCCACGAGCACGGCCCCGATGACGAATTGAATGAAACAACAAAGGCTCGACTCCCAAAGATTGACGATGATATCGAGCTCACCAGTACCGTCAGCGCTCCAACAACGCCAATGCTAGGGTCAACCAGAGTCGATGTGCACGCGGATCCAGTCGAGCGGCTCAAGCTAGAACACGGTAACATGATTGCCGAAAGTGCTTTAACGTCTAGACCGATTGTTTTGCGGACTGCATCTGGCAACAACCTTCCCCGAGCCCGTCGAAGCCCGATGCCGCCAAAAAGATCACCTTGTCCACCAGACATGGATACCCAAGGTCGTGCACAAAAGATCCCTAGGCTCTCTCACAGGGCATCGATGCGATGGGGCAAGGTCGGCACATTGAACAGAGACGATTTGGTGCAGGGCATACGCAGCTTTTTCCGTTGAGGGGGAAAATATGGCATGATTAATGAGTGTCTGTCACTAATGTTGTTGGAGAGGATAGGGTTTGGATGGCAGCATAAGATACCACATTCGTTATGCGTTTCTCCTTGGGGAACTTTTTAAGGCAATATGACGGGGCTTGCCTCAACTATTCCTACCTAATGTACCTAACCCAAGGTTTTTTGGTTGTCGAACAGACAAGAACATAATGATACCCTCCATTGTATAAAGATTGGGCTTTCGATATGCGTGTGCACATGATGTCAATGAAACCATCGTCAGTGTTTGCAGGGTGGTTTGATTGAGTGGAATCAGACGTCTGTTTGTGTGAGACGCTATTTCTCCATGTTGGGAGATTCTATCCAGGTTCGGCTTCAAGCTTAGCCCCGCAATGGCATGCTAGTGTATTGTGATGGGTTTGTGGTTGGTAAATCGGTCAGTGACATGTATCAAGGTACCCTGGGACATGATGAGGGAATTGCCTGGGAACTTGAGGTGCCTCAGGATTCCTGATCCGTCTGGATCATTCCAGCCGCGACGTGTGAATACCCCTTTGGTCAAAATCCTGATATGGAGATTAGTAGTGACGTACTTAGCTGGTTCGATGCAGGAACGCTCAGAGTTCCTGGTACCTAATGCCTACGTACCTGGAAACTGCACGAAAGCGCTGTTGCCCCGCTCCCTGTCTGGGCAAAGCCTCCAATGGCGGGGCAGTGATGAAAGGCAGTCGCGTGTTCCCGCACCTATGACGTAGCTTCTCAATCACAAGCTGCCCAGCTGCCGCTTCCTGCCATAGCTAGGAAAGCTCCCCTCTGCCCCTTCCGATTTAAAAGGCCTTCAAGAAGCTTTCTTTCATCTTCATCACACAGATCTTTCATCATCACTACAGTAAATCAAGATACCCGGCAAATTTTGTCCCAACACACAAACCTAGACACCAGCGACATAGATCTCCATTGGAGCTCATCAACGAAAACACCATCTACAAATCCCCATCCACTTTACAACACAACATTCAAAATGGTTCGCGGCGAGGCTCAGCAACTCAAGGTCCACTACAAGGGCCAAGCGGATGACTTTCTAGTCTTCGTTGAGGATCCCGAGTTGTTCAAGAAGTGGCAGAGTGATAAGTCTGTTCCTTTGGCACACTTCGTCTCCGCCTTCAAGATCTTCGTCACGCACAAGTAAGTTTATCGACCTACCCTTCTGCACATCAAATCAATGCGACGAGGCCGTCTTTTTTGGAAGCAGTCTAGCCCTTGTTGGGCTGCTGGCGTTTACGGTGCGCTGTCACCAGCAGTACGATACCCCAAGTAGTTCGTAGCTAGTAAGGAGCTGGGCTGTATCCGTTTGCAGATCTCACGACCTACCCCTCACCGCCATCGTCATCATCCTCAGATGCAAGGGGAAAACCACCAAAGATTGGCTAACACTCTCGAACAGGCAAGGCGCACAAGGTACATATGATGCCGCCTCCAAGGCTTCGCTGGACAATGAGTTCGGCACTCACGTCGACGAGGAGGTTATTAAGGTGATCTTGGAAAAGGGTGAAACTCAGGTTTCTGAGGTAAGCTATTGCAACATTCCTCGTTCAGGAACACTGTCATACTGATACACGATCGTGACAGTTCCCCGAGCGTCAAGGACCCAAGAACGACTCCAAGGGTCCTCTTGTCGCCCATTAACGAAATTCACAACTGTACTATGTGACGACGACGACAGTAGTCGCGAGTCTTCGTGTGTATACCGAAGGCATGAATGGCAGGATTCATCCAGGCGTTTGTATTAGGAAGCAACGATGTTTTGGGGGGCGAATAGCGAGGATCGCCCAACGTCGAGTCTAAGGGCTGAGCGGCATCATGAACTGCCTCTCTTTAATCATGGCCAATACCATCGCAATAGCGGGGTAAGGTGGGATTGGTGGGCAAGTCATGAAAATGGATTGTCGGCCGTCTTTATAACCGTGAAATATCTCCGTACCTATCAAGGGTTCAACATCGAGCCGGGCTGCTCCAGTCACGAGTCGATTGCATGGAGTTCTGCCCGAGCGATGAGGTAGCTAAATAAGAGCTTATGAAATCCCTATTGTCTTCATTTCCTTGGCGCCTTGAATGTTGTGGTCGTAAAACCTCCGAGATCTTGCCAAGTGTCGGTCGGGTCCGTGACTTGGCCCTGGTTGATCCGATTGCAGTTTTCTAATAATACTGCTTGCCAAGTGCCAGTTCACGATGTAGAACAGCAGGGGCCTAGTCCATATAAATATCTGTAAAGCTGAAATGACCAGAAAAACACTAGATGATGCCTTGTCATAAGTGGGGGAGAGATGTCTGTGCCCGTGACATGCTCTCGTTTCGACGATGTTTCGGCCGTCTTGCTAACGTGGGGACTTCGAGATGGCCCTTGCCCTGCCTCTTTTCACCCATGTACCGTCAAGAAAATCAACCGAAAATTTTTTTTTCTCATCCTCCCTGTGTCTCCCCTTGCCACGTTGGGGTGAATATTGCACTGTACTAATTTTTTTTTATCCTATTCGGCATCCTGGGTAAAGCGCCCCCCAGACGGGTAACCCACACCAATTTGCGTAGGGCAAAAGTAGCCGCAACAGGCGGCATCGCGGCCAAGACCCTTGGCAGCCCGACCGTTCCTGCCACAGGTGTCAAGATTCGAACTTTTTTTTCTTCCTCCTAAGTTATTTCTGTCGGCTGTAAGTTGCTTTTCTGGGGTTTGCGAGACAACGGAATGGAGTTTGGAGTGGTCCTTTTTTTTTATTTTTATTGCCCGAACAATTGGGCCACCATAACGCCTGTCAAAGTGATTAGTTACCGGCATTCGTTCCCCTGAGACTGAGAGTTGGGGTTGGCATCATGTCCATCATTGTCAACCTTTTTTGCCGACGTTGCCGTGACGTCCGAATAAAGAGAACACTTACACAGAGGGTAAATGCGAAGGGGCGAAGAGGCCGGTGAGTCACATTGGTAAAGCGAGAGATTCCACTTTTGCACGTCATCCCGGGTTTTCTCGACTTGATTTTATTTTTCTTGTCTTGACATTAGGTGTAGCATTGGTACACGATTCGCTATGGTATCCGGAGCCACGTTTATTGACAGCAATGGCTTTTTCAACGCTCCTGGCAGAAGGAATCCCCCCGTGCACTTCTTTTCTCCCTCTCCCTTAGCCTCAAAGACCCACAAAGATGGTGTTCAGCCGAGCCTCGGGATGATACACGACTGTCCCAAGCGCAGACTTGCCAAGGATGCCCTCCTGTCTACAATGTCAGCCCATGGTGTTGGGTCCCGCTCTTGCGAAACAGGACGAATAAAACATGGCTAACCCTGCTACCTCTGGTCTACTTCAACCACTCGCACCACCCAACTGCCCCAAAGAAGTAATTGCCCATGCTTTAGATGACTTGAGAGAAGACGGTCCAACCAAATGGGAAATCCTTTTGAGACCCATTAACTGAGAGTTGTAGAGGGAAAAAAAGAAATAATCAATCCCGTTCGTCAGGACAGAACGCCGATGCTAGATGCCGTGATAATCGATTGAAGATCGTAAAAAAAGAAACATTTATAAGAAACGTTGATGTAATCATTGCTCAGAGAAATAACGATTAGGAGTTCGTAAGTTCGTCCGAGTTTCTGTGTAGAGGTTTGCTCGTTGTTGAGTTTGATGTATAACATAGTCTCTCTGTCAGGGTCGAACTACCCTGCGAGGTCAAGACGGTTGTATACGTTGGGATGACGAGCGACGAGGCGGGGTAAGATTTAGACCCGACCACCACTGCGACCTCTCTGGGGGAGTGTCCAAGGCTTAGCGCAGATGATCTGGCATTTGAGTCAGCTTCGTGTATAAAGAAAAGATCGAGTTCAGATGCAGCATACTTCTCCTTCACTGTATGCCCAGAAGTACACGACCAGAGCGATAAGGTAGTATAAAGCGGCGTTCGTGCCTTGGTAGATGAGGGCGGCGGCGAGAGTCGTGAGAGGGAGGATGATGAGACGGAATTCAAGACTGCGGTGGATCGAGCTGCCAGCAATGAAACCAAGAGGCCATTCGAGGGCAACCATAAACAGAGCCATTACCAGGTTGATAATCTGCAATACTGGTATGGGCTTGACTGCCGGGTCCAGAGTCTTGGTTAGGAAATCCCAGAAGATCTTGGGCCAGAAGAAACCCTCAAGAGCGGCTCCAAACTGATCTGTTGGTTGAGTTAGTAACGAGCGTTGGCTTGGGTACCCTCAGGCCCTTTGGATGAAGATGACCTACAAGCTGCGGCGCTCATAACAATGAGCCGAGCCCAATGATTCTTGATAAGACGACCCATCTTTCTCAATTATAAGATAATGTTCTTGCGTTTGATATTTCTGAACCTTCTTTTCCTCTCTCTTTCTGATTGCTCAGTATAGTGTATATCGTGTTTGATGTTGATCCTTTCTTATGCCTGTTGCGCTGAAATCTTCGATGACCTCGGAAACGATGTTTATCCTCTTTGACCCAAAAACCCGAAAACCAGCGAATGAAGGGAACGAGGGAAGCGGTCGTCGAGATCGATGTCCTCTCTTGCGAACAAAACGGGTTGAGCAAAAGGCGACTCAGTCGAAGAGAACCGTGCAACGGCAAAAAGAAGGGAATAGGTACCGGACCTGTGGGAATAAAAAGTTGAAGTGAAGTGACGAACAGAAGTATGTCGATATTAAAAGAAGGCTACCGACAGGCTAGTGCACAGCGCTGGCGAGGCAAGAAGAGAAGGTCAAGAGGAAGGACAAGAAGTGTCAACCGAACCCAAGGCGGGGAGGAAAGACAGATCTATATTGAGACGAGAATAGTTGGGATAGGATGAGACGACCTGGAGTGGACGACCAGACCAGGGGTCGGGGTGGAGGAAGTCAAGAGGATGTGGGCTGCCCAGCCCAGAGGGCAAGACACCGAGCCGCGCAGAAGGCTGGCTGAGGCTTGTATCAGAATGGGTCCCGGGCTAGCTTGCTGGGGAGGGTATCAAGTCTATCGGGTGTTTCTGGCTCGATATTGGGGCAAGTTCTCTTGAGATCCAGGTTCGGGCAATCTGATCTATGATGACAGCTAGCATCCGAGCGGCATTGAGACGTTTCTGATTGTGCGAGGATCTTGAGCTCTGCTATAGTCCAGCCAGGTAGCGATAAGAGGCGGAGCCAGGGGGTGGTTCAAGCCCAACTTGGTTGCAGTTCTGGTTGTGGTGGAGCAATGGTGAGAGCTGCGGCGGTGATGATGGTAGCGGCGTGTGATCTTCGGGGGGAGGGGCTTGGGGGATGCGATGGCTGAAGCGTTGAGGCTCTGTAGGAATATTCTCCTAGTGCCGGGAAGTCGCTGTGTGAAGATACGGGGTATGGTGAGTCGGAGGTCAAAGAGAAGAGGCGTTGTGGTGGAGTTGTGCAAGGCAAGGTAGGACTTGATGTTCGTCAGGGATCTGTGCTCTATTGGCCCCGTCGCATGAACGTTGTTTGAAGATCAGACAGGACGGCTGTCAGGGACACTGGTGAGGCAAGGAGGTGGACGAGCAGAGAAAAAAAGAGTAGACAGAAACGTCGGATGACCACACACGCGAGGGATGGAGGTAGACGAGTTTTAAGAAACGCCAGCTTTGGAAAGAGAAGCAGGGTTACGTTCTTGATCTGGGGCGGAATGGATGCGAGAAAGAAGTGCAGAGTGCAGTAAACAACGTGCAGAGCGGCATCATACGTCCATCTGGCAGCACAAGAGTATTACCGCCCGCCCCAGCCACGGCCGAGACCGCCCATTATCTTAGTCGACAGCCAGTTGAAGGTGGTCACACACGCATGAAATGCGCACTAGAAAGGCCAGGGTCCCGGACGTGATGGGGTTGGAGCCGTCACTTGACTGCACGATGGGAATGCATGGATAACATTCATGGCGTGTGGGCTGGCTACGTACTTTGGCGAGATGTGGGTGAAAGATGTAGGCCGGCGGGTATTGATACAGGGTAAGCCAGGCGGTGGAGAAACACGAAGAAGAGAAAGAGGAATACATTGTTTCCTGCAAGCAATATGAGCGCATGGAGGCGAGGGACGGGTGAGCGGCTACAATGTGTGTTGAGTCCTTGTGCTCTCCATTCCTGAGTAAGTGGGCGAAAAAGGCAAGAAGAGGTCAACGCTTCCTAGCGATTGGCCTCCTCCAGCCAAGTCGTGGGCGGTTAGAGAAAGAGCTTGGGCCAATAAGACCCCTTGTCGCCTCACCTTTGGCAGGAGACGGATTTTGTGCCCCTGCCGCCAAGGGTCCGGGGGTGATACTGGGGCCGTCTGGTCTACCGTCGGATCCTCGCCCCCTGGCATGGTACATACATTTATACCAGAGGAAGGCAGCGTCAGCAAGTACCCCTCCTGCCGTCCCAGGTCGCCTCCTCGCTCCTACCACCTCACGGCTCAATACCTGTTCCTGGCTGGCCACGCACAGAAGGTAGCGGCAGAGAAAACATGCCCCCGCGCATGCCATTACCATAGTAGCAGCATTGAATGCCCTGGAACATCAGCCTTTAGTGGCCGCTTGACACCGCTGTGGTCCGTTTTCCAGCCCACTTTCGGAGGAGAATCAATAATCTAAAGTGGCCGACACTCGATTTAATTAATCTACCTTGATCTTGTCAGCAAATAAGCGGCCAGAGAAATCTACGACAGGCAAATCGGGGTGGTCATAAGAAGGTCAAAAGAAATCATACTTACCCGCCATTGCCTGTCCCGCCATTTCCTGTCCCTGCGCTAGAAACGACATAGAATAGTAGAGCAGAGTTGCTTGCCCAACTTCTCCGAGGAAACATCGCAAAACGAGGAGATGGCTCCCTGTGCCCACCCTCACCAATACTCAGAGTTCTTCCTCACCTGTTCTTTTTCACATGGCTCTCACTCCGCCTGCCTTCCCAACCTCCGCTCTTCTTGCACACCCCACCTGTCGCACGAACTCAATTGATCTTCCAGATGGCACCGAATACGTAACAGAGATCGTGCACCCACCACATATGCCAAAAAAGACCCGACACAGCCTACGGACGTGCCACATAAAAGTTCATGATCCCGAACTTCAGACAAAGTGCGATCCCATTGGCGTTCACAAAAGAGAGTGACGGAGAGGGAAGGAGAGAAAGTGTGTGTTCATGCCATCTGAACCTCGATGACGGCCTGAGACGGCTGATCAAAACCGCCTCAGACAGAGGCAAGTTCCAGAATGGCAGTGCTGAGGCGCAGGTGGTTTGAGAAGATGGGACGGCTTTACACCCGCCCGGTCACAGACACAGTCTCGTCCGAGCCCAACCCTGCCAGTATCTTCGTCGTCCAGTTGACCGCTATCATGTCTAGGCCTCGCTCCCACCGGACTAGGTAGAACGGTCTCCTCCCACAACAGTACATGCTAGATAGGAAGTCCCGAGAGAGGCCTACCCTGGTCTTCTAGCCCCAAGAGAGTTCCACTCAAGCCCGTTTGGGCTGGGGGCTGGGCATAATACATGCAACTTATTGAACATGGATCGGACTTTCTCTTCTTCGCCCCTGTTGTTCTGTTCTTTGCGGGCGGGGGCATCTCGGGCTCCACTGCAGACATGCTCTTACCATAGCGACGACAACCACGTGTGCCATGGCAATCGTCTTCAATAGCGGAGAGAGATGGACAGATATTTCATCGTCTCTTGACCAGGCCGAGGTACATAGTTCTTTTTTCTCGTGCTGTTGATTTCAGTAATGAGTGTTACACATCTAGTGAAACCCTACTACTGTAAGTTGACGCCACAAAGAGCAACAGGGGAAACTGTTGCTGTCAAAGATTTCTTTCTCAACCAACCTCTCAAATGGACGAATGATTTTCTCAAGGCCATCGAGCTTAAAGGTGGTCCCCTGGCTACCTTACCTGTCTCGACTCAGACAGACGAACAGATGACGGGGGATGAACGCTGCACTTCAGTCCGCGAACTGACCACCAAGGGATCAGTGACGTCGCCGCCAAACCAGCCAAGCAACCCATGTCGACAAAACCTTATTCAGCAGTGATAGCGTGAAAAAAAAGGGCGGCTTTCTTTTTTTCCCCTTCCAGAGCCTGGCCTAACGGTCTTACCGGCGTACCTTCCCATGGTGCGGCCAGACCAAAATCCATGACACTTCAGACGGTCCAATTAGGATGCAAAGCCGTTATTCTCACACTTGACAAAGCGCCGAGGATGTCGTGTCGACTATCGTCAGCCTTTATGCGGCAAGTACCAGAGTGTTACTGCTGATCGCTCTGTTTGATCGTGAGAGGCTAAGGATAAGTGAGGGTCCATCAATCTAATCCTCCTCACCTTGGCCGCCCTGCAGTATCAGCCTCTTGTCGACAGCTCCGCACCACAGAAAATCCTCAGTGTCAACCACTTTTAGCGTAGTCATGCATCCATGTAGTGCCTTGCATCTCCGAAAATGCATTTTTCACGCGGTAAGCGAGATACTTGGTCCGAGAACACAAGGTGCAAGGTGAGCAGCCATATCGCTGCTTGCCTGATTCAGCGCCATCATGGCGGGGTGGTTGTGACGCCGAATCGATAGTGTTCGGGCCAAGATTTCTCAAAACGATGAACTGCAAGAAAAAAGCTCAGTTTTAGGTCGCCTCAGCAGAGAGATGGCGGGTTTCTGGGGCATGTTTGACCGTTAGCCATAGCAATTTGCTTCCCTGCCGAATTACAGAGGCTGCATTACATCTGCTCTTCACCTTGGCATCTTACACGATGGGCCTAAAATAAAATAAGAGAGGTACAGGGAAGTCTTGGAGAGGTATGGTCAACCAACTTTATTTGGCCGGCGGCTCATGGCTCTTTATCATTGGCTTTCCTTACTGAAGCCCACATGGCCGCGACCCACACCTTCCAGGGCCTGACCAACCATCTCCGCTGGCGCATCTAGCTGGAGGGGCTGCCATCAATTGTGCTACTGCAACCGCCGGACAGTTATCACAATAACCTATCTACGCAGGATCCTGGAGGCTGGATAATGGTCAGTTCAGGCCTCTCAGAGGCGGTCTGTCACTTGAAGTCACAGCTAGTGAGTCTCGGCACAGCAAACCCACGCCGGAAATAGCCCCATACATAGCTTCATGTTTGTGACTTAGTGACCAGCTTTGATGGCTGCAAGATCTCCTCATGCCAAGCAGCTCCAAACTTGCGTGGATCAAATGGACCGAAGACTTACTGACTTGTGGTCAATTTTTAATGCATCCCGGCTTGAATCCAAGCTACTGAATTTTCGTTTGAGCACTTCCCAATGCAAAAATATCGCTCACATCACCAAATTTTGGGGGCCAATCGTACGTTTAAGTTGATCATCAATTAAACATACCGTCCGATGTCCTACGTGGGTCAAATGCCTCAGTCACAAGCTTTCTTTTGAAGATCGTACCGACTATAACGTAGTACGGTTACAATATGGATGCAATATGGCTACGATGTGGATCGTTTGCCCTCTCGCCTTGGTCCAGACGTTATCAGGGTCCTGCTTGCACTGGTCCCGGTCAATTGCCGAAGTCTATGCATATATTGGACGTGGTCTCTGCGGCACGACTCAAGCCAGCACCCCAACTACCGTGTTGAAGTCACCGACAGACTTGTGTTGCTCGTGTCAGTCACGCTGCTTCTGTCCCACCCTTGCCTATAGCCCTAAACCCAGTCCCTTGAAACCAAGTTCGAGATTCCCACTCAAAGGAGTCTACGTGCAACATGCTGAGGCGCGACGAATGAGAAAACTTCCAGAGATTTTCGACGACATGTGCAAGATCAACAAACAAGTACATGCTAGAGAAATAGCCAGTTGACACTGATGCTAATTCAAGGCACTAAAGACCTCAACCATCATTGGCCCGAGGCCAAGACCAGAGAAGATGCTTGATCGTTTCACCAGCTTTCATCCGGGGCGATTTAGATGTCTGGAGCCCATCTCTGATCAAACACGCACTGCTGCATTTCTATTTCTCTTTTGTCTCTTCTGATCTGCACACTTGAAAAATTGATGGCTATAAAATGGTGGCCGATGCATGATGGGATTGATCAGCACGGGTCTTGAGCACAGCCGAGAGTGAGGAGAGCCTGGTCATGCCCGGGCTTGAGCTTTGCTAGGGAATCGTAGCGCCTCAAATGCCCTGACAATAAGTGCCTCACCCTTTCCTAGCCAGAGACACACAAGCTGCAACACTCGGTCGTGGTCCGGGGTAGACGTCAGAAACGTCAACAAGCCTGTTCGTGCACAGACACTTGCGCTTCATTCCGATCTTGTCAGGAATAACAGTTACAACTAAGATCTGGCAGGAGTTCGAGGCATCTTTTCGGTGTGTCAATCCATACTCTAAGGCACGAACAGCTGGCGAAGCAGCCTCCTTGCCCAGGTTGATCTGCTTCATTGTGTACTCCTGTCTTGCTACGAGATGGTTTGTCCAGGTTGTCAATGCCTTCAAACCCCACTGCCAACGCGACGCCATCCTCCCCTCCCTCGTCTCAAGTTTTCCCTAGCAAGACTTACGGAGCATAGCCACTCCGTTCATCCCTCAACCCCTTTATTTGTCTATCGTACCCTTGTGCGCTCACTGTCAACTCTGGGACTTGAAGATCTCTGTCCGAGAGACAAGCTAATCGCCAGCCTAATATGCTACCCGAAATCCAACGTCACCGCGTCATATCACGATTCCCCCCACCCAGATCGCCGTGCGAAGCCTCCCCCTTTCCACACTTTTTTCACCAAGTTATGACCAGTTTCTCTAGTTTGAGGAACAAAAGAACCCGCTCGCCGTCCATGTGACCCAGCCGATCTAGAATCTTTGTCCTTCCCTCCTCCGTGCTGGCAAGAGCGGCTACCTCGGATGGAGAACGCCCAAGTTCACTCAGGAGATCTGCAACTGGCTTTGAGAGAGGGCCACTGCCGGCCATATGTTGCAGCAAAGAAGCTGGAGAAGCAGCAAGCTGTGTCATGGGGTTGGGAGGCTGCAGAGCTTGCAAGGTTGTAGTCAGGTCGAAAGCGGAGTGAAGAGGGATGACAGGGAGCTCTGATTTATCGAAGATCCTGTTCACTTGTTGTTAGTTGGCCTTTGTGAATCGTAGCCCTATGACGGTGAAAATGTGGTGCACTTACATGATTTGCAATTTCATGAATGCCTCCATCGGCATCTTCTGCCGTCCGGCTGAGTCGTCGAGGAAGACTATAGCTACATCTTGGCCTCCCTGGAGGCGAGAAAGGCGATCTAGACGCTCAATAGTGGCTTTAATGCCTAGGTCCCCTAGCGAGATGAGAAGCAGCCGGAGCATGCGGCCCGGTTTGGAGGTGGCAATGGCAACATCGTGGGATTCAAGCCTGCCTTCTGTAACGGTGTGAAAAGTCTAGCTAGACTGCCATTTTGCATATGGCTAACTTACCCTTGAGGCGAACAGCGCTGTCGGGGAAGGCACGGATGGCTGGTGCCCATTCAGGGCGCTTTCTAAGATTAGTGCACCACATGGCTCAGTTGTTATGAGGTATTCAATGTTTGAGAGGCACCGAGTCTGGCCGCTGAGTCGAAGTGGTAATGGTTTCTTTTTAGTTGCAGTTGGTGTCTTCTATGCAGGTGTGTCAAACCTTCATTAATGGCAGGAGCTACCTGCCTCCTCCTACTTTTTGGTCTCTTTCCAAGAGTGAGGTGCCGTCTAAGATCCCCCCAATCAGCGCAAACACATCATATAAGTACAGTAGGAACCTCGCCCGCTGGATGGTATCTCGATGAATCGTACAAATGCTCCACTTCCCTCCTCATTCCCGACTTCCCCATATCAACCTGGCAATCATGCCGTCGGCGATGCTTGCAGACTGGGCAACAGAGGCTTCTTCGTCTTAGGGTCTCTCAGCTCTCGCAACGCATTCTCTAATGCCTCGTATCTTTGTTTCCGATTCTCCTCCTCGCGGGCAAGCTCCTCCTCACGACGAGTGAGCTCCTCGAGCTTGGCGTCAAGCATCTTGATACGCTCCGCGTTCTGATCTGGCTTTTGCGACGCCTTCCAGTACTCGTAGACAATGATAGCACTCGCTACGCCTAGGATAAAGGCGTCACCAATGACATCCGCAAATAGGTCTACAGCCTTTCCCTCAGGCAGCGGTCTGAACTTGCGCCGCCAAACGCTAGGTTTCTCTTTCGTCGTTCCGCCAGAGGAGGATGAAGATTTGCGATTCGCGAGCTCGGGATGTTCGGCTTCGAGCTTGGCTTGCCTCGCTTTCGCTTCCTCTTCCTTATCTACCTGCTCCTTTGTCTTCACCGTCGGCGCCTCAGCTTTTTCTTTTGCTCTCATCTCGGCCTCGACATTACGGAGGAGCGCGACAGAGAGGCGCATATTGAGCTGATGTATATGTTGACCATATCGGGCGGCAAAGGCGCGAAATTTGGGGTGCTCATGGGCTTGCGCTTTGATTTGATTCTGTGCGTTGAGAGAAGATAGTGTTAGTCATATCGCAGGAAGAGTGATAACCGCGAGCAGGAAGGTCGTGTGACGTACGGCACCATATTTGGATACGTGCCTCACAAAAAGGGCAGCGAGCTTGAACAGAGGTAGTGGCACCATGGTGGGGTGTTTTTCTCGTGAGAGGTCGACGGAAAGTTCTTTGGTTGGAGGGGAGTGAGCTCCGAGGACCCTGTGGTGCTGTTGTCTTGGCTTCGGTCTTGGCCGGGATTCTCCAGGTCAATTGCGTTGCAGGCCCTACGCGACGGGATAAATATAAAGATAAAATAAGAAATATTCAAGATATGTACAAAGTCATCGAGTCTTCAAGTCGGGCTCGCCGGGATTATGTTTAGTAGCTGACGTCGCCGCTGGAGCTGGAGCCTTCCGTGATAGAAATGTTCGGAATCCGCTCATTTGATGTTCCGCTCTGCTAAGCTTCGGAGCCGATTCAGCACGGGCGCCCCCGGCCAGTCAGAAAGTGAAACCTTGGAAATTAGAGAGTTTAGTCTAGACGGTCTGCCCAAGCCTTGGTTAGTAAATTTCCGGCCTTGTTTGACTGATGGAAACAGCTCGATTTTACTTTCACTCTGACAATTGTGTCCTAAGAAGTAAACATGACCATAACATTGCCTCGATACTTGGAATCAAGTTCACATTGATGAGGGAGTATTGTTGGCTGAATGCGGAAAGATCCCACTGCTAGCTTACATAATGTCAAATAGAGGTCTTTGTGGGGCAAAATCTAGTAGTTTTAGTGGCTCCAAAAGCAGGCCCTACCGCTTCGAGCTTGCAGTCTCCGGGGCAACGGTACGCGAGAGGAAGGTCAACAGCGACGGGAACACAACCCGGCCTTTCACTCCACCCCCATCACCAAAAGTTTACCGTTCGTCTTAACGGCGCATCATCCCGACAACCCTCATCCGCGTGAGTCCCTACGGCCGGTCTGCCTCGATTTGGCAGCTTTTCATCAGTTCGTCCTGGCCTTTGACTGCCGCCAATTTACTGTACAGTATATTCTTTCGCACATGTTCGCGTTGCGAAACTTGTAAGTGTTTTGCGTTCCTCCTCCATTTTGTTGTTACTTGCCCTTTTGTTCATTCGGCTCTTGTGTTTGAGAGCTGTCTGAATAACACCGCCCACTCTCTATTATAACCTGTCTCTCCTCTCCCCCCAACAGGATCCAGCGTGACATCTTCTCTCTTTGCCTTGCCATGTACTGACAATCAAATCACAGGCCCATCATCTCCACCACCCAGGGACGATCTTTCATCCTCGCATAGTAGCTTCTCTTGCTCGCGAGAGCCAGCATCTTATTCGAGATCGCATCAACACACGAAGCATACGAGGCCACAGCCATGGCCCATAGATTAGTGGCTAAAGGGGGTGTCGATTTGGAGGCCTTGTCGCCTAGGGACGCCAACGCTTTGCGTATGCCCAAGGCAGTCGAAATGAAAACAGCCAAGCCCGTCGTCCAGCTCAAGGCGGCCAAAGATAAGGAGCCGCCACCGCAACCGCCCGCGAGCGTTGAAGAGCCTCCGAGCTCCGACCGTCCGAATGGAGCTGTCTATCAAGTCGGCAGGATGCTCGGCAAGGGCGGGTTTGCCGTTTGCTATCAGGGATATTTATTGCCGGAACGCAAGAAGTATGCCCTGAAGATTGTGCGGAGTCAGATGCCTTCCAAGATGCAGCAAAAGGTTAGCCATGAGCCTTCTCACAAGTTAATATAGCGGTCTAACATATTGTGCAGTTTCAAACTGAGTTGCAAATTCACTCCAAGATGAACCAAAAGAACATCGTTCAATTCCTTAGGGCATTTTCTTTCCATGATTGCATGTACTTGGTTCTCGAGCTCTGCACCAACGGCTCTCTCATGGACATGGTCAAGAAACGTAAGGGTCTGACAGAACCAGAAGTTCGATTTTATTCAATTCAGGTTGCGGGTGCCATCAAGTACATGCACGGAAAGGGAATTATTCACCGAGACCTGAAGATGGGCAACATCTTTCTTGACCACAGGATGAACGCCAAAGTAGGAGACTTTGGACTGGCTGCATTGCTTGTTACGGGCCGAGACATGCAAACCATAAGAAGGACTACCTTGTGCGGCACGCCCAACTACATTGCCCCTGAAATTCTCCAGAAGGGAAAGAAGGGACATGATCACATGGTTGACATTTGGAGTCTGGGCATCATCATGTTAGTTGCCCATGAGTACGATGACGTGAAACACTTATTGACTGAAGCAGGTTTGCTATGTTGACATCTAAGCCACCTTTTCAATCCACGAGCACCGAGGAGATTTACCGCCGAGCGAGAGAACGCGACTACGAATGGCCGAACCCGGAGACTTCGCAGAAATTCATCAGCCCGGAGGCCAAGGATTGCGTTGCCACGATGCTTGAGGACGCGGATATGAGACCCGACCCCGACATCATTGTTCAGCATCCCTTCTTTACTTGCGGTTATATGCCAGTGGAAGCCGACATAACTACAAGACTGTTGACCTTACCACCCGACGGCTCAGAATTCTACACGAGCCGTATGAGCACTCAGTTGCAAGCAATCACCAACAAGAATCACGAGGAAATGTGCAGAGAATGCGGCGTCGGCCCTTGGACCCCCGTGCAGGTTGTTCACACCCAGACATGGAAGGAAATGGCCGCCGAGGAAAAGTCAGGATTGACGCCTATGATTCCTCTTGGAGAGGATGTTGTTTACAGACCCTTCGATGATTGGCTCCGAGAGAAGCGCCAGGCACGTGCGCTTGCTGCTTCTTCGTCTTCACGCCACGAGGCAACAGGAGAGCAGCAGCTGAGTGCTTCACAGACCGTACCAACTGGTTTGCTGCGCCAGCCTCCTCAAAGCTTTGCCGCCCAGCAAAGAGCACAGAACCGACCTCCAGCGATGGCCAGTAGCACAAGATCAAGACAACAGCCAGAAGCAGTTTCACAATCAGCAGAGACCGCCCGTCCACGATCAGTTAGACAACAATCCGCCCCGGAACCCCATCGAACGAATCAACTCGCTGAGGCTCCGTTGAGAAAGTCATCTACCAGTCGAAGGACCCCTCTCCCGTCGAGTCAGTCAACTGGCGCTATTCCTACTCAGGCTCTGACGTCCCAGCCTTCGAACCAGCCTACAGTCACGATGACGGGATTGATGGAGAACTTGAAAATTTCATCAGACAAAACCGACATGGCTTCATTATTCAGCCCGTCAGAGCGGGCAGAGCCGGTAGCGAGCTCAAAACCAGATGTCGTTTTAGAGCGTCTTCGCAGACTCCAGGCCGAACTGGAGCGGGCTCTAAATGCTCGTACTATGGCTATTATCTCGTCCAAGGATATCACGCCTCCCCACCCGAATGTGGTTGTCAAGTGGGTGGATTACACCAACAAGTTTGGTCTCGGCTATATATTGAACGACGGTGGTGTGGGATGTATTTTGCGTGACATACCTACCACTGAGGGCAGCAAGACCCTCACCCTACCCTCAGCATGCATGCTCGTACGTGATGCTGAGAGGCATATTGAGCGACGACACGATGAGGCGTACCCAGAGAGACACCAACCACTGCCCCCCGGCCAAGATATCCACTTTTATGAGAATAATGGTGAGTCCGGGCTATCTCGCGTTTCGATTTCTTCGAAACAATTCCGTGTGCCGGTTTATGAGGATGGCACACCTGGCAAATTGAACCCTGGAAAGGACGTGTACGAACACCGGAAAAGAGAGAGGGTCATTCTCTGGAAGAAGTTTGCCAACTATATGATTGCTTATGGCAGAGACGAAGCGGTTCCTGCCGAGGAGATGAGTACGCGTTCTACTGAATTTTCAGTCAACAATGCTCAGCCATCTGATTTGGTGACCTTCTACCAACGGTTTGGTGATGTCGGTTGCTGGGTCTTTGGCGACGGACATCTTCAGGTAAGTTCTCCGCGCGTCCCTTAATCGAGCGGACTTAACACCTATTTAGTTCAACTTCCCCGACCACACCAAGATTGTTTTGAACGCGGCTGGGACTTGGTGTCACTTCTGGCATCTTCCCATGGATGCAGCTCATAATCTTGCAACCACAGGCAGCTTGGGAGCTGCCGCTCTTGATGAGAGAGCTATGTTATCTTACCCCCTGCAGACATTGCTCAACTTCCAGACTAAGCCCTCGGCAAGTCGTGCTACTCGCACGACCTCCACGTCGCGTCGACGCCCCGAGATTCCTGTAGATCTTCAAGGAATCCCGGCAGCAAATGACTTCCGTCGAAAGATCGAGTTTATCAAAAACGCAGTCAAGGAATGGGTCACCAATGGTGGCTTGGGAAATAGCGCCATGAATCGCGAACACCGCATGCGCTGGGGAGGCTACCGCGAGACGGTAATGGGTAATACTCCTATCAAGGGTGTATGGGTGACTGTTGGTGCTCGCTGGGGCGACACCAGATTGTCGGCCTACATTGATCCCACCAATCCGTTAGAGATGGGCGAGGAAATTGATGAGTCAAAGAGACGACGCCATTGAAAGACTGCAGACGTGGTTTCTGCAGGATTCGGGGCAAGCTTGGAGCGATGGAGTTCCCTTCATTGTTACCCACTTTATGGATATTTACTTTTCAGCCAGCCCATCCCGCCGGCTGGTCCTCACAAGATGAGGCCATGGTCATCGAGTTGGGGAATGGCTTTTCGGTTGGGCATGTTTGGAGTTTGAGGTCTTTGGTGGACATAGCAATGGCGTCGCGGGAGCATAATACACTGTTACGAATATCTACGCAGCGTTGTCTAAGTTCCTAAAAATATTTTTCTTTGACATAGAGTTGTTTATCTTTTTGTGACTTTGTGTGATGTTTTCGACACGTATCAAGAAAACTGATTCCTTCCGCTATTTTGCATGAGCGGATTAACTGAGCTCTGGTAACTTCGTATCACTGGGCTCAAGCCATGGCCACACGTCACCCAGGGGTGTCCTCATTAGAACCATTAGCTGCGCATTTCTCGGTCACTTATATACTGAACTGGTTATTCCTCGTAAATCATGTCCTTGGACTGCAAAATAGCCAACCCAGAGTGACTCGTTAATTCGAGTGTAGCATGTTTGCGTTCTAACGATCAGCGAGATACAAGTCAGGTTGCCATAAGTTTGTCATTGGAAAATCAATCTTTGGAAGTGTACAACTAAACAGCCTCCTGAGATTTTGATGGCCCACCACAAGTATTGATCGTAATTCAATGCATTGTGTATACTCTAATGCGTACGAATACCCTAATCCTATATTCCAGCTATCCTATATTGATGCTGAGCCAATTACTGTCATGCCAACGCTATGCCTTTTGTTGTTGTAAACCAGATATTCGCTCAACGCTTTGCTCCTTTACCATGCCGAGACATATTCAACATGTATCTGCTGTCAAACCTAGACATGAGCCCATCTCGATTTTATCTCTTTCCATAGTAACCTCATACCGCGAATTAAACACCAAAGCTCTATGTTTATTCTGTGTCATCACTGCTCGACTGGCTTTCCTCCGAGTCTCCGTTCGTAGTTTTGCGAGTCAATGGCCTCCATTGTGCGACATTCTCGCACCCCTTTGGGGTGCGACATTTGTCCCGTGCATTGCAGGTCTTCCAGAGGACCTCGCGCACCTCTTGGAACACCTTCTGCGGAGCATCCATAGCCCAGATGACGTCAAGATGCTCGTACTCTGGGATAACCTTGCTGTGAACCACCTCAACATGCGGCTCCCGACCTCTTTCAAATCTTCGAAGGAGCTTCTTGCCATCGACGAGGTCATCGTTGCCGGCAACCCAAAGGGCGAAAGGAGGTGCTTGCTCATTATACCAAGCTGTCGATCCCTTGGGCTTACGGATGTGTTCCTCCACGGCTCGTTGTGAGAGGGAGCCATCGGCGTCGTCGGCTCTCAGAGTGTGGGCGTCGTGTCCATTGATCCGGTCTTCCTTCTCCTCAGCACGAACATCCTCCTTTGTAGAAAGAATACACTTGTGCCGTGCAAAACATTCTCTTCCGAGCCACCAGCGCATCGATTCTGAGCTGACATAGACAGGTGCAAACTGAAACATGCGGTCTCGCAGCCCACGATCCCATCGCGTGTCCGTCCAGTCGAACAGGAAGGAGAAGACCTTGTATCCGAGCCAGCCGTAGACCTTGGGGTGGAGTAGCTGGTGCATCTGCATCATAAAAGGGATAAATGCGTGAATTCCGAACATCAATCGGAACATGCCCGGGGTGATGATTCTCATGAACTTGAAGTACATTTTCCCAATTAAGGGGCCGGCGTAGGCAGCCGGCGCCAGAGCGCAAAAGACAGTCAGCTTCTCGCCAATGTCTGGTCGTTGCTCTTTTGCCAACGCAACCAGCGTCTGCGTCGTACCTTGGGAATGGCAGATCAGCCCGATCTTTTCAAATCCTGTCTCGTAAAGGACTCGCGAGGTCAACGCTGGCAGATCGAAAACACCCATCTGGCGGATATTCCAGCACCACATTCTCGGATCGGAGTATTCCAGTAAGACGTGCTTGGGCTTGAAGCCGCAGCGATTGTTGCCAAGCCAGACGTCATAGCCGGACTTGCAGAGGTAAAATGCGAGTGAGTCGTCGTCATTGGTGCAGTATGCGCCAGAACTTTGTAGAAGACCATGCATGAGCAGTACGGGGAATTTGCGTTTCTGTTCGGGATCCTTGAGCTTCTTCCTCGAGGGTGTGAAAATGTCGGGTCCCCTGTCAGATCTTTCTTCCTCGCTCATCCTTGTATATTCCTTGGGGTCATAGACGTGCCACAAGTCAATCAAGAATCCATCCTCCGTCTGAACCTGAAACTCTTCAACGTCCAGGCCAACGCGGCGGGCATAGTACCCGACATCACAAACAATCGGATCGTGGCCGCCCTCAGTCGGGATATACTCATCGGTCGAGGACTCCTTGCTTTTGAGGAGTTTCGCATTGGACTCACTGCGCTTCCATTTCTTGTTTTGCTCGTTCCGTAAGTTGTTCCTGCGTATCTCTTCTTCGTAAAATGGTCTCCTCCTCTCGGGGTTTCGAAGAGTAAGGCGGTAAAATAGCCTCGTACATAAAGGCGGTAAGCTAGTGAAGAGAGCGCCTAGAACAATGACTGCAAGAAACGCCAAACTCAGGAAGAAGGCCGATACACGAAAAACGAAGCATTGGAAGTCTCGGAAAATTGATGGCGGGCCATAGAGTGGGAGAGGGGGAAACAAGGGATTGGTGTGTGACGGCGGCATTTGTCGGCGAAGGGAGCCTTCTTGTGGTCTCTGTAGAGACTGTCCATCTTGGTCTGTGGGCAGCGAAATCACCTTCTCCTTCCTTTCCGAACCTTCTTCCGCGTTGGAAATTTCTTCTTGTGTCTCGTTGCCATGTCTGATTCTGACCACTTCAGGGCCGTCCTGGAGTTCTTCCTTCAGGATGTTCAGTTTGTGTGCCTCTTCAAGTGGAACACCCGGGAGCCTGTGGCCCTCTGAAGTGACCACAATAGGATCATGCGGCGTCACGAAGCGGGCTTCGACGGCGACCTCGGAATCATTGGTCTCGTGCCTCTGATGTGACAGCTTCTCTGCCTGCTGTGCGAACTCGACGGCGGTGTGTGCAACGGCATTATTGCGTGGTCTGTCTCGGTTGCCATCCGAGGAATCAGAAAAGCTACCCATGTCTATCGGGTACTAATCTCGAGCGCAGAAATAGCGTAGAATGTGTCGCAAAAGTTGTAAAGGCTTGAAAACTGAAGGAATCTCAGCGGTGAAAAGAGTGCAGTGGTCGCTTCTCCTTGCGCAACAGAAATGACAGGAAAGATGAAGTTAGGAAAGTGGTAATTGGGGTGGAAATTTGGTTCTCAAATGCCAAATCCACAGCCACTGATGGCATGAACAGGTATCATGGAGGTCGCAAGGTGGTCCAGGGCAGGGAAGCGAAGCGTAGATCCGGAACCAAGAAGGGGGGTGGACGTGGTAGTCGCAGAGTGACGGAGGTAAGGATTCGATCCAATGCCGCACTAATCTCCTAGACTAAGTGGTTGGAGGGTGCGTGGTTAGTGAGAGAGAGGCGAACTAACGGGTTCTCGGGTTGGGAAAGATAAGCAGAGGACACGATTGAAAAGTCAAACTGAGGCGATTTCGCGCTCCCATACAGGCAAAATGCAAAGATCATAAAAAATTGGTCTCACCGCAAGAATCGTGGCATGATGATGCCCAGATTCCAACACTTCAATCTGGGAGGCGTTTGGTAATGTCAGTGCCACTTCGGCGCGAAATTACATGCAGCTCGCTACAGCGCAACGCACAGCTGAGAGGTCTACGAAGCCCAGAGAAACTTTTGATTTGAGCCCCCAGATTCCCTGTCATTTGCGGCGCACGGAGATGCTGAAGAAGACTGGGCCATTAGCAACTGGCCAAGGTATCACCGTTGTCGAGCTATTGGGCGCTTTCCTGACCAGGGGAGGGCCCCGCTTGCGTCATAGGTTGTGTATTGTTCTGGAACCGCCTATGTATTGACTTGCAATGATTGGCTCAGCGCAAGTCGGAGAAAAAAGCATGTGACGATCTTTGGGTATGTTTGGAAAGACAAGCATCATTGATGTTTGGCAGATTTTAACGGTGCCTGGTTTTGTCAATCTTAGAATGTTTCCGAGAAGACTTGCAGTAAACAAAGTAATATAGCTGTCATCGCGAAACCTGTAGCACATGTGCGGCTGACCCTGAACTCTGCCTACCTTTTTAACATAGGAGTACGGGAACCCTTTTCTCAGGTGACGAATATGGAAATGGAGTCCGGGTCATCCTACAGACAGTTTTTCAGCGTTCCGGGGCAACCCAGGTAACCAAACCCTCATGTTTGGAGCAGTCTTACACGGCATTCTGCCTGTGCTGGGTGGTGACCGGACAAAAACGATGATCTAGATCAACTAGCCAACTACCGACCAGTTTTTGATTGATTTTTCACGCAGTCTGGCGTGGCCTGAGACTGTACAGTACCTTTCAGTGTCGGTGCTTTCTCAATTAGCTGGGTCTGGCAGCTTGTCCAGAGTCTTTCCTAGCATTGCAAACGCACAACAGGACGAGCCCTCCGAGAGTGGCTCCTCCACGTGTCTTAAAGAACGTAATTTATGCGCTGCTCTCAGTTGTGAGGTGGTTGACTGCCGAGCTTGAATTGGCAGACCAGAGGACTAGTCTTAGATAATTATAGGTATTGGTTCGCCAATACTTGAGAAACACCTGGCAAGCAAATCCAAATGTGTGCTTCACAACGTCACCATGGCAACTTGCCATCCTGTTTCTACAGAGATGTATTATAGATATCTGCAGCGCTGAAAGCTTCTTTATCAAAACACACACACACGCGCGCGCGCGCGCTCATATACTTACTAACTGAGTTTGTCGTCTCAGGCACAGCAACTTGCGATAGAGTTACGGTGACTGGGTTGAGCAAACTTCAGCAGATTGTTGTTGGACGCTAAGCCTTCTTCTGCACAGCTGGATTTTAGAATGCTGCACTCAACTGAAACAGCATAATCTAGCATGCAGAAATAATTGAACTCCCACGATACAAATGAATAACCGCGAGTCTCTTGATATAGCAATGTATGATTGATTTTTTTTATGAAGAGAAATAGTGGTATTGGAGGGTCAATTATGAAAACCAGTGAGGCGGCAGGCGTGATTGTGTCGGAGTAGAAATCGGAGGTTGTTCGGGTTCAGGAGTCTGCCCATATGCTTAGTCATTCGGTTATCCCCCGCTCAAGCCGGATTTTATTCCTGACCTGAATTATTGGCCTTAGCGGACCCCAGGAGATTGGGGGGTACGGCTGCAGCTGGCGGTGCGCCAATGCCGAGGCCTAAGACAACCCCAGCCGAAGCTGGAGACGTCCCCGACTCCAACCCGAGCAGGGACCTAAGCTTAGCTCTTCAACGCGGCTTTCGCGACATGAACATAACACCTTGCGAACACTGATACCCTACAAGCCCAATTGATCCTCTTTGTTTCTGCGACTTCCAGATTTTGTATCAATACTCGGCATTGAATCGGTCTTGTCGGTTCTCCTGCGATGCACATTTGAGGTGTGGCTTGCTCCGTCACTTTACACTGGCCCACCGCCCACCGATAGAATGACAACGTCGGAACTTGCACCGCCGTCGCAGGCAAGGAGAAGCAAAAGGACTCGAAGACGTCGGCAGGACAAGCCGTCTATATCTGCCAGACTGATTCTCGATGATCATGAAGTGAGGGGCGACGTGGGTATTCTCTCAGAGGATCTGTTTACAGATCTCTTCCCCCACCTGCGTGATGGTAAACTGCGCTCGCTCCAGACAAGATCATAGAAGTGCAACTGCTGACTCTTTACTGGAACAGTCTTGTCCCGTGAAGATGGCTCCGAAGATATTCATCATATTGCCATCGCCCCCTGGGAGCCGAATCCATCCCCAACCGAAACTGCCTGGACCGTAGTGCCGGTGCTAAAGTCCTCCGCTCTGAAGCCCTCGACCGTGCAGTTCTCGCCCTCATCCCTATCGCTGCAGAACTTTGCAACTATCCTCCAGCAAGTTGCGCCATCGAAGCTCTCGAGTCACAGCCGCAGTGGCATCGAAATCCAGATCCTCGACGTGGTCGCTCTTTCGTTAGACACGGTGTTTGTAAGCCTTGAGAGCGAGTTAACGAAGCGCTTGGAGCAGGGCGAAGGCACATTCTTTCGGGACCATCCGAACCACCTCAAGGGAAAGGGCCTCGTTGCCCCCGAGACCCCTGAGGGTCGTCTTATAGCCTCCTTGCGCGTGGCCTTGGGTAGCCTGAAGGTGCTTCACTCTGGCGACCTTTTCCCTCTCCCTTTGCCTCCACACCCAGTCACCCACGTCCCACCGAATCCTGGGAAGATCATGCTGTGCGAGCCTGTGAGCCAGGGAATCTTGTCTGAGAATACCAAAATTGTATTGATGCGAGGAAGAGTACACACTAAACGTAGTCATGCCGCCCCCACCATTCCGCCAAACCGGGGCTTGAATGGAGTCCCTGAGGATGACGAAGACGATACTGCCAATGACCAGTTTTATTCGGCGGCCGAGGACCGGTACAAAACCGATGCCGCAACTACCGAGATAGACTCTGTCACGGAAACCGAAGAGTCAGAGCTTTCTGGTGTGGACCACGACGATGATCTGTCGGACGATTCCATGGACGACATGATCTCTCTACAAGCACCTACACTCCCTACAACAGCAAGTGGCGTATCAACTATGCAGCCAGGGACGCCGATGACAGTTGGCAGGGGAAGAAAAACCAATGGAATCGCAACCCCTGCTTCTGTGTTCTCCAACTTCACTGCAACAACCGCTCGTCCTGACAGGCCGCGGGGCCGTCTTTTCAAGGCTCAAGGGCTGGTTCGGCCGATTCCAGTGGATCTCCTTCACCCCAAACCGGCTTCTGAGGACGATGATGAAGCTAGGATATTTGTGGATATATCGTCATTGTCTAAGATTGGTTGCTTTTCGGGAGACTGGGTTCGTGTGGAAGCTGCTGAGGAACCCCCCGCCAATGGTTTTGGTGCATTCGGTCTTGGAAGCTTCACATCGCTTGAGCCAACTGAGTCTAACTGGCGTCCTGTAAGGGTTTATGGTCTCCCGGAGGCCTACTCACAACGTCCGGTGACAAGGATACCTAGCGCAAAGCACGGCGAGCGCCGGTTATCTTTCTTTGAATCTCAGCTCCAAAAACCAACGAGCCCGGCAGCTTACATCTCCCCCATCTTGCTGGAAAACCTCGATAGTCCCTCTTACTTAAGGCTATCGCCTATAAAACGAGGGTCCTACCAAGGCAAAGGAACTCTACCCAAGTTTACGAGCGCCTCACGCCCGCCATATGCTCGTGATATCACGATTCAACATGTCCGGTCACCTGTGACCGCTGAGCGGGTGTATCAGTCGGCAGTTCTGGGAGGTCTTAAGCGATACTTTGCGCAGAAGATCCGTCTTGTGAGGACGGGAGACCTCCTCGCTGTGCCTATTGATACACAGTTGGGAAAGGCCCTACAAGAGCAACCAAGCGCTAGTAACGGCTCGGAAGTAGACGACGTGATGACTCTTACCAAGAATGGGCCGCCTAGATTTGACGAAGTGGCCTGGTTCAAAGTGGGTCATATCCAGATACAGAAGGCGGATGTCGAAGACGATCAATCTGAAGATCTTTGGGGAGGAGTTGCATGCATTGACAGTTCCTCAGTTGCGATGCACGGCTCCGGCTTTGCCACTAATCGAATCCCTGCAACCAAAGCCAGTACCTGGCCATATTATCTAGGCGTCAAGAAGATGCCTACAAAGTCACCAAGTCCTTCTGCTCTGTCACTGCCAGATCAAGATCAGCGATTCGTTTCTCCTCTCAGGCGGCGGCTGAGAGAGTTGCTCGCAGCAGCCACCAGCCCCAGAGCAATTCACCTCAACATGCCGCCAGTGGCAATCCTCCTTACCTCCACTCACCGAAATATTGGCAAGGCAAATGTTGCTTCGGAAGCCTGTTCGGACATTGGGCTGCATATGTATGCAATTGATGCATATGATATACTCAGTGAGGCTGGAACTAGTGGCAGCGATGTGAAGACAGAAGGACTTTTGAGGACAAGGGCTGAACGAGCGATGAGCTGCGGTTCCGATACCACAGCGCTACTGATCAGGCATGTCGAGGCGTTGACAGCCGACCGTATGGTGACTACCATGAAGGAGATTTTGCAGGACACTAGGGTCCTGGTTGCGACAACCAGCGATGTTGACAAGGTGCCCGATGGTGTCCGCGGTCTGTTTAGTCACGAGCTTGAGATGGGTGCTCCTGACGAAGCCGAGCGTGAGGGGATTTTGAGGACTATCGTTGAGGATCGCGGTATCAACCTCGATCCCGAAGTCGACCTTAACAGCATTGCTCTGAAGACTGCTGCTTTAGTAGCCGGTGACCTTGTGGACGTTGTGGACCGAGCGCTAATTGCACAGCGACTTCGACTGGAGCAAATATCCTCGAAAACTGAGTCGACAGGTACAGTCGCTACTGTTCGTGACCTCCAAATAGCAGGCGGCCCCATGGCCAGATGTATCACCAGGGGCGACTTTGACGTGGCAGTTGAAGCCGCACGGAAGAACTTTGCTGGTGCCATCGGAGCTCCCAAGATTCCTAATGTTACCTGGGACGACGTCGGTGGGCTGAACAACGTCAAGGACGCCGTAACAGAGACAATTCAACTGCCTCTCGAGCGACCCGAACTTTTCGCAAAGGGCATGAAGAAGCGTTCCGGCATTCTTTTCTATGGACCACCCGGAACTGGAAAGACGCTGCTGGCAAAGGCAATTGCGACAGAATACAGCCTCAACTTCTTCAGCGTCAAGGGGCCGGAACTACTCAACATGTACATCGGAGAGTCGGAAGCCAACGTCAGACGTGTTTTCCAGCGTGCGAGGGACGCCCGGCCGTGTGTTGTCTTCTTCGACGAGTTGGATTCTGTTGCGCCGAAGCGTGGAAACCAGGGAGACAGCGGCGGTGTTATGGACCGTATTGTATCACAGCTTCTCGCAGAGCTGGATGGCATGTCTGGCGGTGATGATACCAGTGGCGGCGTCTTCGTTGTCGGTGCTACGAACCGGCCGGATCTCTTAGATCCGGCTCTCCTTCGCCCTGGACGCTTCGATAAGATGCTTTATTTAGGAGTTTCAGATACTCATGACAAGCAACTCAAGATCCTTGAAGCGCTTACGAGGAAGTGAGTCTGAAAAATCTCCCTGCTTTTGTTTTATTTTTGATAAGCGGCAACTAATATCCTCGTCAGGTTCACTCTCCACCCCTCCGTCTCCCTCTCGTCGGTTGCCCAGCAGCTACCCTTCACATACACGGGTGCCGATTTCTATGCTCTGTGCAGTGACGCAATGCTCAAGGCCGTCACGCGGCAAGCCACCTCCGTCGACGCCAAGATCCGCGAGATAAACGCAGACCCTGCCGGCGCCGCTCGTCGGCAAGGCCCCATCTCCACGGCGTACTTCTTCGACCACCACGCCACACCCGAAGATATTGCCGTCATGGTCACCGAAGAGGACTTCCTGGCGGCTAACCGTGAGTTGGTGCCCAGTGTCAGCGCAGGCGAGTTGGCGCATTACGAGCAGGTTAGAGCCATGTTTGAGGGCTCGCCTGATAAGGATAAACAGCAACAGAGGCCTTCGGCGAATGGTTTGAGGGCGGTGTCCGCCTCGTCAGTTGTGTCGAAAGCCAGCTCGAAAGGGAAGGGGAAAGCAGTTGCGGGCGGGATCAAGGGAAAGGGAAAGGCCGTTGCAACGGGCAGCGATGATGAGTACGAATCCGAGGGAGAGATGACGGTGGTGAATGGGAAGGGCAAGGGCAAGGGCAAGGCTGTGGCAGGATTTCAAGATGGCACGGCTAGTGATGATGAGGGATTATACTGAGAACGATGTTGACATATTAAAGAGTTACTGGTGAGGGAATTGAATGAATGACTACTCGCTGTAAGTAGCAAAAGTAATGATGAAAGGTGGCCTCTTTGTATGCGGGGGTTCGCGAATATCTCTTACTCTTACATCATGTCCAAAATCTCGATGTTTGAAATCCCTGCTTGCAAGGGGGCCGTTCACTTCTTTTCAGCTTCCTCCTTTACATCCTTCTCCTCGGTCTTTGGTATAGCCTTGGGCGCCTCCTTGACTGCGTCAGGTCTCTTAGCGGCTGGCTCACTTTCGTTTACATCATCTTCATCGCTGTCATCTTCATCGCCCTCCTCTGCCTCCTCTGCCTCTTCTGCCTCCTTCTTAGGTTCCTCCTTGATCGTCTGCGCCTTCTCAACCTCAGCAATTTTCTCTTGAGACACCTCTTTCACAATAGGAGGTTTTGGTGCATCCTCCTCCTCCTCATCAGATGATTCCTCAGATGACTCCTCTTTCTCGGGTTCCTCCTTAATCGCCTCGGCCTTCTCGATAGCCGCAATCTCCTCTTGAGACGCAGACGCCACCTGGGCGCCCATATGTGAGGTAACCGGCTTCTCAACGTCGGAGGGCTTCCATCGGGCCGTCGTCGGTGACTGCAGGGTCTCACGGAGGGCAAGAGGATTGGTGGTCGAGGCACCCCAGGAACCCGTGGTTGGGGACTGGAGACCGGCGGGCTTGGAGGTTGAAGAACCGCTGTGGGTGCTCGCTACGGAGCTCTTTCGGGCCGTTTCTTGCGCAGAAGGTTCTCCTTTCTTTTGTGTCTCGGAGGTCTCAGCCGACGTCGATGCCGCCGCGGCAACGGTGTCTTCAGTTTTGTTGTCATCAACCTTTTTCTCCTCCTCAGCCTTTTCGTTCTTCTTGCCGTGAACTTTATCGCGCAGCGATTGCAGCCGAAGTTGCTTAGCCTTTGCAGCTGCTTCGTCAGCGATAGAGCGAACAGGGAGTGCGGTTGAGCTGCCAGCTGCAGGCTTCGCATCTGAGGAGGGCGGAGGCTTTGCAGTGGCATCATAGGTTTCATTTTTGGGCAGGGGTGGCGCAGCGGGGGGTGCGGGAGGTGCTGGTCCGGAGCTGGATGCCTCGCCCTCTGCTGCCGGGACCTTCTTCTTGATGACCTTCTTGATAATCTTGGGCTTGTTATGGATGTTTGGGATAGTGAATTCGTCGTAGTAAATCTTCACATGCTGCTTGAGCTCGCCGTATTCGTTCCATTCCTCAATTTCGGTAAGGTCCTGGATTGAAAATAGCATTAGGAGTGGCTCAGTTGATCTATTAGGGCGGAAAAGGGGCAACTCACGCCGAGAACCAGACCCTCTTGTATGAGACCCGGAAGCCTCCTCACACGTCCGGACGCATCCTTACCGGCACGGCGGCCCCAGAGCATGCGGGCTTTCTCGTCGGTTGCGATATCGATGGCCTTGAAAGGCACACGGTTGGCTCGGAGGATGGTCTCGAGGCGGGAGGTGGCGGTGACGATATGGGAGGATCCGGCGGTCAGAGAGGTGAAGATCCAGAGGGCTGGATCAGTTGAGAAAGTTGTCGCGGTTGCCATGGCTTTAGATCTCGTGTTCTTTGTCGATGCAGGCCAAGGTGATGGGTGGTTGCAGGGAAGAGCTTCTGAGGTGATGAGCTAGCTGCTGGCGAGCTTAGGGATCAGTCAGCAAAGAAAGAGCATCGAAGTACCAAGATACAGAGAGGAGGGATAGCAATCAACAAAAAGATCTGCAGTGGTATGACATGGAAATCATCTTGCACCACGTACCTTAGATTCGGGGTTCTTCGACTATGACATGTGTTTGCGTTCCAGACGAGGTGATGCGTACGTGGGCAAGTCGGGAGTGGAGGTTCCACGCAGATGAAACTCAAAGGGTCGTGGTATACTTAGGTCGGCACCGGATAGGATGCGGGGGCGGGGCATTGGTTCAGCGAGAGAGCTGCTGCCCGAGGCTGGAGCGAGTTTACTACCTACTGAACAGCACCGTGAGTCAAGCCAACCCAATCACTGCAGCAAGCGGCTCCAAAACTGAGCTGGCAGAGCTGCACCTGCACGATGATGTGGCCACAGGTGAAGAAATTTGACTAGCGGTGATGCCTCACTCTCGCCAGACCACGGCCTGCTCCTTCATTGAAGAAAATACGAGGGAAAACTGAATTGCCAAATACCAATCAATCACTCTGGACATAGCTGTTATACCACGAGCAGGCCGGCAGCAGTGGCCGTAAGAGCATTGCTGTGCTGGTCAAAAACCTACCAATCAGGATCGCAGTATCATTTAGTCGATCGCTGATTTCATCAGCTCGATCTCTTGCCGTCAATACGAGGTGACATGCCGCCGAGATAAAATTGAATCATCTGTACCCGACACGTGACGGCGGTCGTACAACAGCTTGGATGTATTATCTTGCCAGCCCACGCATCTTTCTCAAGGAATCAAAGTACCCTGTTGTTCGCACATGTTCAGGCCCTGATCAATGATCCTATTGATAATTTCTTTGCACCCATTGGACCCCCTAAGCAAGGGATAGTGAGGCATTCACTGTCTTCGAACAGGTGCACTAAGTGATCATAACAAGACTGCAAAGGCAATGTATTAGTGCGATATTGACGTTTGGTACTTACCGCAAGCGGCTGACAAACATCAACGAGGAATGGAATGAACGGCGTCATCGGCAAATATCGCTTGTTGACCTAGCACTAGGCTCTAAGCAGCAGGGCAACAGCGCTGCAGAGCAGTTACATAACGCAATCATTGCTAATTGTGTTTCAACATTCGAGGGCTCTTGACTTTGATGAGTTTTCAACGTCCATCCAGTGGTTTGGAGCGGGTTGCACCAGAGGAAACTATTGGCAATCAACCCCATTATAAGCAGACCATCACAGCACCAAACAGCTTCAGCAAGGCCTTCCTTGCAATACGCTACCCATTCAATTTCAGGATTCACAAGAGACATCTGCTAGTTACAATCAGCGTGGAGGGAACTACTAGTATGTGCCGACGAACTCCACAAACTATTCTGCTCAAGCTGGCATTAGTTGGTGTTCGTACCGTTCTGCAGTACGATTGTGAGAACCGCCGTTTGATGACGATCGCATTCAGGCGCCATATCCGGAGGGGCAAACGACATCATCGTCATCTTGATAAGCAATGCAAAAGCCAATCGTTGCCCACATTGTCGTAACTTGGCCTCATTTCCGGGGGTTGGGCTGGACGGGAGATTCGGTGTTGCTGGGATCCCCACCTGATATTATTGTCAGCTCCCACAGCGTTAAGCATCCCCCTTCTTATCGGGAAATGGCAGTGGGGTTCCCCATGATTGTGATCATTTTCTCGTGCCGATTTACAGTTACACCGACAAGGAAACCCTCTGGAAGCAACTTTTGGCTTGGGTCGCCCAGGACAAGCCCCCGAGATTGCCCGTGCCAGGAGAAAGCTGACTGGTGTTTCAGTGCCAGGGCGTCGGGGATCTGGGGCTACACAATGGAACCATGAAATGACCGAGCAAAAGGAGAGAGAAACCTAAGTCGGCCGAAGAACAACGACCGGACGACGCACAGCGTCCCTGAGACGGCCCACGGGAAGAGCAGCTATCGCCTGCAGTGTCTTCTGTGCACCGTTATGGGCGCTGGATCAGACCAAGTTACGTTTCTTTTTCTGCCCAGTCTGTTTTGCATGAATCCAGCCTGCACCAAAATCCAATATTAGACCGAAAGATACCATCAAGGCCAACTAATGTCGGACTAGAAGTCTTGAGTTGCCCCTAGACTGCAAAGTTTTCACCCGTCAACGGATAGCAAGCCCCATCGGCGCCATGGCGGGAGGGCAGAGCGATGGCTGAGTGGATGTGGCACTGACGAGCTTAGAGGTGATCATCTGGGTTGGGGAGAAGTGAAGGGGAAAAAAAAAAAGAATGTCGAACAAAATGTTAAGTCCCTGGATTGTATGGATTGTATGGGCAATGATTGGCAGGCAGGCATAGTTTTCATGTCACCCACGTCCCGGAGGGATCCAAACTGTCTGCCGTGTGGTACTCCGTACAACCCAGCGAATACCAGCTGATGGCGTACACATGGCCAATGCTCAACAATCAGTGTTGAGCTCATCTTGGCGACGGCAGCAACCTTGAAGTTTTGCTTGGGTCTTGACTCTTCCATCTGCTGACAAGTTCGGATGAGTTGTTTTTGAGCGGCATGAGCACGCTGTTCCTGCAGAGAGCTAGCAAGGATGAGAGGGGCGATCCTCAGGGGCTTTCCAGGTACGAGCCAGTGGGAAGTGCAGTTAGTGGTGGCTAAAAAAGCCTGGACAAGGCCCTCAGCAGCGAAGCGCGGGCTTGCGCAGTGCAGTGCCGGTCCACCGAGCCGTTTGCGCGGCCAATCACCAAGCCACAGCCGTGGTCGAGATCCACAAACAGACCCAATTTTGGGTACGATACTAGTGGTACCGTTGACCGGGCCTTACAGCTTTTTCTGGCTCATTGGCCCTAGGCTGGAGGCCTGGACATTTGGATGAACCACAGGCACCATCCTCAGGCCTCACCTCCTCTGTTGATACGTACTACACTACGTAGTACACTAGTAGTAGCAACCTGGGCTGTCCCTGGCCCCCCTTCGACAAGCAAAAAAACTGAAGCAAACCCAAGCAACCATACCTGGCCCCCATATCCTCGCCCGCACCCACTGTTCGCCCACTCACGCCAGCCCACCCGCTGCGCAAACGACCAACGAGGGTGGGCGGGACTTTACAGACAACCTGGAGGTACGTGGAAACGCCATGTCGCCCAGTGCTGGCAAATTGTCGACAAGCCCATGCCTGCCCGCGCTTATGTGCTTGGGCTTATGGCCATGGGCGTCTTCCTGTAGCTGCTGCTGCTGCTGCTGCTGCTACTGCCGCTACCGCTGCTCCCACTGATGGTTGTCATCCTTCCTTGATAAAAGGAGAAATACCTCGCCCACCCCCGTCCCACACGCCTCGCTCTCCCGATTTTGCTTCTTCACCGTTGCTCTCCTCACCACTGCGTTCAGTGCCCACACTCACTTGCTACTGCTCTTCGTCATTGTGCCTTCTTTTGCACAACACATTCTTTTATCAGTCTCTCAATCGACAAGACAGTCTATTCAGTCATTTTGACATCCCATTCCTTCGGTCCACGCCTGCACGCATATATCTCAACTCATCTGGAGAATCAGCTTTGGCCAAACACCACTTACACCAATACGCAAACCGACCTCAAAAAACTTCATTTTCAACCTCTATATCCGTCAAAATGCGTTTCACTAGCATTTTCGCTGTTCTGGCCGCCTCGGTCGTCGCCGCTCAGTCTCAGTCTTCGGACGAAACCACCACCACTTTGACCCAGACCACTACCAAGACCATCACCATCACCAAGTGCAACCCGACCAACACCGCCTGCCCCCTGTACACCCCGACCTCGACGATTCTGCCCACCATCAACTCGACCACCACTACTTCGACATCCCCATCGTCGTCTTCGTCGTCCTCCTCGTCCTCGTCTCACTACTACCCGGCGTCCAACTCTACCACCTTCGCCGGCCCTACTGCTTCTGCTCCTTGGACCAAGTCAAGTGTTGTCCCCATCAAGACCTCGGCCGGCTCTCCTGGCGCCCCCGCTGCTTCTGTCTCGACTGCTCCCAACGCTGGTTCTGGCATTTATGTCCAGAGCGGCCTGCTGGCGGCGGTTGTCGGTCTTGCCATGGCTCTCAACTAAACGGATTGTGACTCAACTACACGGAAATAGATACCGACGCTTGACGTCGTGGATCACCTTTAATTCGATTCTTACCGATACCACCGTTGTTCGCTGGGGATAGGCTGATTGGAGACCTTTATTTTATTTTTCTCTTATTTCTTAAACAAAATTAACAATCTATTCCTGAGTATTATTGGAGGACAGTTTGAAGCCTTGGCTACCGGATGGCCTTCACTTCTGGCCATAGACTTGTTGTTGCTTGGGCATTAGCACGGATTGGAAGAGTTTATACCAACTTGGAGTTGCTCGCATACATACCCGCTATATGATGCACATACTCTTCATTTGTTTTTTCTTCTTCTTTTGAATGACACGATCATGAGATGACCCTTACTTTCGAACGCCTTACTATGAATAGTATGTGACAAACCTTGTGCGAATAACATGTGAAGAAGCCGTTCATAAACACAGGCCCCGTGGAAGGGTAGGAGAAAGGTGATGTTAGTGATTGGTGCTTTGTATATCACGCGTATTGTACTAGATCCTCGACTCGACCAAAAGACACTCTTGGTAACGAGTCTTCTTGGTCTTGCCGTTCTAAACTATTAGACCTACTTGTCTTCGTACATTCTCTCAGATGAGAGTGTCTGTCTCACTGCATGATGTCGCTCATTCCGAGGCAAGTTGAGAAGCAAGGAGGTCTCAAAGTAAAGGTGACCGAGACAACATTGCCCATTACCCATTGCCTAATGTGACGGTGGTTTTGCTTATAGTCGGGACCTGTAAACGGCAGCTCAACCAATAGCATGCTTGTGAAGCGCCTTTTGGTTCGACGGCAGTTTTTACGCACCGATTCGCCCACGTGGTTTTCTTACTAAAGGAACGGGCCGCTTGTCAGGCAGGTCTTGTGCACAAAGACATCCAACGTCTTCTCCCATCTCTTTGATCTAAACTTCCCCATTCACGTCACCCTCTTATAGACCTATGGTTTTCTTGTTCCTGCGACGTGGGTTGATATTATATGCGGTCCCATACTCGCCTCCGCATGGGACAAGATTTTGCTGGCTTCAACTCACATCCCAACAGTTATGCGCCAATCGATCAACATCAATCAGCACGATCCCGGCAATCTGCACCCCTGCAGAGATCATATAGATAGGTACCGACTAAGCAGCTCGTGTTTCACTTGTGCTGCGCCCGTCGACCTCTTACACAGCTGGTCCTGAACAGAAAGGCAGGTGAGGCGAGCACATCAGTAATGAAATTAACCTATGATTTACGGTCTCCCAAGTCCCAAACCCTTTTTTGTTTTTTTCCCTTTTCAGCTCTATGCAGCGCGCTGAACTCCGCGGGCCAAATGCCAGCCCTTCCCGAAGGCCAAAAAAGAAAAGAAAAAGAAAAAAAAACTCCATAAAAAAACCCGCCGCGCTCATTACGGATTATGGCTGTGGCCGTCTCGACATGAAATACAAGATATTGAGTCCTACTCGGGCGACGTTGGTCCGTTTATATATGGACCTGTTGGGCCAACTTGAATACAAATTTGTTGATTCGGCAGCAATTCCGTCGAATAGCATATCCACGGCCGCAGTGCGGCAATGCGATGAGTCGAATAAATGTTGCGCGATGGGGAGGGCAACTCAAGATGGCGGCTAAAGTGGAGAACCCGAAGATAATATGGCTTCGTATGAGTTGCATCCCGAGTATTGCTTCAAGCCATATTCCTCCCTTTCCTGATTTGAGCCGGATCCATCAGCACTTCCCCTGCGCACAGCGATCGCATAGAGTCTTGTCCGCTGGTATACGTTGTTCGCAACCACAAACCGAATTGTGGTCGCAGAATTTAAGCGACATGTTGTTCGTTTGCGGCTCGACATGGGATCGGGCGCCTTTCGCAGGCGTGTTGGTCATGGCTTCGCCGTGAAGCTTCGTCATATATTCCGTCTCAACAGATACCTCGGTCGGGGTTGGGACGATGTCGTCGGCTTGATTTTAGTCGTATGAACAGTGCTTACGGCTCGGCCCGCTGAAACTGTTCTGACGGAGAAACCGGGGCTGCCAAGTTTCGAGAAGGACGACGCAACGCGACGGACAGTGGGCTAGCTGGTAACACGACACAGGGATTCTTTGAGGCTGAGCTGGTCCGGTTTTCGAAGGGGGTTTTCGCACGAACTGTCGGTCCTGTTTCTTTTTGTCAATTGTCAGCTCCATCATGCTGGAGGGGATGGGACTCATACGCTTATATACGTTTCCCCCTACCGCGGCACCACACACACACACTCTCACACACTTGCGCACAAACGTACACAGGCTCACTTTCACCTGGCAATCGACCCGCGCCTGCATGCGGGCGACGAGACGTGGAGGAGCCGTGCAGGGTATCACTGAACCTACATAAGCTACCTCGTCGATTACCTCCCTCGGCTCCCGAATTTCCACTCGTGTCAGGGCCATGACAGTGAACTCTTCTCCTTTTGAGTAGCCTTTCTGTCCCTTTTGCGCACTTGTTTTGTTGCAGTTCCTCTCATCCTCGCGAAATGGTAATTCGGATGCTCAAAAATCTTTCAGCCTTCACCTTGTTCTTCTTCCTGCCGTCTAATCTCTTTGACTGCTTCAGCCGTCGAGTCTCTCGGATCCGGGTTCTTCCCCCGGTAGGGGAGACTTAAACGACCCTGTCAGTCAGGGTGAGGCGAAGCCTGACTTGGCAACGCAGCAAACTCACAACTTCAGGGCAAGGGCCTGACTTTTAATAGTGTTAACTCTGGATGAGCATGGGCACCTCTCATCCGTCTTACTTCACCACTACACCTGGAACATCAATTATCTTTTCTCAACACGAGGAATCGAAATGGCTGGACCTGTGCCTATATGAACCCTCACACGTTGCGACCCATACTCTCAGCCCACGCCAGGTAACCTAACAGCCAGCCCTCTCAGGAGCGACAGACCACAGCAGACCAGGCCAGACTGTGGCCTGTTCTGGCGCAATATCGTCTCGAAATTTCTGATTAGGTGCATTAGTGGATCAGTAAACGGGTACCTGGCCGAACCATTCCCACTCTGGCGCACAGCATGTGGACACCCTGCCATATCCGACATATATGGCCCGGGGGGAGACGGTTTGCAGATTCCAACACAAGTCCATGTGTGTCGACAAGGGCTTGCCGAATCTCGACTCCTTTTCGCCTGCAGTGTACGGTATCCGTCCGCCCTGCCTCCTCTACCAGCAGAACCACAGAAAAGCAAACGGATCGGCTCGCCATGGCTGCCCAGCAGAGCCACAACCACTGACATCTCAGAAGCAGACTGCTTAATGAGACATGCCGGTTGGCTTCTTTCCCTAGCAGCCAATGACTTCTGACAAAAGAGGAAACGCGAAAAAAATCTGACAGAAGCTAGATCCGGGGGCGCGATTAGGCTGAGGATGTTGTGCAGATGGAGGCCCTCTGTACGGCCGAAAGGGACAGTATGGAATGACATGCTAAGATGTGACTTGCACGGCACCCCGGCTTTCTGGGGCATGCAAATCCACTCTTCCAGAAAACCCTTTCCCGCTTGAGCGTGAGCGCCTACCCTGAGGGTCAACGTCAAGACCACCATGCCAAATGCCCCTCTGTCCTTGCCGGGGTTCAGGGGTTAAGCTGTCACTTTTCAACTTCTGGTAGTCAACGTGCTGCATCAGTGTGATGGAAGTCTGCATTGGGCGGGTTGTCCACTGACATGACTGCGACCTGCTGCTGCCAGAACTTTGCGATTTGTCAAACAACGTCGATCACCAGGTCTTGTCGTGCGTCGCGAGGCGTATGCCATTCATACTTTAAGGACGCTCATCGAAAAATGCATGCTGCCGGCACCCCGCCCCGGGACCATATCGCTGGGATCTCTCTACGCCAGTGACGGGCCGAGACGTGGAGGGATGTGCCGCGGAGGAAGCCATCGGCTGGCATAATCTCGCATCCTTCACCTACCGTTTATGCTGTGCCATTTCACTTGCATGACACCCGTAAAGGGGGAGGGGGCAGGGTATCGCCACAAGAACCACGGGGATTTGGCTTGGCCTCGCCTTGATATTTCAGACCAACAATCATCGATGAGTTCCTCCTTCGGAGCTGAGTCCGACGTCGAATCATCTAAATATCTATCTTGTTTGAGACGTTACCTTGCCGCCGCACGCGAGCGCGTTCTTCCTGAGATTAGTCGGACTGTGAGGGGGGGAGAGGGCCAGAAGGGGGGGGGGGGGCTCTTCTGCCTTCGCTCCACCATTGTCGTGAAACAAACATCCTAGAGACCTGGTGACGGGGTTTTGGATGAAAACATGATGGGATGCCGCTGTCAAATGTCAAATGCGACCAGTACCAACTTGTTTCGGTGTTGTGTGCCACATGCCCCAGGGTTTCCCTCCATTCGTTCTTGAGGTGAACCTCCTTTTCCGTACTTGCAAACGACGGTGGTTTTGAAAGACTCTGTGGGCTCATCTGAGCTAGAGCTGCAAGGATGTTATGGATCCTATGCTATTCCATCTTGAACTTGTAAACTTTGTACGTTTATTCACCATCATGGGCGTTTTGACATGTCCGCCTCCTGTGTGAGAGGTCTAGGATACCACGATCCTTGGAGGCCTTGGAGCTGTTCGAGAAGCATTGACAACTCACAATGACAGCTGTTTGTCTTATGCAACCAGCAATGATAATTCGGCATAGCAGCAGCAGCAGCAGCAGCTATGTCTGCCGGTGGTTGGGGAATACAAGTACAGCTCTCAACTTCACCGAGGTTCGCCGTTTTTCTTTCTCAACACCTTTTCTCGGAGATCTAGCCCGCCGCGAACGGCGGGGTGGAAGTCCGATGGCCATCATGCGCACTCATTGACCGCATACCACAATGCTCTCCCGCTTCGTCCCCCCAAAGTCGTGCTCCCTTGATTCTTTCGGCAGGCAAATGTTGGTATATGTAGATAGTACGCTCTGCCACGAAGACTGTCAGCTGCGATCGAAGAACCGCGATTAGCAGGCATCCATCTTCGATTCATCACTCAATTTGGAGGTTTTCCAAAGAAATTCGACGTTCAAAGTTAGAGAAACTAATAGAATCGGATATTTGAAACCCCACAACAAACACCAAGGATCGCTAACCAGAAAAGACACACCACCCTTGCCCAAGCACTACACGTCTTCCTCGTCCAAAGAAAGCCTCTGATGCGAGCTCCTCACCTCCGTCTTCCCCATGATCTCGATATCGTCATGTGTCCTGCTCGTGGGCGACGACAACTTGTACGACTCCCCGCAGTCGCCTTCGCTGCTCCCAGCCGAGGTGGACTTCTTGGTCGTCCGCGCCGCCGACGACGCAGACGACTTGTTGCCCGTGGTGTTGCTGCTGCCAGGGAAGAAGAAGCGCCACCAAGTGCGCGCGATGGGCATGCACAAAGAGAGGTTACCGACGATCATAGCGGTGCTAACTTCGCGGACGCTCCAGAGGAACCACACGGGTGAGTCGGAGTCTAGAAAAACGCTTAATTTCATAAAGATTGCTGCAAGCATCTGTCGTTGTGTTTTGGTTAGTCATGCCGACATCGTATAGAGTGGTGGCAACGCCCAAGACTTACGACGAATATGCCGAGACTGAAGAGGCAGACGAGCAATATTTTTCTGCGGTTACTATGTCAGACTTGGGCCCTTACACTTGGAATGCATGGGTTCAACATCAACCACGTACTTGCCAATCTTCATCTTCAGCCTGCTGATCAGGGTAACGGGTATCGCTAGCAGAAGCAGATCCGTCGAGAGGTTCAATGTCATCTGAAGGATATTGTAATGCCTCCAGGTCAGGCATTCCACTATTTGGTCAACTTGTCAGACCCCTCGCCATCACAAGGCCGCGAAGCAAGATTTGATATATCACTTACTATTTCCCGGCTGCAGAACGAGGTAATCTGAGAATGGCCGGCACCACCCCCCGTACAGGGCCACCATAACTGTGACATATGCCAAGCCTATGTACGCCGATACCACAATCCATAATGTGCGATGGTGACCGAAGAGGCTACCCAGAGTTAGCTCTTTCATCACGGCACCAAAGATGTAACAACGACGACGGGGAAGAACAACGGGGTCACATACGCCAAGCGAAAGTACAGCAGCAAGATGCAGCATTTGTTACCCCAGAGTGTCGTCTGTATAGATGTCTCGGCAAGGATGTTCAGTATACCCAGCCTCCGGCCAGTAACGAAGTTGTTGTGTGGTGTGACGTTTTCAAAGTCAACATGTGCCGCGATATCAAAGTATTTGAACAATGAGGATATTGCTGTGGTATATATAACCTAACCAATCAGGAACAGAATGAAAGTGTCAGTGAAAAGCCCGCCAGGATGCTATTGTTGTGGATTGGCCCAAGGCAGGGAGGAAAGCAAGGCTGAATCAGTCCGCGGCCCAACTTACAGCTATCAGGAGCATTAAGAAATCGTCCACCGGTATTTCCTTTATAAAGTTTCGCTTGCGAACCAGATATTGCGATATGCTGTCGTCTAGTGTCAGCCGTCGGACCCATGGGCAGTTGATGTCGACAATCGGACGAACAAGCGAATAACCACCGCAGATACGGCCAAACCATACCACAGCCAACACTCCACAACCATCGGTGTTGAGATACTCATCGTAAACGGTGATGCCTTCGCCTTTGTATATCCCAATGTGTGAGCCGTATACTCGGTTTCAATGATACTGTCGGTGCCGGCGTTGAACGTCAAAGTCTGCAGCTGACGGTTATTGATGATAGTCTTGGGACAGTGAGACCCAAAGCAGGCTCGTAAAGTGAATGGACATGACCAAGTGGAGAGGCAGCTAGACAATAATTATAAGATTACAACGGAACGCGGGCCCAACGACAATGCCTTCTAGGCTCAGCATGTTCCTGAACCGCATCCGGCAGGCTATAGACAGAAAAGTATGGCGGGGTGGCCCAGAACAAACCAAAGGGAGGATGGTCTGTCTTGCGCCTATCAATACCAAAGCTTTGAACACCAACCGTAAGGTTGAAGCCGAATATGCAAGCCTTCTTCAGATGTGGAATGTGGCTAAATGGAAACCTCCGTCGTCCTTCAGGCAAGTCTGGGGCATACGATAGGTGCCTGTGAAGAACAGGGGGAGCATTGTCCAGAGACTTAATTAAGGCTGATCTCAAACCTTATGCCGCATGCGGAAGAAAACCCATATCAGCTCTTGCCTTTGAGGTGAAGCACTAGCTACCGAGGCACCACAACGCTGGGTCAACTACTCTTTCGTCCCCGCTTCCTTTTTCCTTCTGGTCTCTCTAAGTCTTGCGTCGATTGTTCTTTCAAAACGATGAGACTATCCAATTAGATGACTTCGGTACCCATGCCGAACACCAATTGAGAGATGATGTTATGAGACAACGATAAGTCACTGTTAGCCCCCTCCCTGATCCAGCCTCAGATACGCGGTAGGCAGCCACCACTCTGGTTTATGTTATTTGCCAACAGTCCCGATTCAGCTACAACCAAAGCCTCGGATGGCCTGTCTTGCTTCGCCTGCTTCCATATTGACAGGTGACTGTCGTGTACTATGGACGGGAGCTATCCTGCTTGTGGTTGGTATAAGATCTCCCCTGCTTTAAAAAGTAGCTGTCTATGACCTTGGGTGCTGTGCTTTGTGTGGCGTCGCCGCTCTTTGACTCTCAGAGAGCACAGCCTAGTAACCCTTCTACGGTCGGACATTTTCTATCGGCGTCCTGATGGCCAGAAAAGTCGTGGACATGAACAACAATATCACTTAATTGGCGACCTGGATGCTTCTCATATGGAATATTTCATTTGCGTCTGAAGGTAATGTTATTGGATAGCATGGACGCGCTGCTCGATGGGGTTGAACCATTCAGGATATTGGTCCATTACAACCGCAACTGATTGTTGAGGGTCTCGTGTATGCTGCAATCCAGGTCTGGCAAACTTGGGTTCTTCGAAGACATGTTCAGTTGCCATTCCTGTACCACTGGCTGTTGCGTTCAACAAGTCTATATGCAGATTTCAGTCATTATGGTCTAAGTAATTGAGCGGCGTGAAAGCAAGATTAAGTTAGAATCTCTTCCCCGCAGCTTACCGTCGTGCAGGTGCTGATGCATCTCGCGCGCGTGGGGGAGGACATACAACAAAAGGAGCAGCACTGGGTACAACTCCTAGTCTTGGCAACGATGTTGAAGGCGCCCACTCGATCCAGCAATTGGTACCATTGGGATGCTCATGGACAATATGGATGATTGGCCCGTCGTGCTTCGTCAGCCTACTGGCTATCAAGATTGGTCCACAGACAGTGGCCATCGAATCAATCCGCTCAACTTCTGCGGCGGCCTTGACCGAATACCTGGAGGGCTTTTGTGCCAAGACTTTCATTCATACCGGCCAACCATGTTAGTTGGCGAATGGGCTAAATAGGCGGGTGACCGATCCTTCGGTCAGGCTGACATTCTAATGTTTCGAGGCTTTGTAACGGTAAGGGAGGTGGTAAGGCACCAGGCACGCAAGGTCGCAAGAGGTTGATAGCAGCCTGCAATGGGAAGAATTGAAGACGCAGCTTACATGCCCGCTGATGGCACAAATGAAGGCGTAAGGCCTACTTCCAGAACTTCTCAAGCGAGAATCTGCAGCCCAGGTTGGATCATGATGCCAAGAAGCCTCGGTTGCTATTGATCCGTCGGTGACCGTTTGAGGCTTAGTGCAGACCTCAATTGTCTTGAGCTGCCAAACTGTTATTCTTATTTCAATATATTGCTTTCTTTTTTCTTGCTGGAAGGAGCCGCTCTGAAATCGGAAAGGTTGCCCGTCAGTGATCGACAATTTCTGCAACTAGGCTTCGAAAGACGAAGATGACGTCTGGAAAGTAATCGAGTGGAGGCAGATGACGGAGGGAAGCTGCAGGTAAGTGGGAGTCCGGGATCCAAGACGGTATTGATCAAACCACAGGTGCAAATTTATCACGTAGTCAAAGCCAAAAAAGATTTGAAGTTGAGACAAGGTTGACTGACGGACTGGCCTGCATAGGTGGTGACATAATTTTGGCATCGAGAGGCCAGCTTGGGAAGAGAGACGATCAAAGTTCTGGCCACCTGCATCGGCAGGTTCTACACTACAGCCAAGATAGGATGCACCACCACCTAAAAGAGGTACGTACTAGCCCTGCCGTGAACCCCCACGGCACACGTGAAAGGCATGCCATTCTACACTAGGACCGTGTTATTTAAGAAATTGCACCGGGGGGGGGGGCTTCGGTTTGCGGAAGAACTCGGGCGAGAAAGTCCAGCTCCTTACTATGTACATGATGGCTTCACACACTGCAAACCCAACTTCTCACCTATTTTCCGAGGCCGTATTTTTTATGCCATAAACTTAATAGACGCTCAAACCTAGATGAATGAAATGCCCGAGAAAGAGGGGCAACGACGCCATTAAAGTGGCATTCGGGCCCCGATGCTGGTTTCTTGCGCGTTTTAAGGCCTGCGAAAGGTTCCGATATTGAATACTAGCACGCAAATGCCGGTACGTTAATTAACACGAACACTCCGTAAAACGCTGTTACATTCATTTGCGTCCCCATTCTCGTACATGACATGCGGCGGTGCAGTCCCCGACGCTGGGTTGGATATTAAATCGCATAGCGGCGCCTGTCATTGGCAAGTCGGATAGCAGCCCGCCTGGAAGCAGTGGACATGACTCCGCTGGTCGGGACGGAATGTGGTAACGCCCAGCATGCGGGAACCCCGCCTGTCTCTTGCCATGGCTCCTCCCTCTTTTCTCATTCATGACGCGAATATCTGCCCAGAACTCCAAAAACCAAAACTGCGGGAGTCTATCCACGAATGATTTTCTGGGCGGTTGGGAGTTCGTCAATCTACCTAGGATTGGTAAAGTCTGAGCAGCTCGCTTGCGACGAACTTTCGTAGCGCGGCGCCGGCGCCGTTGCCGATAGGGGACAAGGCCCACTAAATCTAATCTTGTTGGCTAGAGTCCTCTGGTGATCGGAGCGCCTGCCCAAGAAAGACATCGTGTGAGAATTTTTTTTTCTCTCAAATCATATCGACTCTCCGCTCTTTTGACGGGGGAGTCGCGGGTTCGAAGAGGCGGCGATGCTCCAGACTTCCTTGACGGTTGGCAATCGCTGACTACTTACTACACTACTACTACATAGTATAACCCCGATAATCACTCCGAGAGGGGCTGGAGGGCTGTTTTCGACCCATGGAGAGAGAGGTTACCCAGTCAGGGTCGTCGGGAGCACAGACAGGACCCTTCTCCGTGGCTCGGGGCAGGCAACTTAGTCAAGATATTTACCTCATAAATCATTGGGCCGCCCAGGACGCCTGAAGCTGGAGGCAATGTGTCTTACACATCCCGACGGACGTTCCCGGGCTGTTAACGATCAGATATGAAACTTCGTTAGGCAGTTTTTTTCGCATCCAAGAATCATCGAGTACGGCCCAAGAGTGTGAAATGAAAGACACTGCCCACCCCTGTTTGTCTGATCAGTCCTGTGACGGTGCGGCAATCTGCTGACAACCTGGAACGAACACCTGAGGTCACTTTCCCCTCAGGCACTGGTACAGCTGAGGAGAACAAGAACGTGCAATTGGCGCACTGTGACTTGTCATTTGTTGATCTTTCTTTCCTCTCATCTGTCGCATGCTGCCCGGCGTGACTGATTGCTTGCTCCGATCGAATGCCGCAAAATAAATATACCCTTCCAGGGAAGTCCTTGGTGGGATGAGTGTGCGCTGGGCACGGTCCAGTTCCTCCCAGGTTAGCGGCACCCTGTCCAAAAGTCCAAAGCTTGGATCCGCAGACATGCACAAAAAAAATGTGTCCGCTGGGTCGCTGGCCAGTCACCGGCCTCCAATGCCAGTGTAACTTAACCACCCCATCTGGTAGGTACACCCATCTCCATCCCCCTCTGGGGTGCCCCCACCATTATCACCTGCTCGTCCGCTGCCGCTGCTACTGCCACTGTATCTTTCGTCCCTCAGCCAGCCTCTCTCCACCACAAGAGGCAGGTTTTCCTACTTCCACCACCCCTTCTCAACCTCGTCCATCCCTCAGTCAATCTTTCCTTCAACGTCGTTGCTTGGCCGCAAACAAGAGAGATTGCGTCCTTTGCCACATACCTTTGTGGTGAAGCACCGCGCTTCCAGCATTCTGCGCCCATATCACTTTCCCCACGCAACTCGAACACGACCCCACGACAAGCGGCGCTTCACATTCCCCTAATGTGCAATCTGCCGACCACCTTCGATTGATTTCTTCCTCAACCCTTCTCACGACTGTCTCTATCGACTACCAACCTCGAAATCTCATATGAACTCGCAGCTGTCCAGTCGAAGGCTGCCTGAACGATTACATTAAAGAGTACGGCGCAAAAATACTTGTCGCTCGTTGGAGGATCGGAAACCGAAATTCTGCGGCTCGGACCTCCAGTGTCGCCATGATGGACGCCGCTTCTTGGAACCCCCAAGACCCGGCCTTGGCACCTAGCCACGATGAAGAATTTCAACAATTCTTGGATATGGGTGGCATGGGAAACTTGGGCGATTCAATGACGTTTGATTTCAACGACTACCAGAGCGGAAATGGCTCCGCCATGATGCACCAGCACGGGCGCGAGCAGCTTGATACTCAGATGGGAGGAACTGATGCATCCATAGTCATGGGAAACACCAGCTCTGCCATGCAAGCGCAGCTCATTAATATGACAACTGCGACCGCACACCCCGCCATTACTACCCAAATGATTCCACCGCCGACGCCTACAGATGCCATCACTGAGATCGACGCCCAGATCCAATATCTGCAGCAGCAGCGTGTTCAGCAACAGCATCGACAGATCCAGGAACAGCATGTTGTCTACTACACAAATCAACCGCATGCTGTTCCTCCCACCCCTCAAAGTCTCGAGATGCCCCCTGCCAGCAACCAATTTTATTCCGACCAGCGACAAACACCCATGTTTGACGGCAGGTACCAACGCATGAAAGAACAGCAAGACGTAGGGTTGATTTGATGCCAAGTTTTTAACGATTCGCCTGCTGACTTTTTTATTTTTTGCAGATGGCCTTTACTCCGCTAGTTTCTCCTGCAGTGACCCCTTTAGATCCTCACTTCCAAATGGAAGCTGGCGGCTTCACAATCCCAGGCGCATACTTCAGCCCTCTCACTTCCCCTGCTCTCCATGCGCAAAGTGACCATGGGCTTTTGTATGACCGACGTTCATCACTTTCTGCTCACAACTCTCCGGCTGAAATGGATGTTGAGATAACGGCAACGAACGCACAGCCTTCCGCTATTGAGTTGTCAAAGAAGGCTCGAAAGACCAACGCCTCAAGAGCCAAGGCGAAGTCTGGTGTCCGCCAGTCACCTATTTCGAAGCCCCAGCGGAAAAAGGCGGGCCCAACGCCAAAGATGGTTTCGCAGGCTCTGACCGAAATGCAAGAAGTGAACGAGGATGGACTGGATCAGATGCTACCTTCGACTGCCCTGCCCGCTCCTATGAGTAGCGAAGAGTCTGAAAACGCTTCAGTATCACCCGAGAATCTGTCGGACATGCCGCCGCCGCCCCTTCCTCAGCCAAAGCAGTCCAGCAAATCTCCATTTATACAGCCCCAACCTCAGCCCCAGCCGCACCCTGCGATACCGGCTCACATTCAGGGAAAGCCTTCACCTGCTACGCCTGCTTCTCTCATGAAGCTGCCCTCAACCAGTGCGAATAATTCAACGTCGTCGAACCCGCTGGACCTTGGTCCTTCGGAACATATTGAATCGTTTGAGCTTCCCGAGTCTGTCAACTTCAATTCTAGGCCCCAGCCTCCGCGATTGGACACGGCGACACCCACTCAGTCGCCGCCAGACACTGGCTCCCGGAGACCTTCATTTCAGCCACTACCTTCACCTGTTTTTGCAAAACCGTCTGCTGCCGCTTCTGCTAGTGCGAGTCCCAACCTCGCACCTGGCTCCACAGGTCCATCGGCTAGGAGAACACCGCAGCTGTTGGCCAGGGGGAGCAAAAGTAAGCGAGGAAGCGTCAGCTCTGTGCAGGTTTCGCCTGCCTTGCGTCCTAGGATATCTCCCAGTATCAAGCCACTGCTGCCTGGGACGCCGGGCGGCCTATCGGCAGAGGACACGGCATCCCGTCTACTGGCCTCCAAGTCCAATTATCAGAACATCCTCGAAGGCAACACTGTGCCTGGGGTTACTTATCCCAGCGAGTTGTCAACCAACCTTACGTCAAAACGCACATCTCACAAGATCGCGGAGCAGGGTCGACGAAACCGCATCAACTCGGCTTTACAAGAAATTGCAACCCTACTTCCCCAGCCGCCAAATGAATCCAAGAATAGTGGCGACAGCGACAATGCCGACAAGAAGGACGCCAAAGCAGGAGGTGCACCAAACAGCAAGGCCAGCACTGTTGAGCTAGCAATCGAGTACATCAAGCAGCTCAAACAGGAAGTCGCCGAGGCCAACAAGCGTGCTGAGGAGGCAGAGAAGAAGTTGGGTCTCATAGAGAAGCCGGAAGTAGACGAAGCGCCAGGACAAAAAGAAATCTCGACGGATTAATGGTTGCGCACATGACGGTTGGCTCAGGTCGCGCCCGTGGCGCAATACCCGGGCGGGCATGATGTACGAGGGAATCTGAGGTGAATAGAGGGGCGGTTTTTTGGGAATTATATAACATGCGGGCGGCACACTGGGTTTCCGCGGCCATGTAAATGGCATATACCATGGCGAGAATAGGCGTGTTTGGAATAGTTCATATGTTTAAATCATCTAGAGTCAACAGTAGCATACGGCATTGAAACCAGGCGATGGGACTCTGCGCCAAATGTCACAAAACTTAAGTCACATGAATGTGGCTGTATATTCAGGGTATCACAAATATAAAAAGAATAATGATGCATCGTCCTTGTTCCCGTCGCACGTGAATCCGTGTTGTCAATTTCCCCATTACTGACGACCGAAACCAAGATCAACAGCTTCCAGCTTCAAGTCTGAGCGACACAAATCATTGGCCGTCCTGATTGTGTTCCAGAACATCAACGTCCAGCTCTTCCATGACCTCGACGACGAGGTTGAGGCTCTCCATGAGGCCGTTGACGGCAACGCGCAGCATACGGTTTGTGGTAGCCTTGTAGCGGACACGGAGGACGGCTGCTGATGATTCGGTAGCCGAAGAGCTCTCTTCGATGGAAAATGTGCGTCTAACAAGCGGCGACAGTTCCTTATCGACGGCGAGGGCCTTGTGAGCTACGGAAGCTAGGCGCGGGGTAGGGAAGGGGACGTCGATAGTTCTACGGGTGATGTCTTAGCGCTTTCTTGTGTTTTTTTCTTGCTTTTCGGACAAAAAGAAACAAGCAATGTGCGACATATGGACGGGAACTAACTCACAGGGAGCAGGGAAATTCGTCGTCAATTGCGGCCGCCATTGTTGCGAATTGGGATGTTTAGAGGGCAAATGATGGAGGGGTTCAGCAATGGGGAAAGTTGGGCCGCTCGGGGGCGGCGCAAAAAAAAGTTGTCCCGCCCACCAAACAAGGCGACGGGATCGACTGGGACAACGATGACGGGGCTCCTTTTTTTTTTCAGAGAGGGACTGGACAACTCAGATCACAGACAAGGTGCCCCGCCATTCCGTTGGCCTGTTTCCACAGTGGTCTTAGGTTGTGTGACACCCAGATAGCACACGCGCACAGGACCACGGCTTGGGTTCTGATCCCAAAGTATTCCCCAAGGGCAGACTGCGTGTGAAGATACATTGCCGGCTCCAAGTTTGTGGGTGAGCTGTGCGGAAGGCGTGGGGTTGCCCTGGCGCTGCGGCAGCCCAACACCAATGCCGCCGATAAGCAAGCCTAGACTCAGTCAGAGAGGGGCAGGCTTGATTTGTTTTGATGGGAGTTCAGGGTATCATCGTGGGCGATTAGCACTGGTCGAACAGCCGTCAGTGCCTACAAAGGGTTTAGAGGGCAGTCTGAGGCACAGCTCCTTGGACTGTTGAGGTGAGTGCGACAGGGCGGTTGCGGTTGCCTGAGGCGCTGAACCACGTCGAACGATTCGTCAGGAGGCGCCGGTGGCCAGTGCTTCCCCTGGCATGTTGTCTTGACAACGGCTGGCAGCCCGGCAGCCAGCGACCAAGCTACTGCGTAACAACATCCAACCCTTGCTGTTTTGGGTCGGGGCCCATATTGACCGCTCCTGCCAAAATAACAGCAAACCATACAAAAACACCTTCGTCGGTCGCTCCTGAGCTTCGAAATACCTTCCTTTTACCTCACTCGTACCGCCACTGATTTTCTCCGTTTCGAGGCCTTGATAGCTGCTATCGGGCTGCTCTCGCGCTTGGTTTCTCTTCCAAAGGGGGCGTGCATTAACCTTTCCTGGCATCTTCTCGCCATCCAGATCTTGTTGTTGTTGTTATTGTTTCAGAGCAGCGATTCCAACATTCCTGTTGTCCGCACAAACAACCAACCTCAAACCAACATACCACGCATACGCTCATACCTCCGTTGTCACTTCCTGGAGCGCGCATTACTTTGCATACAAAGGGTAGCTTCATCTCTGGATAATTCGGCACCTGCCTTATTCATTTCCGAACCAGGCCGCTTGCTTTGCACCCAAACTCGCTTGCGCAAGAGCAACCGCCTCCTCCAAAGAACACCAAAGGCAACAGAGAGCCTCGGGGTCCAATGGCGCCTTCATCCAAGAGCCCAAACATGGGCCAAGTTATTGAGTATATCCCAGGTACGTTTCCGTCCTCCCTCTCCGAATCACAACAGTCTCCCATTACCACCGTATCATGTCGCATCATTATTCTGCGCCGCCTCGGTCGCCTCGGTCGTCGCACAGCGACCTGAGCGCAACGGCCTCCAGCCCCAGATCTACCTCGCAGCACATTCATCCCTATTTTCACTGCGCCTACTTCCCGGTATCTGTCCTAACCTGGCTCCCAGACCGCCTATACCTGGCTGCATATATCCACCCTCCCACGGCCGAGACCATCTTCCCCTACGGCGAGCCTGTCCAGACCTCTCCTAGAAAGCGATCGCAAAGAGCCGCCGATGGCCCTACACCTGTCCAGACATCCGCGCGCCTTGCGCCCTACTACTTCTCTGTCGACGACACCCTCCTGTACAATGCTTTCCACCACGACTTTGGCCCGCTGCACATCGGACACCTGTACCGCTTTGCCCTGCAGTTTCACGATGTGCTCGGTGCCAAGGAGAACAAGGATCGCCCGATTGTCTTTTGGAGCAGAGCTGACCCCAGAAGTACGTTGCTGTCCTGTCACATTTGCAGAACCTGCCCGCTAACAACCTCTTAGGTCGTGCCAACGCTGCTTGTATGCTTGCCTGTTACATGGTTTTAATCCAAAATTGGCCGCCCCATCTGGCCCTGGCCCCCATCGCCCAAGTTGACCCGCCTCTGATGCCCTTCCGTGACGCTGGATACAGTCAAGCCGACTATGGCATCACCGTTCAGGATGTCGTGTACGGCGTGTGGAAGGCCAAGGAGGAGGGCTGTTGCGCCCTGGACAACTTTGATCTCGACGAGTATGAGAAGTTTGAGAGAGTAGAGCACGGTGACTTCAACTGGATCACACCGCACTTCCTCGCCTTTGCCTCACCCCAACACTCGCCAGTTGCCAAGGTATTGGAGGGCACTGAGGAGTGGGATGCGCTTCCTAAGACGATCGGACAGGTGGATGCAAACAAGGCCTTACCCCAGCCCTTCAAGAACGTCCTGAAGCACTTCACCGAGCGCAACATTGGTCTTGTTGTTCGTCTCAATTCGCCCCTTTACTCGCCTTCCTTCTTTGAATCCATGGGTATTTCGCATCTCGACATGATTTTCGATGACGGCACTTGCCCGCCCCTCACAACTGTCCGCAAGTTCATCAGGCTGGCGCACGAGACAATCACCGTCAAGAAGAAGGGAATCGCCGTCCACTGCAAGGCTGGTCTCGGAAGAACTGGTTGCCTCATTGGCGCTTACCTCATTTACCGTCACGGCTTTACGGCCAACGAGATCATTGCTTTCATGCGCTTCATGCGCCCTGGCATGGTTGTCGGCCCTCAGCAGCACTGGCTTCACATCAACCAAGGCATCTTCCGTGAGTGGTGGATTGAGGAGCGCATTGAGCGCAAGCTTAGAAAGGAGATGGCTGCCAACGCCGCCGTTCCCAGCACACCCATCCGCGCCATGCAAAAGACCTCCCTTCGTAACGGCCAGACATCCACACCTCCCCATCGCAGCACATCAAACCGGACGCCTTTGAGCGAGGTTGACCAGGACCGCAATAACATTGGGGTCCAGGAGGATTACCTTCCAGCGCCAACACCAGGCCAGCCAAGAAAGACCAACAGGGCAGACCGTCATCACCCCTACCAACGGGCTCCTTCATACCACGCAACACTCGAGGAAGAAGGCGGTATTCATCAAGAAACCGAGGTGATTTCTGTCCACAAGACATCGCGCGGTGCCGCAGAATCCGACGAGGAGTGGAACTTCAGAATGCGCACGCATCGGAAACCCTCAGAGTCCCCTGGTCGCAGTGAGAAGCGATCCGTTAGTCACTCCGCCGCTACTGTTTATCAGACATTCATCGACAATGACGCTAGCAATGATGCGGAGAACATTGGATCGCAACGTGTCAAGCACGTCGACAGGGACCGCGTTAGCAGCGCATCGGGTGTTCTCACCAAGGTTCGTGGCAGTAAGCGTTCAGGAGATTCACCTTTGAGGACCAAGGACGGAGTACGCAAGACGAGTGGTCGTGTCGGCAGCGTGGGCAGTTCAGCAACGTCCGCGACAGCAGCCTCGACAGCGCGCAAGGTCTCGGGGGCGTAGAAATCCCCCAGGTCCCGTCGCATTCGTCCCGGAGTCTTTACTGAGGACCACTAGGTGCATGCTGGCGGCTTACTAACTATTTACGATGATGATGATCACGACCGGTCCATGTTCTTCTGCATGAATTGGCGTTGGGTTCTGACAACCTTGGAGATTGTGGTAAAGGGGACTGGTGTTCAATGGGTGGAAGCCGGCTTTGGCTGGCATGATGTCTACGACATGGTGAAATGATGATAACGGTGATAAGGGTTACTTCGGCGTACATTTAGCGAAGGCTTTTGCATCTTCGCTCTCTCCCTGCCCAGGCATTCAATGCATATATATAGCTAGGCTGGCACAACAGCCAGCCGGTTTAAATTGCTTTGGGGGGTTCTTCTCACGGCGTTCATGGGCATAAGGTTATCGTGTGTATTGTAATTGTATTTGGCATTGTTTATTTGCTGTTTTCAAAACTATGTTTGGCTGTTTCGTACGCATGGGCGGAAGCAAGAAGGCGCTGGGTTGGGGGTAGAGGCAGTAGGCATACCGTTTCCCCGAAGATGTCATGAACATCATAGTCTGGTGAAGAACACGCATGGTAGAGAAGCTTGGCCCGCTCTATTTTCCGCAGCAATACAAAAAGTACGCATATATCTTGTTTTGTCTTCATGGGTTTTATGGTGATGTAGCCTTGCTGCCTGGTCAATAAGAGGAAAATAGAGAAGTCTGTTATCTACTCGGGAGCTGGCATTCTGATGGAGCCCTCGCTAAGGTAGGTATAGTAAGCTTGGGGTCTGGGCCACCGCCGTCAGCACCACCTGAATGCATTGAGTTTTGCGAGCAACCCAACTACAAAACTTGCCTCCTGATGGGTGCCCTTGGTCTGACAGCCTGACCAACCAACTCTTTGCTTACTGGGATTTCAAGCTAAACTACAGAAAAAAGAAAAGAAAAAACCAACCTGTAGTACTTTATTACGCTTCATCCGTCATGGATTGACGGTGCTGGAAGCCTCAAAAGAGCCAGTGCATGATCAGAAAACATGTATGATTCCGAGAACGCGTGACCCATACATCTTGGCCCTTTCTGAGCAGATGAGTAACAGTGACTTTTCTTACCTCAGAAACCACTGTTTTCCCAGACGAAGACTATGTAGGTGGGCGGCGCCGAACAAAGCTGATAACGGAGAGTGATTGTTGGCTAGGAACATAGCTCGCTCGCAAACCTTGGAGTCGGCTGCTTTGAAGTATGATGGTCATGGCAAAATGCATGTTGGTTTATTATCCGCCTACGTAATGCTGCGCCCCTTCAGCCGACACCTTTAGATCAGTTCGAATGAGGATATGGTTAAGGGGATGAACATAACATTTTTCCGCGTTATAGGATTCGTAACCCAGAGACTGTCAAATATTGTGAGATTCACCGACTTCAGGCAGAATGATGAGGCGATATTGTTGTCGTCACCTGTCTAGTTGAGCGTTTGTTTTACCTAGTTCCAAGCGTTGTACACGCTGTATCAACACACTGCAACTTCGTTCGAAGATGTTTCGGTGAGTCTTTAAACAACCTAAATTAATGGCATCCGCATTACCCAGTTCGGCGTTCTATCAGTTGCATATTGTAGCATTTGCTCTTTTGGAGCTCTTGTAGCTGTTAATCGTCAATGTGAAGTTGAGTCTTTTACGAGCAGGGCGCATCGCATGTGAATTTAATGAGTGTACGCCTGGTTCTGAGATACAGAGTATGCTGCTTTGAGAGGAAACACTCAGGTAGAGGAGGCGAAAATGCAGGCATTGGACAATTTTGTTTCGTGAGATAATTTGACTTCAGTGGTCGCTTCCAGACAGAAGTTCGGTTCTAGGAACGTGGGAATAGTTTTATTTCATAACCGTTGAGTAGCGATGTGAAGAGACACAACATTCTTTTAATATTCGAGAGTCATTATCCCCTATTATGGCCACCTGAATTAGCCTCATTCACATGAAAGCTTGAGATCCATCGTATTCACGACCTGTACTGATCTGCAAAGCATAACTAGGAGTAGCCTTGCAGTTGAGGATTTGGTTGAGCGCAGGGACCAGTGGTTCTTTATCGAAACCTTCTCTCGTTTCACCAACTAAGGCTGATCGACATAATGTAGACCTTCTAATATAGCATCGCAAGGTTTTAAAACCAACGATTGTAGGTTCCCTCACCTTCGTACGCTCTCACATTGATACACAAAAGCCTCGGGTAACTTAGCCGTCTTCGCAGCAGGTTGATAATACTACTGTCCAAAGAGCAATAAGCAGCTAAAATGTTAACAACTAGGCCACATTTCTTGTTGTTGAAGTTGTTTGACTGTTACCTTATTGAACAGCTCACTACCTACCGATTTATGGCGCCTGGAACTAGCTACCGACATAAAATTGTCCAAATAGCCATCTCATACGACGAAAACGTATAAATGACAACACCGAAAGACGAGCAACCCATTGCATAAGAAGGGCCCAAACAATCAAATCTCAGCACTTTAAATGTCTCTTCTCAACGTTGATGAATGCTCAGGGCTGCTGTAGATGGCTGCGCCATTCTGCGCTCCAGACTGCTGAGGATATACAATATGTATGCCGCCACAAGCCCAACACTGATTCCATTGACTCGACTGAAGCTACAAATTCGCCATGGGCGCCGACTGGCCACAAGCATTGTTACGGCAAAATCTACCTCTACTGTTGGCTTGATTCTTTCAGCACGACAAAGGTGGGGAGCCGAAGAACTCTTCACGATTCAGAACAAGCCATTTTAGATAGAACATGATTGTTGTACATCGTTTCGTTTTCTAAAAAAAAAATTTGAATTTGACAAGGAAAAGAGTTCCCAGAGTTAGTGGAGACTGTGCTCTTGCATTGCCAACGCTTTAACTGCTGGTCCACCACTGCAACTATCACCAATCAACATCCGATATAGTGTAACGGTTAACATACTCCGCTTTCATCGCCAGCGGTTCTTCACAGAACAACTGATCGATTCCGGAGAGCTCCGGGTTCGATTCCCGGTATCGGAACATTCTTTTTCTCCCTCTTGTCTCGTAGAGGGACGACGCAGCGTTATACCGCATATCAAAATTAAGAAACGGCCGCAATGTCGTTTTAGCACGACGAACATGCAAGATGGATTCACGAACTCAGGCCAGCATGTCATCGAGTGCTTTTTTGTGCCTATATCGTCAGAGATCTTTTACTACATGCTACTAGTTCCGTGGACAACTGATGGCTGAACTCATAATCCATCTTGAGCTCATCTTGAGCCCATCAGAGGTTAGCCTCCCCGACACCCACCACCCACCATCACTACATCAGCAACTTGTGCTTCAGGGCCCATCACATGCGACCATACCCACTGGAGAACTCGGGATCCCGTCCGCTCTCCCATCGATAAACCAGTGAGGGCCGGATTAGTAGTTGGGTCGGTGACGACCAGCGAATGCCTGGTGTTGCATGTCTTTTGCCATTCCTTGCTTTTGTTCCGTCTTCGTAAGAGTGCTCATGGCCTTCGGGTCGCCTGTATCCTCCCTCTTCAAGTACAATGGCTCTCCAACGCTGAATGAAGAAATAGACATGGCTGCCCGGGGGAGTTGCTCCGCCCATACGCTCAATCACTTGAAGAGCCGCATGGTTGAGCAGGAAGGAAGCGGGCAGGTGATTGCGTTTTTCAGTGACGACCAAGCTCAAACCGTGCTGTCCGTGATAATCAAGAGCAGGATAGCTGACCTGAACCGTTTACCTCATCCATACCCGCTGTATGCTCCTCTCCAGTTTCATGCCATAGTCGCTGCAGTCTGTGCATGAATTCTTAGTGGCAGGCACTAGAGTACCAAAACTGCCGCAAGACAACGCAGAGCTAAGATAGCCACTTGAACATCTAGCGTGGAGGAGGAAGCATCTGTAGTCACGCTGACAAGCAGAAGTCTCCCTCATGAAGTCAAACGAGAAAACCCCATCCTCGTCGAATTACACACTGAACTCGAAACGTCTGGGTTACTTTCGGCATCAACCGACCACACCTCCATCGATACCCTCAAAGCCAAGCGGACAAAACTTTCCGTCGATCAGAGATCCCCCACTTCGATAGCAGACAGTCCATCAGGCCTCCATTATTCGGGACAGGCCGTTCGAGGCATGACTCGCTACTGCTGAGGTTCAAGGAACCACTTCGCCAAGTGTAGTTCCCAACACTGATCATCGACATGAGAACGACGACCTCAACAGAGCCGCCGAGACCAGCTCTGCCGCCTCAAAGGCGACGCAAGGGGGCTTCGGCAATATCTAGCAGCGCCTTGCTGCCCAATATTAGGAGCGATTCTCCATCAGATATGCCGGGACAGCAGGAGGAACAAGAGCAACAAACGAAACAGCCCACAACAAACTCTCAACGCCGAGGTTGCATCGGGACTCCAGTGAGGCCTTACCAAGAGGGAAAATAAAGAGCCCCGTTTCGGAGCAAATCGAATGTTGTGTCGGAACTGGGGGAATGGACTAATTGAGCCCATGCGCGTTGATCATTACTCGACGTGTCCTCGAAACTCTTCGATGACAAGACTCGATGCAACACTCCAATCCACTCTAGACCAAAGCCAGCGTTTGTCTCGACCTTTGTTTTCCCTTGAACGGTCAGACCTTTGGCAGGCTCCATACAAGGTGGAACGCGCCCAAAATAAAAACATCACCTTCAAACAAGCGTCACGAAATAAACGAAAAAAAAAAAAAAATCTCCGTTGTAGTAGTAGTAGCAGTAGTAGCATGGGACAAAACGGAACACAACCCCGTCGTCGGATGGCTGGGCCCCTTGACAGACTACTGTTTCCGCCCCCTTTAGCTGCCCGCCTGGCGGAGTCAGTCGAGTCCCCGTCGATCAACAGGATGGGTGTTACCATGGAAGGAAACCTCAGCGTTGCATCAAGAAATATTCCGGGAGTGAGGGGACGACGTCAGTATCCTTAGAGACCGACGGACTCTCTTCATCTTACCAAATTGCTGGGA